GGGAAGTGAATGGAGCTGAAAACACCTCACCTCGCCATCTTTTTCTAATCCTAATATCCTCATTTGGTGCCAAGTGAGTTTCTTGGAGAAATACAACATTAGATCGAATGTCCTTTAACCTACCCATTACCTGTTTGACCTTTTTGATTTTCTATAAACCCCTACAATTCCATGATGTAAATTTAATTTCCAATTCGTCAGCCATTATCACAGGAATCAATTGACTTTTTCATGCCTGAGTCAAGAGTAGTGCCGCCAACAAACAACAAAACGACAAAAAAACAAAAACACACAGAAAAGCTGCGTCAGAGCGCTTGCAAAACACACAAAAGCACACAAAAGGGGCATCTCCCCCCCCTCCCTGCTTCACACCTCAATAGGCATAAATAACCGGAAGAGTCAAGCGCCACCATACCTCCTCCTCCCTCCAATATATAAAGAAACAGATATAAACCCTGTAATATTAAACCAATATATACACGTGTATATATACGTGTGTGTGTGTATATATATATATATATATATATATATATATATATATATATATATATATATATATATACATATACATGTGTATATATATATATATACATATATATTTACATATATACATATGTATATATATGTGTATATATATATACACTCATGTATATATACACATGTATATATATTTTTGCTCAAGGTTTAATATTACAGGGTTTATATCTGTTTCTTTATATATTGGAGGGAGGGGGGAGGTATGGTATATATATATATATACATACATGTGTGTGTATATATATATATTTAAAAATACATATATGTATAAAAAAAATTATATATATATATATATATATATATATATATATATATATATATATACAAGATAACCTTCAGTGCAGCCAATATAACCTTTTTTTTTTAAATTAAAAAGAGTCGCGTGCCGACCACTACCGTGTTAAAAAAAAAAAAGGATGGGTTAAGCACACAGTAAACAAAATGAAAAATAAAAATAAAACTCCCCTATCCTGTATTTAGCTACCTGGGGTTTAGCATGCCAATATACATGAGCTATATTTCAAGGTTAGATAGAAGGCATTAACCCCATATTTTTAAAGATACTTCTAACACATTGTATGAAACAAAATCGCATGCCTAAGACGACTATATGCCAAGTAGAAAAGATAAATATGTCACGGTTTACTATCCACTCTGATCCGTCGTGTTCGATGCAGCGGCAGCAGCTTCCCTCACTGTCCCCACCGCCTCTCTGACCGTGGTCGGGGCTTCCCTCGAAGTTCCAGGCTCCGTTGTGATCCGATTGATGAAGCCTCTCACGTCCTCCAGTCTATCAAAAGCTTCAGTCTTGCCCTTGTATGTTACCAGTAGTAACATACAAGGGCAGTCAATTACAGCCTGAAGTCTGGAACACATAGACATCCCCAGATGCTGGGTTTCACCCATAGTGATGCTCTGCCAGGCCTCTACTGCAACTGTCTTCAGCAAGTGAAATGCATGCTCAAATGGACTCAGGTCAGGTGATTAACCTGGCCATTTCATGACATTGCCTTAAAAAACTCTTTGATTGCTTTTGCAGTATGCTTGGGGTTATTGTCCATCTGCACTGTGAAGCATAGTCCAATAAGTTTTGAAGTATTTGGCTGGATATAAGCAGATAGTATTGCCTGAAACACTTCAGAGTTCATCATGGGGCTTTTTCAGCAATTACATCATCAATAAATACAAGGGAACCAGTTCCAATTGCAGCCATACATGACCATGCTATGCCACTACCACCAGCATTCTTCATTGATAAGATGGTATGTTTTGGATCATGAACAGTTACTGTCCTTCTCCATTCTCCTCTCTTCCCATCACTCTGGTACAAGTTGATCTTTGTCTCGTCTGTCCATAGGATGTTGTTCCAGAACTGTAAAGGCTTTTTCAGATGTTGTTTGGCAAACTCAAATCTGGTCCTCTTGATTTTGACTTCAGTATCCCTTTATTTTCGTCCTCAGGAACATGACATATTTTTGAGTTTGGTGGGGGTTCAACTCCGTAAAAGGGAACCTATATGCACCTTTTCTGTCAGTACTTAAACTATTTTTTGTTGGGAGAATATTATTTGTATGATTTATTGAAAAAAGAGCCCAATACAATAGCAACCTATGATTGACTTGTTTCTGGGGTTTTCTACTTTGTTAAACCAGGACAGACAGGGCTGTACAGAAGGAGCAGTGGTTGGATGGACTGCCTGCTGTTGGTGCAGAGGACACGAATGGGGAGATAGTTCCACTGTTAAAATTCAAGAACATTGGGTTAGTGGAGAAATCCTAATAATTCAGGACTCCTGCTATGTGGACATCATTAAGGACCTCTATAATAAGAAGAGCGCAGCAATCATGACCCCAGCTCTTAGTTATGCTATATGCTATAGGTTTACACTGCTGGAGGATCTGGCACACTGAGCTCCTGTCTGTCCCTCTCTCTCCTTTAGATCTTCATGTCCCATTAAAGTTACCAATCAGATCTCTCTGACTGTCACTGAGCTCCTTTGTCTCTTAGGTCTCTACAGATGGTTGGCTGCTGTGGACCTGCCTGACCTCAGCTGCATCATCTATGGTCGTCCGTCTCAGGCCCTGAGCTCCTTTGTCTCTTAGGTTTCAAGTTTCAAGTTTCTTTAATCGCCACACAGCTAGGCCAGTGGATTTTTTCACAGTGCAGGTGGTAGCTGCAACAATACACCACATTAATTTAAACAGACATTAAACAAACCACAGGGAAAAAAAAAAACAAAAAAAAAAACAAGACAGTGACATGACATAACATATGAAACGGGGTGCCACGGGACATAATACACTGCTGTTGCTGACATGAACATTAGCCTCACTGAAATTAATTTTAAAAAATGCTAGTTAACTACCACCTTGCCTACTGATTTTAACCACTTTAAATTAATTTCAATTTAACATAAGTCTGTTACTTCTTATTTCCTGATCCTTTAAACAGAACTCATATTCTCTCTCTCTCTCTCTGTTTTAGGGCAGGCCAAGATGGCAGTGTATTTTAGCCGGAGGAGGAAGGTGGAGGATGGTTTTATTGTTGATCCGGTCACTGTCTGTAAAAATATGATGAAGTCCAGACTCCTCACTGATTTTAATTTCTACAAAGCAGGAGGAGTTCTGAACTCATTCCAGCAGGTTTGGGATTTCAATCAGGTGTTGTGCTCGGTAGCAGGAAATATTTTACAGTTTGAAGATGTGCTCATGTGAGTATTTATTTATTTTGAGTGTGTCGTTGATTATTTGAATTGACCTCTTTTTTTGAAAAAGAGCAGAAAATAAAGTGAATTCAAAAATCAAAACAAATCTCTCTCTCTCTCTCTCTCTCTCTCTCTGTCTCTCTCTCTCTTCTCCAATTCAGTGGCAGTAGCTGTCTAACATGAGTCTGGTTCTGCTTGAGGTTTCAGCCTGTTAAAGGGAAGTTTTTCCTCTCCACTGTAACTTGCTAAAAATTGCAAAGTGCTTCACTCATGATGATTCCAGATGAGTTAAGCATGAGTCTGACATTTCTAGGTGGGACTCAATCTTCTCCCATCTTGAGGTTGGGTCTCTGTAATAAATCAAACAAAGACTTTGGGCTAGGCCTGCTCTTTTGGAGAGCATCTTGAGATAATGATTGTTGTGATTTGGTGCTATGTGGATGGTAATTGATTGATTGATGGATGATTGTATGTTCAAATATGTAATTGGTTTCTTATTTTTTTCAAATTGGCATTTTTCTTTTTCCTATCTTACAAAGTATTTTGTAATTGAGATTTTAAAAAGTGCCCTTTAAATAGAGACTATTATTATTATTATTATCGTTGTTGTTGTTGTTGTTGTTGTTGTTGTTGTTGTTGTTGTTGTTGCTGTTGCTGTTGTAGTTGTTGTTATAGATAGTTTTGATCCAGAAATAATCTGGAAATTCTCATTTATGCTTTTGTCTCTTCCCGTTAGGACTACTGCAATTCTTTGTTCACATATCTGAACCAACAGAGTTTATACAAGTTACAGCTGGTCCTGAATGCAGCAGCTCACCTCCTTACTAGAACCAAAAACACACATCATGTAACTCCTATTTTAGCTTCACTTCATTGGCTCCTGGTAAGTTTTAGAATTGATTTTAAGACTTCCTTTTTAATTTTTAAAGCCCACTCTGATCTTACACCAAAGTATTCTTCTGATCTCCTCACTTCATGTCATACACCCAGCTCAAAAGGTTTTAGTCTGCAGCACAAGGGTCCTTATTATTTACATATTAACCACCATCCACACTGAATGCATCAAGATCAATATTCAGATCAAGCCAATAACGTCATTTATATCCATTTGATTATTAGTAAGAACTAAACTGAGACAGCTGTTACAAAAGAGATTTCTGTATTGAGTTCATATTTCATAAAACGTCCTTACATCAGTTCTTACACCTGTTTTACTCCTCTTGAATTTTTAACCCTTCTTTTTTCATTCATTGTGATTTTTCTCTTTGGTATGAGTTGTAATGACCTCTACTTTTTTCCTCTTCTTTTAAAAAACCTTTTAATAAAAGGGCCATTAAGCTGCTTCAAAAAGAGAGATGCTGCCAAATGACATTTCATTGTATTTCTTTACAATGACAATAAAGCTTCTTCTGCTTCTAAAGTAGGTTTGTAGGTTAAGTTGTGATGTTCACTTTCTCTTCTGTTTGCAGTCTGCTGCTCTGGCTCCAGATTTTCGTGTTTTCTGTCTTCACTTCTTTCTAAGCCTCATCTCAGCTTGGTTCTGATTTGTGTGTGTGTGTGTGCGTGTGTGCGTGTGTGCGTGTGTGCATGCGTGCGTGTGTGTGCAAACCAGCCTGCAGTCTCATGAGGATATGACATTCATCAGTTTAAACACAGGTGTAAACACCTGTGCAGGTTAAGAAGAGTTTCATAAGTCTGACTGTGACTGTTCAGACAAACTTTCTGATCAATACAGTGAAGAAAAATGTACTGAATGAGGCTGGATTTTTCCCCATAGAGACAGAGATCAGTCCAGTTCAGTGAGCCAGTTTGACAGGGAGTCCTGCTCTTTGACAACATACATTCAGACTGATGTGACTGTGGTGAGACGCCGCCTCCTTTTGTCTTATTTTGGCTGGACTTCCTGTGTTTCCGTGTTTGCCTGGCCTGGCTTTACTCTCTTCCAGAGCTATAATCCCCTCTCTCAACTCAACCTCCCAGTAACAGCGGCCAGTCAGACCATCTCTACACAGAAGCTGAGGCCAGAGGTCAAATCTGTCTGGATGATCAGGATATGACTGATCCTCTTCCACACGTGTCACCTTCCTGTTGTTTTCAGACAGTTTAAGGAGTCTGTGTGCTGTGTTTGAATCCACTGTGAGTTCACAGAAATCTGACAGAGAGAAAAAGACACAACACAACAGCAGGTTATCATCAGGCACACCTGAAGGCTTTCTTCTTTGTTAGCTGACAGTCTGTTGTTTGGTCATCAGGAGTCAAACTGACTCCACACTTACACTTCTTCACACCAGGTTTTAACCTCTGCTCTCCACCATGGTCCACCCTGGAGGAAGAAACACAGTCAGAATGATTGAGTGTCCAACATGAAGCAGAGTTCCTCAGTTTGTCTTCGTGTTAGAGAAACAGGCTGAAACTCATCTGAGCCAACAGTCTCCATCACTCTGTCACTTTTCCTGAGTCTTTCTAACAGAAACTCCCAGAAAAAGAACAACAACAAAATTCAAACAGCAAAGGCTTGCTGTTGGTCTATCCTAAAACATGGAGACTTGATTTGAACTCTTTGGAAAAAGACATTCATTTCTTCTTTTTGGGCAGCTCTCCATACTGCAGTCTAAAAAGCTCTTTTTAAACAGACTTGAAACCTTGTCTGTACATAGAGAGATGAGGTATGGGGCTTTCCTCTTCTAAATATGAATGAAGATGAAATGAAAGCTCTCAGATGAACTCATGTGAGTGTGTGAGGCTCTTCTTGAATCATTCAGTGTCAGCTAGAGCAGAGGGAGTAGAAGCATCACACTTGGAACAGCAGGTGGATTTCCTGCAGTTTGGGATGGACAGAAAGTGGAGCAAAGTCAGTGCATTTCCTCAAACAACCCCTCACCTTACCCGATCATGAGATAGGTCTGCTGCTGCTCTCACTAAATGTAGATGTGCCAGTAAAGCAGTGGAGCTCAGCTGATGAAGCTAAATGAAGACTGTAAGGAAGTTACAGTTGTTTTTAACATCTATAACTTCCTTAGTGATGTTCATGCTGAGTTTCAGTTCAATCTATCATTTCTTTTTACAGAGCAGACTATGTGCGGGAGTCAGGGGTCCCAGTGTGTTAGTGTCACTGAAGGACTGTGCTGTCTGCTCTTCATGTCTTCAGAAAGTTTGCTGAGTGTCTGCTGTTAAACTAAATTTTGAGACCAAGCATAAGGAATCTTCCAAGAAGGCAGACAGACTGAATCCATCAAAGCTGCTGTGTGGAGGTATTAGAACAAGCTACCACACACACCCTACCAAAGCTTAGCATACCATTGCCCACTGCACTCCAAAACATGGAAAGGCCTTGACTGAGGGTGGATGTATGAAGGAGGTGTTTCTCTGAAGCTCTGAGGGTTTGTTTGATGGCTCACCAAACAAAGAGAGCAGAAAATCAAGAAGAGAAGACATTCCCATGTCAGCCAGGAGGGTTGATCCTGGTCTGTATGGACGAATGAAATAGAGGATCTGGAGGAGATTTGAATATTGTTCTGCTCTGATCATTAAACTAGATGTGAATCCTCATCTTGTAACATCAGGTGTAATAAAGCATCTTCTCTGTGTTCTGATGTGGGCTAAAGGACTGTTAAATGTGTTTTGAACTTCAGATATGAGCCCATCTCTCTCCGGATCATCTCTGTATTTAGTCTGTGTGTCTGTTCATCAATCAGGGAGATGTGAAATTACCACAGAGTCAGAATATCCAGATTTGGACCTCTTTCCACCTTGAACACTGAATAAGATCTATTCTTCCTCACCTTCCATCATCTTCACCTCCCCTCATACATCTGCATGTAGTAGGCCAGGTTATAACCAATCAGAGAGCTTGTTTCATAACTTATTAGCATTGTTTTACCTGGTTTTACCAGGTCAAGGCCCAAAATGAGAGGGAAGGAAAAATAAAAGACGTTGCTAATCGCTTAGCTAACAGGAAATGGAAATGAAAAAAGGGAAACATCCTTTAAATGGCTGATTAAAAACTGTATTCTTACTTTAGTTTGACAATTCACTTCTTTATTTTTCTTTTTAAAAACTGTGTGTTCAAACTGTGTTTTAATCTATTTAAATAAATAATGCAGTCATGTATTTTTAAATGATAGACTTTTGTACAGTTCTAAAGATTTATTTGTAGAATCTTGTTATATTTCCTCTATTTGTTCATGGATGAACTCATGAATTTAAACACCAGTTTATGAATTCCTATTTTAACAGTTCGATAACTTTTTTTTTTCTTAATAAAAATGCTTTATTTCAATTTCTGCGACCCCTGTGGTCCTGCATTAAGAGCAGTTAAGATGGTTCTTCATATTCAAAAGATTTCCAAGAGAAGATGCTTATCCAGGTGCCCAGTGTTGCAGACAAATTGTGTGGAGGAGGAAACAGAATAACAGACACACATCAGTCTGATCCAAAGTAATTTCTCATGAACTGTTTGAGGGTTTTTTTAATTAATGTTCACCTCAACATGCATTACAGCAAAGTGTATGTCAGCTGGAGCAAGATCCAAGCCATCAACAACTACGCTCTGCCAGTGATCAGATACCCTGCTGGCATCATAGCCTGACCAAAGAAAGGGCTGCGGCAATTCGTCATAGTTGACATAACAGACAACGCAATTATGTTGAAGCAAAAACAAATGTTGACATGAAGCATGATAATTACATATGCCATGACTACAACAGTTACTGGTGGAGGCATGGACAATGAACAAGAACCAACTAAAAGACCCCACCAATGCTTATCAAAGTGTGAGAATACTTCAGTCACAGACCTCATAATGTTGTGGTATATGCAAGTGCTATGCTGGAGCACTTGATGCTGGAGCACTTGAAGCGGAAGCGCTAGCTGAAGATAGTGGCAACTGCGGCAGCAAGCTGGCATCTAAGTCCTCTTTTAATTTTTGTCCCAACATTAGCATCAGCATTATCAACACCCTAAACATGTTTTAATATCTCACAGCGAAGAGAGAGGAACTGTCCAACACCATTGGCCCTTTGGTCCATTAAGGTGTTGTGAGGTGGGTGATCCATGTTCTTTAGAATAGTCTCCACCTTCCTCTGTGTGCATCTCTCCACCACATCCTCCAGTGAGTCCAGCTTGAGTCCTACCACAGAGTCAGCCTTTCTCACCAGTTTGTTCAGACATCTTGCATCTTTGTGTTTGATGCTTCCTTCCCTGCAGACTGCAGCGTAGAACAGAACACTTTCCACCACAGACTGATAAAACATTTGCAGCGTCTTACTACAGATGTCTATTGATCGGAGTCTTCTCAGGCAGGAGAGGCAGCTCTGCCCCTTTCTGTAGATGAAGTCTATATTCTTAGACCAGTCCAACTTATTATCCAGATGTACACCAGATGTATTGATATGATGTCACCACTTCGATGTCCACTCCACAGGTGTTCACTTAGCCTGGCTGGGACATCCAGTTGCGTGAATCACTTGCCGTTACTTCCCACAACAGTCTGGACTTCGGCCAATTGGGAGTGTGTATTAGAAATCAGAAAATAACCGGGCCAATCAGTGACTGTGTTTCCACTGTTCCCCGGACAACAGGGAAAGGCAGCCCCTGATTGGTCCATGTGTAGATGGTGACGTCTAACACGTGCTGCGGGACTTTTCAAAGCGCTGTGCTTTCAGAATGCCGTTAATTCTGCAGTGGACTTTGCAAAGTTGGCAGAAATCCTTTACATCCGCAGAAGAAGACATAAAAGACATTGTTTGCTCGCACACGTTAAATATAACCAAACCTTTACTTGATGCTTGAGAGCCCAGCAGGGAACACAGTTGCATACTGTGATGACATCAGATGTTTGGTTACGGTGATTGGTTACGCAACTGGATGGCCCAGCCAGGCTAGTGTTCAGTGGCTGAAGAGGGGGTTTGGATCTACGGAAGTCTATGACCATCTCCTTTGTCTTTGAGGTGTTGAGGAGGAGGCAGTTTTTGTGACTCCAGTCATTGAAGACTCTTATCAGATCTCTGTATTCAGCTTCTTGTCCATTTCTGATACATGCCACGATAGCAGTGTCATCTGAGTATTTCTGAATGTGGCAGGACTCAGTGCTGTATTTGAAGTCTGATGTATACAGTGTGAACAGGCTTGGAGCCAGGACTGTCCCTTGTGGAGCCCCTGTGCTGCTCATTAATGTCCCAGAAACACAGTTCCCCAGCCTGACAAACTGTGGCCTTCCTGTCAGATAATCTGTGATCCAGGAAACACAGGAAGGATCCACTACCATCTCTGTGAGCTTGTCTTTGAGTATGGTGGGTTGGATGGTGTTGAGTGCACTTGAAAAGTCGAAGAACATGATCCTCACATAAACCCCAGGTTCCTCCAGATGAGACAGGGCACGGTGAAGCGTGTAGAGGACAGCGTCATCCACTCCAATGTGTTCTTTGTATGCAAACTTCAGGGAATCCAGTTTGTCTTTGAACTCAGACCTCAGAAGGGTTTTCATGATGAGGGCCACTTGTCTGTAGTCATTGAGTTCAGCAGGACATTTTGTTTTTGGTACTGGCACAATGCAGGATGTTTTCCACAGAGCAGGTACCCGCCCCAGCTGTAGACTCAGGTAGAAGATCCTGTGGAGAGGTTGACACAGTTCTGCAGCACAGTCTTGATGCAGCCTTGGACACACACCATCTGGGCCAGCTGCCTTCCCAGGACAAAGTCTTCCAAGCTCCATCCACACCCCTGTTTCGATGACAGACAAGGACTGATGTTCTCGGAAGGAGTCAGTTGAAGTGGTTGAGACATTTGAACAAGATGGAGGAGGAACGGGAGAAGTTGTAGTGGAGATTTGTTGCGGAGAGGGAGGTGGAGTAGCAGTGGGAGTGGGTGTGACAGCAGTGTCAAATCTGTTGAAGAACAGGTTGAGTTCATCAGCTCTTTCCACATCACCCACCACTGGTTGTCTTTTCTTTCTATTGCTGTGTACAGAGATGGTACTGATTCCTCTCCACACTTCACGGATGTTGCTGTGTTGTAGATTCTTTTCTATCTTCTTTTTGTACTACAGCTTTGCCATCTTCAGTCTCCTCTTCAACTCTTGTTGCACTTGTTTGAGTCATTCTTTGTCACCATCTTTAAAAGCTTTCCTTTTTCTGGTTAAGGATTGCTTTTATGTCTCTTGTGATCCAGGGTTTGTTGTTGGGGAACAGTGAACAGTTTCTGTGGGTATAACTGTGTCTCTACAGAAGTTGACATATTCAGTAAAGCAGTCAACCTGTTTATCAATGTTCATACTATCCTCATCTGTTTCCAGCAGCACATTCCAGTCTGTTGATTTAAAACAGTCTCTTAGAGCTTCTCTGGCTTGAGGTGTCCATCTACTGATTTTGACTTTGGTCACAGGCTGCCAAGTACACAAGGTCTGTAACAGGTTTGCAGATAGACCAAGTTGTGATCCGACTTGCCCAGTGGTGGTAAGGCAGTGGCTCTGTAGGCTTCTTTGACGTTGGCATACAGCAGATCCAGGGTTTTGTTTTCTCTGGTAGGACAATTCACAAACCATGTGAATCCAGTTAGGTGAGAGGAGAGGGTGACATGGTTGAAGTCTCCTGATATTATTATTAGTGCCTTAGGGTGTTGAGTCTGTAGCCTGGCAACACTATTTTGGCAAAACATCGCACAGAATTTCTTCTGTTGATTTGGGTGGAATGTAAACAACTACTGTTATGATATGACTAAATTCTCTTGAAACATAATATGGCCGATGACCAACTGCCAACAGTTCAATATCTGGACAACACAACTTCTCCTTGACAGTTATGTGTGAAGGGTTACAGCATCTCTGGTTGACAAATAAAGCCAGACCTCCTCCTTTCTTCTTGCCACTAGCTTGAGCATCTCTGTCTGACCCATAGACTGTATATAGAATGGACAGACTCTGCCTCCTCGCTGGGTGAAGCCACTCCAAGAACAGCACAGATGTCTTCCTCAACATCAAGTTCCACTGAATCTCATCCTCAATGAAAAACTGCTGAGATGGCAACATCCACCGGGACTCTGTAGAGTCAGCTCGTGGTGAATTTCGACACTTTCTCTCTATTTTAATAACTTCTGGATATTTTCTCGGGCACAGCACTCCTCACGCAGCCGGACGATGAGATCTCTCCTCTCATTCACCTCTCTCCCAGAGTGCTGTATGCACCTGCATTGCGGTTAATCAGAAACATCATGACCCACTGCTCTCTCTCTCTCTCTTTACAGCACAGTTAACCCCAGTTTTTACCCATTTTTAGGTCATCAAGTGAACATTATTGAGCTAATAATTATTTTTTGATTGATTGATTGATATGCCAGTGGAGAGCCAGTTACTTTGTGTCCAGTTACTTTTACTCTTGTCAGCCCTGTTACCATAACATCAATCCTGTTGTCATTAATTTGATAAAAATGTAAAAAATGACAACTCAAATGGGCTTTCAACACTCACCATCATAATTTAAGTTACATTATATTTTAGATTGGGCTATTTTTCAACATTTCTCTTCTAAAAAAATATTGGATGAATGTTGAGACAAGATAGGGTATATTTGATCATCTGAATGACAAATATCTAATTGGAGAAAACAAACCCACAAAATAAATTAATCTCAGTGGAAAGAGAGTGTCATGATCCAGGGCTGTTTCCTTGGCCCTCATTTATCAAGCTTGCGTACGGCAGAAAACTTGCGTACACCTTGCGTAGGACAATTTTGACATGAGGATCGGCATTTATCAATCTGCACATGAGCGTACGCTACGACCAAATCTCACGACAGGTCTGACATCGTGTACGCAAGTTTGAGTCAGTGTAGATCTGCGATGCAGCAAATATCTGTCTCAAATGACTCCTAAAAGGCAGGTAGCTGTGTCTTGGCCCAGCAGCTAGGACTTTGTTGTACACTCCTGAAAGAGTGTGGGACATCATTTGGGCCAGTTCAGTTTTGCACAATGTTGTACTGGCGAATGGAGTGCCGTTGGCTGTGCCGATGCAACGTGAGGACCCGATGCCCGGAGAATAATAACGCGGAAAGACTCCACAAAGGTGCTGTACAGAGGGGACAGGACCTTATCGATTGATTCTGACATGTAAAGTATAAGTTTAGAAAGTGCTCTTGCTATTTAATCAGTGATAAAAATCCATTAGAAATAAAAATGTGCCTCAGGGGTAGCAACACACCGTTGGGTGAGGTTAACAATTATTTTTGTTCAGACTCTCCAGTCTGCTCTACATTACAAAAACGCAACAAATTAAAACTAAATACTTTCAATAATAGGAGCAACGTACTATATGTCATGGCAATAAACAAATATGAGGCATGTATGAGATATTGATTTATCATCATGATCAACTTATTGACCAATGATTTATTCAAACTTCAGCCACTGTCCACTATTCCGCAGCAGCGCTGTTCACCGCCTCCATAATCCTGTGTGTGGTTGAACCGTTCGACATGGTTACCACGAGGGTGGTATGGAGTCCTCACCTTATGTATGTGCCATGAGTTTTCACCTTGTTTCCAACATCTACAGCCATTTTAGGCCAAAAGAACCTTGTTCTGACAAGATCTAAGGTATGATCTGCACCCATGTGCCCCATGTGATCATGTAAACTCATCAAGACCATATCACTGAGCTCAGCTGGCAAAACCAGCTGATAAGAAGTTTGAGAGCCAACTTGCTGTCTTCAGTAAAGCACATAATTGCGGTGCTCAAGATGCTGTAGGTCTCTCAACAAGAGTGGGAGCTCTGGAAGTTCACTCTGTAGTGTGAGAGGTGGCTTCTCCCCGCATTCAAGTTGGTGAATGACATGTCTCAAACACTGATCTGCCCTTTGTTTGTTTGCTAACTCGACCTCAGTTAAGTAAGGGATGAATGGCAACCCACCAAGCTGATCCTCTTTCCCATAGCTATCAGGTACAGCTCTCGTGGAGGTGGGTTTTCAGCCAAAGTGGCACCACTGTGGGCATCAAGGTTGTCACTGAAGACAAACTGTTCCTCACAAGTAGCTTGCACAACAGCTCGGTCAACAGCATTGATATTGCCAGGGTCAGAGAGATGGTCGCGAGTGAACTGACAAATTCGCTCCCTCTCCTTCTGCGACTTGGAATCGTCCAACAGTTCACCATGGGGTCTGCGTGACAGTCGGCATCTGAGTTTTGTTTTCCCGGTCTGTACACAAGGTTGAATGAAAAGGTAGACAATGCTGCAAGCCGTCTATAACTCTTTGCATAGAGTTTCACAGTGGTTAAAATGTACGTCAATGGGTTACTGTCAGTAACCATGGTGAAGTGATTGCCATAAAGGTAGTCACAGAATTTTTCAGCGACTGACCACTCCGTGATGGCTCCCTGCTCGCATGAGCTATGACTCAGAGCTGACCTTCTTGTTCCACTGGTGCTGGCATCAGTGTGTAGCACATACGGCTTTTGAGGATCGGCAAAGCCCAATACAGGAGCAGTGGTAAGTGCTTCAATGACCTGCTCGAATGCTTGCTGAAAAGCAGGTGTCCAACAACCTCCAAAGGCTTCCTTTGGGTCATGGTAAGGCTGATCAGCTGATGGTCTCAAGTTGCATTTCTTGTGTGGAGGTGGGTACCCAGAAGTCAGGCTGTGCTGTATCCCTGCACGAACCTTATGTAGTACCCTGCAAATCCCAAGAATGATCTCAGTTCTTGCATGTTCTTGGGGACTGGCCAAGTTTTAAGAGAAGTGATTTTCTCTGGGTCAGTCTCAACCCTGTTCCTGGACACAACATGTCTAAGGTACCAGACTGATGTCCGGAAGAAGGAACACTTATCAGGTGACAGGTTTAGACCAAATTCCTTGAGACATCCAAGAACCTCCATGAGTCATCTTCATGCTCCTCCAAGGTCTTTGAAAAGACGATCAGGTCGTCTAGGAAAACCAAGACCCCCTTTAAATGCATGTGGTGTGGTGTATGAAAAAGTTTAACCAGTACCTCTATGGAAGACACTTTATACTGATAACTGATCATCAGCCCCTGGTATACATCTTTAGTCCCCAGAAAGGTGTTCCGGCCATGGCAGCTGCACGCCTACAGCGGTGGGCTCTGTTTCTAGTAGCACACACATACATGATAAAATATAAAGGTACAAAGCTGCATGAAAATGCAGATGGGTTATCTCGCCTTCCACAAGCAAAATCTGAAAAAGCCATTGACCCAGCTGTAGTGCTTCACATGTCACAGATGGAACCTCTTCCTGTCACCAGCGCACAGGTCCAAAAAGAGACAAGAAATGACCCTGTCCTGGCCTATGACTTGACAGTGCACGGATGGCCATTACATGGAGACACCCAGTTCCCAGAGTACTCTACTCGACGAGATCAGCAGTCAATTCACAGGGGACAAGTTTCAGTGTTTTCTCAAGAGCAATGGCATAAAACACATCACAACGACGCCACATCACCCTGCTACTAATGGACTAGCAGAACGCTTTGTTCAAACATTCAAATAGTCCATGAAAGCAAGCAGGAAGGAGGGAGTGTCGTTACAACAGAAGGTAGCTAATTTCCTTCTGGCATACAGGCACAACAGGACAGACACCTGCGATGCTGTTTATGGGAAGGAGTCTGAGGTCACACTTGGATTTACTTAAACTGGACATTCGCAAACATGTTCAGAAGAAACAGTGTTCTCCCAGTCAGGTACAGAGGAAGCTGAGAGCCTTTGACATTGGACAGAGAGTCCTTGCCAGAGACTATCGCACTCCTACCAAGAAATGGCAGTCTGGTGAGATACTATCACAGACACCAGTGACACTCAGGCTCCAGAAACTGTGGACTCTACTCATCAAAGCATAACTGAGCATGGATCATCTGCACACCAGAACCCAGAAAGAAACCAAAGACCGCCTCAGAGGCTTGATTTATAGGCAACTCCAGCAGAGACAAGTGAACTGATGTTTACTTAAAAGGAAAAGTGTTGGTTTAGAAAATGGTTTATGTTTGAATTTTATACCACCTATCATAATGGTAATGGTGCCTTATTTTGATTTAAGTCATAGTTAGCAAAAAAAAAAAAAAAAAAACGTATTGTAATTGTTGGTGTTGGGTTAGAGTACATCAAAGCTGAAAGGGATGAATTGTTATGTATTTGAGGAAATAACACAGTATTTGTACACTTTGGGAAGGCACTACATTTTGTTGGCTAGCACAGTTGTCAGTGTACCTGTTTGGTTGAGTGATGTGTCAGCACATTGATACCTGTTAACTGAATTTGCACTTGAACAGTAAAGTCCTGAAACTGTATCTTGTGGTTCAGCTAATTATTTATTGCTGTTAATGTAAGTGAGAAACATAACAATGTAAAAAGGTTTTCTGCTCACCCTTTTGTTCAGGTGTGCCTGAATTGTCTAAAAAAGCATCTCCACAGATCAACTCTATTTCTATTTCTATTTGTTTAATTAGCACAGATTAAAAACAGTGCAAGGAGGGAATGAAGCCAATAGGCTTATACAGAGTCCCACTCCCATCAGGGCAGTGAAGGCATAGGGTGCAAACAACAAAGTAATTAGGACATAGACAGGCTATAAATATACAATGAGTAGGGAAAGGACAAAACATGTACAAAATTGGCATAAATAGAACATAGACTAAACATCAACCAGCCCAACCAGAGATAGAGAAAATACAAGTATACATAAAAAGAGAAGAAACATGGACGTGACAGATAATGACGTGTTTAAGACATGATTAGATGAGATTTCAATGATAATTTAAAGGATTTGAAGGATAATATTGATTTTAGAGATACATCCAATTCATTCCATAGTTTCGGTCCTCTAAATGTGATATTAAACTGCTGACAAGAAGTTTAACAGAAAGGTAACTGAAGAAAGCCATTTGGAAAGTTTTGGAAGGAGTCAGGAAGGGCTTGTTTCCTATTGATGAACTTATGGACAAACAAGCAAGAGTGAAAGACATTGAGTTTGTCAATCGGTAAGACTGAGGGCTCTATTTTGGTGCCTGGCCGGAGACGTGCCGCAAGCGCAGAGTCAATCAGATCCGCCGCGCTGACAAGGCGTTCCCAAGCACATTTTGGTATTTTGGTGAGCCGCGCAGCCCGGCGTAAGTATCCCCCCTCCCTAACTCAGCTCCTCCCGGCAGCATAAATCATTGACGGGGAGGAGAGGGGGTTTAACACAGCCGAGACCTGTTTTCACCAATCACATTAGCTCCTCTCCTCGCCTTTAAATCCGCCACAGGCGAGGCGTATTACTATTTTCATGAAGTAGTCAAAGAGATCAAGAGATGTCTGAAGACAGTTATGCCACACGATGGCGACAGAGGGCAGCTGCTCAACAAGTGTCCTCCACACTCTCTCATCTGAGCACAGATGGATTTGGTGTGCGTAATGTTGGACCCACTGGTAAGACAAACACCCTTTTCCACAAATAAAGACACTCACATAAAGTTGCATATATTCAAACCTCACGTGACAAAGGTGGGTTGAGCGCACAGATCACAACAAAAACTCCAAAAAGGCATTAAAATCGGAACCATCTGTGCGTAAATGACGCATCGCGCTCCGTGGCCTGGCTCTTTCTTTCATAGATGTTGGCATATAAAATAAATTTGGCTCACAAAACTGAATATTATAATATCCGTATGTCGGCTTAAAGTAGATAACGCATCTGAGCACTGAAACAAATCATCTGTTCAGCCGCAGCAGCAGCAGGAAGACGGACAGAGGACACGGAGACGTGTCCAGGTCGAGCTGTGCGAGAAATAAGAGGAAGAAAGAAAAGGAGGGAGACACATTACATATCTTGTTAACTTCATCATGTGTGTTTATTTACTAGATATTTAATTTAATTTGATGCAGTTTCAGCTGTATTGATTCGGTCAGGTTGTGTGTCCAAACGCGTGCCAAACGCGCTCATCAGATCATATATAGATCAGAATATATCGATATAGATCTAAATGTATGTGCTGACTCAGATTAATAGTTGTTGATCATTATTTATTGCACTGAAATCTGCCTGACACTGTGGAAACCTGCCGGTGAGGCATCAGTGACGTATGTCGATACGCCGCCGGTCTACCAAAATACTACTGGACCAGCTGCGTTCCGCCTTGCGCTGAAAGCTGACCAGGTTTGAATCGGCGAGCTTTCAGCGCACGTTACACGCCAGTGGCGAGCACGAAAATGTCACTGCGCCAGCTGATTCTGTCAACACCTCCCCCTGCCACGCCACCACGCCCAGCTTGGCGGATCTCGGCTCGCCTCCGTGCGACTCAGTCCACGAAAATACCAAACTCGCCTTACACCGGGCTCCGCCAGACGAAAATACAACTGCGCGGGGCTCGCCGCCCTCCGCCGCCTCACCGGCGCGAACGAAAATAGAGCCCTGAGTATTTAGTAAAGAGAGGTGCAGAAGGTTCATGTCTGCTGGATCGAGATATCATTCTTAAGAATCTTTTCTGGATAAATAATATTTTCTTGAGGTAAGTTGGATATGTTGCACACCATACAATCTACAATACATCATATAAGGAAATAAAAAGCTATAATACAAAGACAAGTGAGCAGAGGGATTGATCAAGGGACATACCTTATTAATTATACCTAGGCTTTTCATTGACCTTTCGCAAACTTGACTGATATGATTGTTCTACTTAAGACCCTCATCAAGGACAACACCCAAAAAAGTGGTGTAGATTTTAGTACCATTAATTGATATTTTGGCTTCTTCTTTTGCATAAGATTTGTTTTTGTTGCAGAAGATCTTGAAGTTACATTTTTTATTTTAAGAGATTGCTTATTAGTCAGAAACCAGTTAGCCACAGAAGACAATTCATCATTAACACGAGCAATGAGAGTCTCGAAGTCAGCATGAACATCTATGAAACTGGTGTCATCCACAAATAACAAGGGGAGAAGGCTATCACAAGACGTAGGCAAGTCATTGATATAAATCAAGAATAATAAAGGGCCCAGGGTTGATCCCTGGGGGACCCCAAAGAGAATACTGGATTTAGTGGATGAAGCACCATTTAGGTGAACAAACTGCTCTCTATCGTCTAGATAACTGATCAGCCAGTTAAGGGCAACATTCTGGATTCCATATCTATAAAGCTTTGAGATGAGGATTTTATGATCGACAATCTCAAAAGCTTTGCTCAAATCAAGAAAGACACAGAGGGCAATTTTTTTCCCATTTAAAGCAGAAGAAATGGTACTAGCAAGTTGCAGCAATGCATGCTAAGTTGAGTATTTCTTGCAGAACCTTTATTGATGATTATACAAAATATTATTAACAGTCAAGTGGTTGGAGATTCTCATATAGACTAATTTTTCAGAGATCTTTGACAAACAGGGTAGTATAAATATTGGGCGATTGTTACCAAATTCTTTTGTATTACCTGATTTAAATATCGGTATAACTTTGGCAATTTTAAAATCTCGAGGGACAATACCAGACAGAAGGGATAAAGAGAGAATGTGGGTCAGGGGGTGAATGATGTAATCTATAGTTTCTTTGACAAGACTGCTTTTAAATAAATTCCTAACAATGTCATGGACCTCTTCTAAACTGGGAGGATCAAAACCAGAGAGTGTTGAAAATGTGCCGTTAATGAAACGTGCAGGATTTATATCTGAGTCTTTCATGCTAGAAGCCAAGGAAGCGCTGACGTTAATAAAGAAGTCATTAAAACCTTCTACTATGTCTCTCTAGTCTCAGGACTCAGGACTGTTAATATTTTTAAGGGAAGGTTGAAGACCTACCTTTTAAATCAGGCTTTTAACTAGTATTTTAATTTTTTCTTATGTGGTTCTATCATATTTTATGTTGTTGCGTGTATCTTTTAAGATGTTAACCTTATATAATTTTATTTGTTTTACTTATCATTGGTTACATTTTATTTATTATCTTATGAGTCTTATGTCCTTTTAAACTGTTCCCTGTATTAACTTTTTTTTCAGGGTTTTTATCCTATCTTATTCTTTTAGTTTTCAGCTTTAACTCCGGAGTTTCCTTAGGGGGTCCTCCACACTGGGAGTTGTGTCTGGGCTGCTGCTGGGGGCGCTGTCCCTGCGCCCCTTTGGTCTGTCGGGGTCAATTAATTCAATTAATTATTTTGTTTATTTTGTTTGAGATGATTCAATAAATCATTGAAGTGAATACTACTTAGACAAGTTATCAATTTTTATTTTGGTTAAATTCATTGTTATATTGATCGGGTAATAAAATTATTGTTAGAATAATTGATAAATTAACGGGAAGATTTGTCGAAAAAATAATTGTTAGATTGCTTCGTGCAACCCTTTATATTTGTAGTTGTCTGTGACTCAGTAACTGTCTGGTTATACCTCAGTGTATCCAGTCTCCATAGAGGATCCTTCAGTCCAGCAGAAAGTAGTTTTACACCTGAGTCTCCTGGATGATTGTAGCTCAGGTCCAGCTCTCTCAGGTGTGAGGGGTTGGAGCTCAGAGCTGAGGCCAGAGAAGCACAACCTTCTTCTGTGATCAGACAGCCTGATAACCTGAAGTCAGAAAAACATATGAAACAAGGAAAAGTGTACAAGTTTTCAAAAGTTTTATTCAAACAGTTATAGATCAGAAGAAACCCCCACCTGAGAGTTTACAGTTTACAGTGAAGACTCTTCAATCCAGCAGACAGCAGCTTCATTCCTGAATCCTGCAGGTCATTGTTACTCAGGTCCAGCTCTCTCAGACTGGAAGACTGGGAGCTGAGGACTGAGGACAGAGCCTCACAGCCTCTCTTTGACAGGTCACACCCAGTCAACCTGAAGAAGAATCAGTGATCAGCACAAACACAATGTTTCATCTCTCATGAGCAATAATGTTTGAATCTCTCATGTGTCCACTCACAGAACTTTGTTAGAGGCTTTGACCACTGGTAGCATCCTCAGAAGACCCTCCTCTGAAGCAGAGTATTTCTTCAGGTCAAACATGTCCAGATCTTTTTCTGATGACAGTAAGATGAAGACCAGAGCTGACCACTGAGCCGGAGACAGTTCTTTTGTGGAGAGACGTCCTGATCTCAGGGACTGTTGGATCTCCTCCACTAGAGAACTATCGTTCAGTTCATTCAGACAGTGGAACAGATTGATGCTTTTCTCTGCAGACAGATCCTCACTGATCTTCATCTTGATGTACTGGACTGTTTTCTGATTGGTCTGTGAGCTACTTCCTGTGTGTGCCAGCAGACCTCTCAGGAGATTCTGATTGGTTTGCAGAGAAAGACCCAAGAGGAAACGTAGAAATAAATCCAGGTGTCCGTTTAGACTCTGTAAGGCCTTGTCTACAGCACTCTGGTGGAGATGTGTCAGATTTTGTTTGACATTGAAGATTTTAGAGATTGAGGATGTTGTTTGTTGTTGTTCTCTCATCAGGTTGGCTCCAGAGTTGGTAAAGGTCAGGTGGACATGAAAGGCAGCTAGAAACTCCTGAACACTCAGATGGATGAAGCAGAAAACCTTGTCCTGGTACAGTCCTCTCTCCTCTCTAAAGATCTGTGTGAACACTCCTGAGTACACTGAGGCTTCTCTGATATCCATGCCACACTGAGTCAGGTCTGATTCATAGAAGATCAGGTTTCCTCTCTGCAGCTGCTCAAAAGCCAATTTTCCCAGAGACTTAATCATCTTCTTGCTCTTTGGACTCCAGTGTGGATCTGTCTCAGCTCCTCCATCATACTTGATGTTCTTAAGTTTAGACTGAACCACCAGGAAGTGGGTGTACATTTGAGTAAGGGTCCTGGGCAACTCTCCTTTCTCTCTGGCCTTCAACAGATCCTCCAGAACTGTAGCAGTGATCCAGCAGAAGACCGGGATGTGGCACATGATGTGGAGGCTTCTGGATGTCTTGATGTGGGAGATGATTCTGCTGGCCTGCTCCTCATCTCTGAATCTCTTCCTGAAGTACTCCTCCTTCTGAGGGTCAGTGAACTCTCTGACCTCTGTCACCATGTCAACACACTCAGGAGGGATCTGATTGGCTGCTGCAGGTCGTGTGGTTATCGAGAGGCGAGCAGAAGGAAGCAGGTCCCCCTTGATGAGGTTTGTCAGCAGCACATCCACTGAGGCGGGCTCTTTGACATCCGTCAGGATCTGATTGTTGTGGAAGTCCAGAGGAAGTCGACACTCATCAAGACCGTCAAAGATGAAGACAACCTGGAAGTCTTGAAAGCTGCAGATTCCTGCCTCTTTGGTTTGAGTGAAGAAGTGATGAAGAAGTCCCATCAAGCTGAACTTTTTCTCTTTCACCACATTCAGCTCTCTAAAGGTGAATGGAAATGTGAAGTGGATGTCCTGGTTGGCTTTGTCTTCAGCCCAGTCCAGAGTCCACTTCTGTGTTAAGACAGTTTTCCCAATGCCAGCCACTCCCTTTGTCATCACTGTTCTGATTGGTTCCTGTCTTCCAGGTGAGCCTTTAAAGATGTCTTCTTGTCTGATGGTTGTTTCTGATCGCACTGCTTTCCTGGATGCTGTTTCAATCTGTCTGACCTCATGTTCACTGTTGACCTCTCCAGTCCCTCCCTCTGTGATGTAGAGGTCTGTGTAGATCTGGTTCAGAAGGGTTGGGTTTCCTGCTTTACCAATCCCCTCAAACACACACTGGAACTTCTCCTTCAGGTTGGACTTGAGTTTGCGTTGGCACTTTGCAGCAGCAGATCCTGAATGAACAAAGAGAAATGTGTTAAATAGTCTAAAGCTACTATCAGTCTGATGAATTGACACTTGAAGACACCAGGATGGATTTGATTTCCCTCCTCTCTGAAATCTCTTCAGCTCATCAGCTGTGATCAGTTTCCCTCAGTTCATAGATGTGATACAAATGTAGGAATCATAGGAACAGGAGAGTCTGAACTGTAAACCTCTCCCATGTTGTCTCCATTTCCTCTTTCCATCATGTTAAATCTCTTCAAATCCTCTTACTGCTCTGCAGACAGTCAGCCAGCTCCTCCTGCCTCATTCTCCTCAGGAAGTGCAGAGTGATCTTCAGAAATGCCTCTCTGCTCCTCATCTGCTCTTCATCCTCATCCTCCCTCTGACTCTCTAAGCATGCTGGCTCATCTGGACTCAGAACTCTCTGGATCTCCTTCAGCTGCCTCTTTACAAAGCTGATCATGTTCTCCTGGAGCAGCTGGAACAGAACAAAATGTAAACTTGAATTTGTAGAACTGAACATCAGATCATCTGTGACAGACAGAAAGCCCGCTGGTCTGCAAAGTGCAGCTCAGAGACTGGATCACAATGCTGCTTCAGGATTGACTTTGTAGATGGTCCTGTCTTCTATAAATCCAGTTTGTGTGAACTGAACTTCATATTGGAGAAATCTCCTGGTGTGGTTTCATGGAGAAAAAGTCTGCAGGGACTTAGAGGTGATGTGTTTATTAGAATCAACCAAAGTCTTCCTGTTCTTTTAACCTCAAACTGGACTCAGTTTGTGAACTCTGCTCTCTGCTGCCAAAATCTGAGTCTGTGTCAGACCACCATGACCTCTGACCTCTGACTGTGCAGGTCATAAATGTAAGGCTTCATTCAATCAGTCAAACCTTGAGTGTGAAGATAATTCAGGCAGAGATGATGTTTACAGTGTCATTAGGAAACAATCCAGAAACCTCCAAATATACTGATTGTCTGCTCTGATGATCAGTAGGAGCTGTGTTTGTACATTTACACGTACCATAAATATGGAGTCCAGCTGTGTTTGATGCTGCTGGGCAGACTGACCAATGAGAACCTCTGATCTCTCCTGCTGAACTCTGTGGAACAAACAGAATCTAATGTAGTGGATATAATATAAGGAGACGCAGGGTTACATGTGACATAGTCTATCTAGTGGATCCTGGTAGAAACACTGCTGGATCCTCCTACAAACACAGTACACACATGATGATACATGCAGAGTCCAGTTCTTTCTGGCTCAAATCCTGTTTACTGCTGTTGGATCCTGATAGAAACACAAACCCTGAAAAATCTTCACCTTCACTGAAAAAACACTGACCACAGTTAGGATGAAAAGTTTCACACACAACAAAAGAAAGTTCAGTTTGAAAGTCTCACCTTTGCTCATCACAAATCTCTCCTTCACTGAAATTAATAGGTCTGAACATAGACCCGTCACTCTTTAAGGATAAGGACAGACAGCTGGGTCCAGGTCCAGGTCCAGGAGAGTCTGGTGTTTCATGTATGACTCTGACAGGAAAACAAACACTGATGAAGAAACAGGAACACTAAAAATCTTCCAGGATTGAGTGCTGCTGTTATAGATTATCCTTTTGACAATTAGACTGATGTCCATTTTTGAAATTAATAATTAGACTCTTAGGGCTCTATTTTCGTTCGCGCCGGTGAGGCGGCGGAGGGCGGCGAGCCCCGCACAGTTGTATTTTCGTCTGGCGGAGCCCGGCGTAAGGCGAGTTTGGTATTTTCGTGGACTGAGTCGCACGGAGGTGAGCCGAGATCCGCCAAGCTGGGCGTGGTGGCGTGGCAGGGGGAGGTGTTGACAGAATCAGCTGGCGCAGTGACATTTTCGTGCTCGCCACCGGCGTGTAACGTGCGCTGAAAGCTCGCCGATTCAAACCTGGTCAGCTTTCAGCGCAAGGCGGAACGCAGCTGATCTAGTAGTATTTTGGTAGACCGGCGGCGTATCGACATACGTCACCGATGCCTCACCGGCAGGTTTCCACAGTGTCAGGCAGATTTCAGTGCAATAAATAATCATCAACAACTATTAATCTGAGTCAGCACATAGATTTAGATCTATATCGATATATTCTGATCTATATGTGATCTGATGAGCGCGTTTGGCACGCGTTTGGCACGCGTTTGGGCACACAACCTCACCGAATCAATACAGCCGAAACTGCATCAAATTAAATTAAATATCTAGTAAATAAACACACATAATGAAGTTAACAAGATATGTAATGTGTCTCCCTCCTTTTCTTTCTTCCTCTTATTTCTCGCACAGCTCGACCTGGACACGTCTCCGTGTCCTCTGTCCGTCTTGCTGCAGCTGCTGCGGCTGAACAGATGATTTGTTTCAGTGCTCAGATGCGTTCTCTACTTTAAGCCGACATACGGATATTATAATATTCAGTTTTGTGGGCCAAATTTATTTTATATGCCAACATCTATGAAAGAAAGAGCCAGGCCACGGAGCGCGATGCGTCATTTACGCACAGATGGTTCCGATTTTAATGCCATTTTTGGAGTTTATGTTGTGATCTGTGCGCACAACCCACCTTTGTCACGTGAGGTTTGAATATATGCAACTTTATGTGAGTGTCTTTTTTGTGGAAAAGGGTGTTTGTCTTACCAGTGGGTCCAACATTACGCACACCAAATCTATCTGTGCTCAGATGAGAGAGTGTGGAGGACACTTGTTGAGCAGCTGCCCTCTGTCGCCATCGTGTGGCATAACTGTCTTCAGACATCTCTCGATCTCTTTGACTACTTCATGAAAATAGTAATACGCCTCGTCGGTGGCGGATTTAAAGGCAAGGAGAGGAGCTTATGTGATTGGTGAAAACAGGTCTCGGCTGTGTTAAACCCACTAACCGCCCTTTCTCCTCCCCGTCAATGACTTATGCTGCCGGGAGGAGCTGAGTTAGGGAGGGGGGATACTTACGCCGGGCTGCGCGGCTCACCAAAATACCAAAATGTGCTTGGGAACGCCTTGTCAGCGCGGCGGATCTGATTGACGCTGCGCTTGCGGCACGTCTTCGGCGAGGCACCAAAATAGAGCCCTTAGACCGGTCACTCAGGAAGGACACAAGGCTGGGAGCAGGTCCAGGTCCAGGAGAGTCTGGTGTCTCATGTATGACTCTGACAGAAATAAAAACACTGATGAAGAAATCTAAAAATCTTCCAGGCTTGAGTGCTGCTGTTATAGATTATTACTTTTGATGATCAGATTGATGTCCATCCTTGAAATTAATTAATCCACCATCAGACCAGTCACTCTTGAAGGACAGACAACTGGGTCCAGGTCCAGGAGACTCTGGTCTGTACTGCTGTACAGGTCTTAGACAGACAGACAGACAGACAGACAGACAGACAGACAGACAGACAGACAGACAGGTTGAGTGTGAATAATAGTGATGGTGGAGTGATGTGAGTGCTAAGCTCTGACATGGAGAGGAGTCATGGACAGTTAGAGATCCCCATCTCACCTCTGAGCTTTGGTCTGGCTGTCATGTTCCCCCCGCAGAGTGGTTTTAGAGGGAGGGGCTCCCTCCTCTCTGCCCTCACACTGTTTCATAGCAGAGCCTCCACCTTCACACAAACACAACAACATGCTCAGTCAATACAACAAGCTTTACACCACATGAACTTTCAGGTCTCATTCCTCTCAGTAACATGACACAAATACTCAGGACTGACAGAAACCTTGTTGGAGCCTCAAACAAGATCTGATGAGTCTAGAATGAATAACAGCCCCCAAACTCTCCCATAAATACACTGGGGTCATCACAATAATGTATCACATAAACACTATTGTTAAAATGAGTAAGAGTTAAATAAAAAGTCTCTTTAAATTGACACATTTGATTAGTTTGACTAAAAAAATGTATAGCTTAAATTTTAAATATTCAAATTTGGACAAATATCAAACATTCTCAGGTCTCATTGGGGCACCTGACAGCTGAGGGGTCTCAATCAAACATTGAGTCCACTTCCACCCTGGGCTGGCTGTGGTCCATCTAAAATGACCTGAAACTACTGGGACCACTCAGACCAGGACCCTGCTACGTCTCCAGTAAAACTAAGTCAGTCTCAGTGTTGGAAGTGATATGACCCTTGAACCCTTTACCTTAGAGTATCAACAATTCCAAAATAAAAGCACCTGAGCCAAGTTGATCCAGGCTGTCAGACCAGTTCAGACACTCCCTGCTCTTTCCCTGATGGTGTGACTCAGATTATTTCCAAACTGCTGCTGAGTAGACTCCACAAACACCAACGATAGAGCAGGTGGTGATAGAGCAGGTCTGAAATCACTGCTCTTGAACTTTGAGAGTAATTCCACAACATGTTTCAAACAGCCAGTCAGCATCAAGAAAGATTTCTACAGTTCAACAGTGATCCAGCACCACCAGTGTGAGCACACTGATCCTGATCCTCAGACATGATCAGATTTCTCTGGAAGGATCCTCACCTGTTGAAGTAAGTTCAAGTCAGTTTATAGACACTTTCCACCATCCTGTGAAGAGAGAAGAAGCTGCTTGTTTGTCCCTCATAAGTCCTGGTGTCTGTGAGTGATTGATTTGAGGACGCCGTCACATCCTCATAATAACTTTAGAGTGACGTCAGAACGACCAGGAACCCAGTCAGTGCAAATTTCGCACCGATCACAGGATATAGTTCTACAATTAGACCACTAGATGGTGCTAACCAACCTTCTACTGAAACGAACAGAAGCTCTGACAAATCAGATTAAGCAGCAGTATGGATCAATTTAATAATCCACAGTGTAAGCAGAGAATTATGGGTCTTTTTTCCTTCCCTCCTCTCTTGAGGGAAAGTCCAGTGTGACTTTTTTAAAGGTATATTCCGGCGTGAATATAAGTCATGGTCATTACACCATAACACCAAGGTAGACACTCCCTCGAGAGAAGAATTTTGCAGACTACTTGCTTCTCTAGTTACTCCAACTTTAGAGACGACCGCACGATAGCAATACACAGGGGTCTACATCTCCAGGTGTAAACCTCAACCAAAAAGCCACTCTATAGCCACAAATAATGCTCAGAACAGCACCTAACTTCATCAACGGTACATATAGGGTCCCAGCCATAGTACTAGCCATCAAACATCTTTTTAGCTTTCCCTGGTTTCTTTAGCAAAGAAAACAAACATAACTCACCCTTTCGAGTGCAGCAGAAAATTTATGATCATTACTTCATAGAAATACAATCAGACTGAGACGCTAAGGCAGAAGAACTTCTGCATCCGCAGTGCACATACAAGATACACAAGAACCCTGATTGCATTTCCATGTAGTAATGATCATAAATGTTCTTCCTTGAGCTGCGAAACTCTGCTGCTCGGTGATCGACTCTTAAGGACTCCCCCACAAACAAGCGGCTGCTGGAGGAGTTTGGGTGAGTTGTGTTTGATCTCTTTGCTAAAGAAACCAGGCAAAGCTAATAAGATGTTTGATGATTAGTACTATAGCTGGGACCCTATATGTACTGTTGATGAAGTTAGGTGCTGTTCTGAGCATTATTTGGGGCTACAAGTGGCTTTTTGGTTGTGATTTGTGCCTGGAGACGTAGACCGCTGTATATTGCTACTGTGCAGTCGTTTCTAAAGTTGGTTTAACTAGAGAAGCGAGCAGTCTGCAAAATTCTTCTCTTGAGGGGGTGTCTAACTCTGTGTTATGGTGTAATTGACCATGACTTAAATTCACGCCGGAATATCCCTTTAAACCTCTGCAAGCCTTGAGCCATCTTTGCTAACCAGAAATACTCATGCTGCACTTAAATCTTCTTCTTCTTCTTTGTGGCCCCCTTTAAAATGCACACTACCACTACCTACTGACCCGGGGTGTGGTTTAGGCTCCAGTGTCCTTTCCAACTCATATTCTTATCCATGAGTTAATAAATAGTGAAAGAAAAATAAATACATGGATAAATTTCTATGCTTTAATGGCTTGTTCACCTTCCTTAACTATGACTATCGCTGCCCACAGGACGCTTACTACTGTTTACATAGCACCAGAAGAGACCGAAAACCTGAAATCATTTCACTGTGATTTTATTTTGTAGAAGAGAAAATCTCATAATTCAGTTTGCAGCATATTCAAATACGTGGGCCATATATTTATAAAAATCCAGCTTCTGAGCTGTTTCCACTTGTTAATAAACCAGATCAAGCATTATCATTAACAACAATAGCAGACTTGCACTTATGAGGCCGTCTGAGCATCACTCCTTCCATGGTAATCACAGACCATAGTCATCATTAAAAGAATAATACAGAAGCATCTGGTTCCATCGATAAAAACTTTGGCAGTCTTGTACTATAGCACTACCATAGACTGCATGTGCTCCACCCTCAAAACTGTAATTTCGTCAAGATTTTAAAAAGTCTTGGTGTAATGGTTCTGGTCCAGGGCGCTGTCTGTTGTAGTTCTAGAGGTCAAAAAGAATTAAAACATCCCATTTTTGCAATTTCAAAAATAACTTCAAGATTTTAAAAATCTCACACTGTGTTGTGATAAGTCTACAGACTCAAAGTTTTTTTTTTTTTAAATTTTGCTCGTGATTTTACATACCTCATTAGTTTTTTAGCATTCGGTTGACATTTTTGGCATTGGGTGATATGCATAGATTTTATATAGTTTGGGCAACATGGCTCTGCCTCCCATCATTGTGCGAATGTAAAGCCAAATTGCTCTCTGAATTTCTGGGATTTTCTCAATTTCCTGAAAGCAGCGTTTGCTTATCACAGCCGAGTCCAGTTTTCACTAATTACACTAGCTCCTCTCGTCACATATAAATGTGCCACCAGCGAGGCGTATTGCAAATTTCGTGAAGTCATTGTAGTGATGGCTAAAGACAGCAACGCCACACAAGGGCGACATGAGGCGGCCCCTCAACAAGTGTCGCTTTAAGCGCTGCAGAGGGCGTCCTCTACACTCTCTCCACTAAGCACAGATGGATTTGGTGTGTACAAGGTTGGACCCATTGGTAAGACATACACCCTTTTTTCACAAATAAAGACACTCACATCAAGTTGCATATATTTAAGCCCTACGTGTTGTAACAAGACGACTGCTTTCTGCTATCCACCTTTAATTCACCCCTCAAAGGAATGCAGGCTCCCCTGGTTTGGAGAGGAAATGGGGGAGTAACGGTTCACACCAATGTCCAGTTTTTACGACCCAGGAAGCTTCCATTTGGGAGGTGATAATGAATCATTAACGCTTCCCAAAAAGATAAGTTGCTTATCAACCACACAGACCAATAAACATGGAGCCTCTCACCTTGGCTGGGAAAGATCAGAGTTGACACCTCAGATTAAACAAGATGACCCGTTTAATTACTCAATTGAACTTTGTTTCGTCCTTTTTCCACCAGAAAGGTGGGTGGTGCCCCTTCAACGAGTGCATAAATGTCATAATTTAATTTGATTAATTTTCGACATTTATTTTGAAAGGGGGGTCGTGTGCACAGACCACAACATAAACAAATGCCAAGAATGGCATTAAAATATGAACCACCTGTGCGTAAAGGACGCATCATGCTCTGTGGCTTGGCTTTGTCTTGCACTAATGTTGGCATGTAAAACGAACTTGGCTCACGAAACTGAATATTATAATATTCGTATGTCTGCCTGACTCTGGATTGAATATTCACGGAATTTTAAGGATGTGAAAATATTACATTAACGGTTTATTTGAACAGAAGTGTCATATTGTTTTGCTCAAACTTTCAAAATATATAGCTCATTTGATCTCTAAATTACCTGGTCAGCCTTGGCAGCGTCACACACACACACACACACACACACACACACAAATTAAACTTAACTCCATCATGTGTGACCAGTCATTGGATATTTAATTTAATGCGGTTTCAGATGTGTTTACTTGGTCAAGTGGAGTGTCAGTTATGCATGCCAAATGCGCTCTTCAGATAAAATAAACATCAGAATATATCAATATAGATGTAAATGTATGGGCTGACTCAGATAGTTGCAGTGAACAGTGGTTGTTGATTATTTATTGCACTGAAATGTGCATGACACTGTGGAAATCTGCTGGTGAGGCATCAGTGACCTATGCTCACTGCTGTGCTGGTCTACACTTAACAGGTGCACTGCGCCTGCGTCGAACGATGACTAGGTTTGAATCGGCGACCTTTCAGGCACAAAAATGTCAATGCGACAGCTGATTCAGTCGGCACCTCTGCCTACTGTGCCACCATGCCAAACTTGGTGCACCTCAGTCTACAAAATCACCAAATTGGCTGTGCACCAGGATACACTGCATTAAAATTCCTTTGCATGGGGGTGTGCCATGCTGCGCAGCACTGCTGGCGGGCACAAAAATTCAGCCCACTGTCTGAGGAATGAGGAATTCAAAGAGGAAAGTGTCTTACAAAATGTTACCTGTGGAGGTGGTGTGAAGTATGAGGAGAGAAATCCAGGAAAAAGGAACTGAGAAGGTTTGAAAGAAGAGAGAGGATGGACATAAGGATTCACCTCTTCAGCTAGGATCAGCAGAGTTCATTGATACTGATTGATGCTTTATTTACACATCTGACATGACAAAAACACGTCACTTCACGCAATATCTTAACAATTCTGCAACACATACAGTAAATACATATAAAGAAGTTTAAAAAAAATCAAAGACTGTCCTGACAGATGAAATTACAACAAAAACCGACACAAGCAAGTCCTTTAAAGTCATGTCTTTGTGGTCAAGAAAAGTCTCTTGAGGTCATTCGGTTCTCTGAGGGAGGTCTTGGAGGCTGTCTATAGTTTTATCTACACCTTTATTAGGGCCACGGTGCAAGGCCCCGAGGCACTATTGTTATACTGAGAATTTTTTTTCATTCCTCTTCTGGACAAATTTTGATTCTCTACTTGTCCTACAGCTTGAAGAGTTGTAGGACAAGTAGAGAATCAAAACGTGTGGTTTGATCAGGATTTCTCTACTGTATGTGAATTTTTCACCAAATAAGTCGGGAATGGGAAAAGCCAAAAAAGAAAGAACTATCAGCTAGGCATCGTTTCACCTAAAGATTTCATTCAAACTTTAAAATGTAGACACAAGTCTTTTAGATTACAATGGGTGTGTTTTGCATGGAATGTTCATGCCAGAGTGGGTGACATCATCGGCTAGAGTGCCTGGAATTGTCTGAAACTTTTCTCTTTCCACGCTTCTTCTGGCCACAAATTACACTCTGCATGCATTGTTTTTCCCACAGTTTTAGACACACTTGTTCTGTCTCTGATGATGTGTTCATCTAAGCAGAGCGACTTACAGAATTTAAACACTGAGCCTCTAAATGTGGCATTGTCTCTCTCTGCTCCTCATTGAGGCTGATACAAAGATTTTTTTTCTGTTGTATAAATAAATACTTGAAAAATAAATGTTTGTTGTAGGTGTGATTCTTGTATATAGTATCACATTGCTACTAGTATTTATTATTTGAAATCTCTGGAGAATCTCATCATAATATATACATCCCAGGAGTAGCCCCCATGGCCCTTTCAAAATTTCCCAAAGGGAAAGGGAATTTTCTAGTTATCTGTGCAGTAAAATCCAAATTCCAAAAGAGTCAGGATGCTGTGTGAAGATGTTGATAAAAACACAATTTGATGGTTTGCAAACCTTTTACCTATGAAATAGTAATCGTGCAAAGGCAACTCGTCAGTACTTTCCTGATGTAGGACATTCGCTGATCAACACTTCAGAATCTCCTTTCTCATAATTTTCACGTTATGATGCACCAAATACTTTCATTAGGTGACAAGTCCAAAGTGCAGTTAGGCTGGACTCTCCTCTACAGAGTCGTACTGTTGTAAAATATGGTTTGTCATTGTCTTGTTGAAATATGTAAGTTTTCGATTTAAAACTCATTGTCTGGATAGCAGCATATGTTGCTTCTAAACCTGTACATTAGTATTAATCATGCTGTCTCAGGAGCAGACTTAACTATCCTATCCTAGATACTGCTTTTGATCAGTGCATTGATTAAGAAAAAAAAAAAAAAAAGGTGAGCCCTCTTTAGAGCAGAGGATGTGGTATCCATGATTTCCAAAAAAGACTGTCAGGTTTTGATTTGTTCTTTAACGGGCTCAAACCTGGGTAGGTTTCTGGCATTTCTGGATTATGTTCATTTTTTTATATAATCAAATTTTAACCAGCATATAATCATGCAGAAACAAACTGTATACACAGACAATGGTTTTTTAATGCAGTGATTTCCACTACAGTCATGTCTGATTTTAAAGCAGTGCTGCCGGAGTGCCCACGGATCAGAGCCATCAGGTATTGGTTTTTAACCTTATCATTTTTGTACAGAGATTTCTCAAGATTCTCTGAATCATTTAATGACAACGTATCGTAAATTGTAAAATCCCCAAATTCTTTAAATTTCATAACATAGACTGTATATAGAATGGACAGCGTGTGCCTTCTCGCTGGGTGAAGCCACTCCGAGAACAGCACCCTCTGTTGACGGGCTGCAGTATAAGTCATGAATGCGGCCCTCTGCCAGTAAAGCTTATGGGGCTGTTGACAAACTTTAGAAATTTATTACACAGAACATAATTTTTCCCCCCCGGTTGCAAAGTTGACATGTAGTTACTGTAAGACTGGTTTGTGCTCAAGTCCCCTTTTTTTGTACAGCTCGTTTTTAGAATTTATTAGGAGGTGTTTTCTATGATTGACACCTGATACAGCCTATGGGCATAAGAGGATTGCGTAGCTCACCGGGGTATACGCTGTTGGAGCCGAGCGTCATCACAGCGACTCTCCTGCCAAATGCGTACAATGCTACTGCGCAAGTGGTGGAGAGCGTACAACGCTACTGCGCAATGTTGGTTTCAGGAAATGGAGAGAAAACAGAATTACCGAGAGCTTTTTGGCTTCAAATCGGTATACTGGTGGAAGGCAGGACCAAGTTGTCCTTAGTATATACAGTCTATGTTTCATACAAAAGAACATTTTCTCTAACTGTTGCACTGCATGCCCACGCAGTCCCAAACAAGAGTGTTAAACCTCTTGCAACTTTACTTCAGAGAGTCTTAGCTTTCTTAGAGCGCTCTATTTATACTCAGTTATGTGACTAACCTGTTGGAGACTAATCCAACTGGTAGGGAAAAGTTTCTCAAGGTATTTTGAGGCATGTCAAAACTTTTTTATGTTTTGTTGTACCTCTCCTTATTTTCTGTGAAATGTGTTGCCAGTACCAAAATTTCAGTTTCAATACCTGACATTTTGTCTTTATGCTATTTTCAAGCAAGTATATATTTTAAATGACATACAAACACCATGGGCTCTATTTTCATGTTCGCCGTCGAGGCGGCGAAGGGTGGCGGACCCCGCACAGTGGTATTTTCGTCTGGCAGAGCCCGGCATACAGCCAGTTTGGTATTTTCATGGACTGAGGCGCACCGAGATCCACCACCTGGGCGTGGTGGTGTGGCAGAGGGAGGTGTCGACAGAATCAGCTGGCGCAGTGACATTTTCGTGGCTGCCGGTGGCATAAAAAGTGCGCTTCAGGGTTCATGGTTGGAAAGCCGATTCAAACCTGGTCAGCGAAGCTAGTCTAGTGGTATTTTGGTAGACCGGCGGCGTATAGGCATACGTCACTGATGCCTCACCGGCAGGTTCCCACAGTGTCAGGCACATTTCAGTGCAATAAATAATCAACAAAAACTGAAAACCGCATTAAATTAAATTTAATATCTAGTAAATAGACACACATGATGAAGTTAACAAGATATGTAATTTGTCTCCCTCCTTTTCTTTCTTCCTCTTCCTTTTATTTCTCGCGCAGCTCGACCTGGACATGTCTCCGTGTCCTCTCCCCATCCTACTGCAGCGGCTAAACAGATGATTTGTTTCAGTGATCAGATGAGTTATTTACTTGAGCCGACTTACGAATATTATAATATTCAGTTTTGTGAGCAAAATTTATTTCATATGCCAACATCTATGAAAGAAAGAGCCAGGCCACAGAGCGCGATGCGTCATTTACACACAGATGGTTCTGATTTTAATGCCATTATTGGAGTTTATGATGTGATCTCTGTGCACAACCCACCTTTGTCACGTGAGGTTTGAATATGTGCAACTTTATGTGAGTGTCTTTATATGTGGAAAGGGTGTTTGTCTTACTAGTGGGTCCAAACTTACACACACCAAATCCATCTGTGCTCATATGAGACAGTGTGAAAGACTCCCTCTGCAGCGCTTACAGTGACACTTGTTGAGGGGCTGCCTTCTGTCGCCATCATGTGGCATTATTGTCTTCAGAAATCTCATGGTCTCTTTGACTACTTCACAAAAATAGTAATACGCCTCGCCGGTGGCGGATTTAAAGGCAAGGAGAGGAGGTGATGTTATTGGTCAATACAGGTCTCGGCTGTGTTAAACCCACTCCACGCCCTCTCTCCTCCCTTGCTACGACTTACGCCGCTAGGAGGAGCTGAGTTAGGGAGGGGGGATACTTACGCCTGGCTGCGCCGCTCACCAAAATACCAAATTGTGCTTGGGAACGCCTGGTTGGCGCAGCGGACCTGACTTACGCCGCACCTGCGTCACGTCTCCGGCAAGGCATCAAAATAGAGCCCAATGTATTTTCCATGACATCCCCGCTATTTTGGAATTGAGGGTATAATTGTAGAAGGTAATTTTGTGTTAATGTCTTTGTTGACTTCTTCATGAGGTTGTTTAGTTCTTCTTGTTGCTGTGTCCCAAATTTTGTAGTCATGTCTTTGTGGTCATTTAACATTGTGAATCATTTTGGTCAGTTTGCGTCTTTGTGGTGTTTTTGAGTCTCTATGAGGTAGTTTTGTGTCTTTTTTGCAGACACTTTGTGTTTCTTTGAAGCAATAAACTGCAGATTACTGGGTGGTCATGGGAACACAGATTAATATGGAGAGCAGTTTAAAACTGAACTGTCAGTCCACCTGTAAGCTCCTCATAGTCCAACAGAGGAAGACTGTGGTGTTCACATCGATGTTAAGTTTGCAGACCAGCAAGACTTCTGTCAGAGAAACCGTGGATCACGATTGGCTTTGCGGGATCGGAAACGTATCTCAGACAGTTTGGAGTTGATGCCTGAGCCAATGACTCCTCTCTTGGCGAGAGGAAACCGAGCCAAGATGGCATCTGAAAAACAAAGACAGGAATACTTTTAAAGGAAGTTAAGGTCAGATAATCAGATAATGATGAAATCTATCTTAACTCACTGAAGATTGCGTTGATCTTGCGTGGATCGAGTGCGCTGCGTTGTGGGTGGAAAGCTGGCCGGCGACTCCGTCCACCTCTAAGGTTACTGTTCATCAGAGTGTTCATATCAAACACACCCATCAAAAGTGTTCGCGCCATTGCAGTTGGAGACTGGGCCTGACTGGCTGCCTGCCATGAGCGGGCATCACAGAGGACACCAGAGCCGGGATAGACCTCCACCTGGCTCACCTGGAGGGAGCAGGTAAGGTAAATGTGTTCAATACATGTATGTTAGCAGATAACCAAATGACTACCAGCCGTTGAAAAGCCTATTCATAAAAATGATCAGACACAGATGTGGGCAAAGAACTCAAAATGGGATCAAACAAATGAAGTAGAAATTGGTCGAGGCATGTCTCTACCTGTCCATTAACGTGTCCACTGGTGCACTGGCTCTCAGAGCAACTTCTCCTCAGCTCCTCCATATCAGTTTGACTGCAAAGTGGTGCCTCCTCAGCCATGTGGCTCCCTAGGCCCAGATCTGCTCCAACTGGCATTTCCTCGCTGTCAGAGCCAAGTGGGCCCCAGGACTCAGACATGTCCCCACTCAGCTCCTCCTGGAGCTGCTGGATGTAAACATGTGGGCTGAAGTCCCCATCCTGGTTGGTTGTTGGGGGTTGGTAGTGTGTGTACCCAGCATAACTGTCACTCCTTCCTGTTGTCGTGGGGACGGACTGGTGGTTGTTGGCCTGGGCCAGTGTTTGCCACATGGTTGAGAGGAGTCCAGGGATTTCTTGAAAATAAAGTTAGATTCAACATTGTGAAATTAAACCATACCCAAAATTAAACCCAAAACTTAAAGGTGGGGTAGGCAGGATTCCGTTAAGAAAGCATCCTTTTTTGTGGTGTATAAACAAAAAAGCTTGTAATATCAGTCAATAGCTATTAGTTATTGATTACATTTGGGAATATAATGATATTTCTGTGTTCTGTTATGTTTGTGTTGTCAACATTTTAAAATTTTTGAGCGTCCCGCTCTTTCTGACTGTAAACAAAGCTGTTCTTCGCTGCTCCCTCATGCTGATTGGTTGTGAGGCAGACGCTGCTCCTTAGTGCTGATTGTTTGTGTGTCAGATGCTGCTCCCTCATATTGTGAGGCATGCTCCACGTCCTTGAATAACGTGCATGAGCCCAAACAAAGTTAGCAGGTTACAATATCGAACAGTAGAAACCATCAAGAAAGTACGGAACGTTGTCTGAATCCTCCTTTGGCCACGACTGCCAACACAAGCAAGAAACTAAGTAAATACCAGAGACTCTGGCGCAATAAAAGGCACTTAAAAGGAGGTAGACTGGACAAGAGCTAGAATGGTCAATGTCAAAAGGCATAAACAGTGGGGCATGCTCCGGGATCTTACGGACCCCTTGTCTGTAACAAAAGTGTTTCTCGTGCGACGGGACCTGCTGCGTGTTGTAGCGCCACTAAACTGTTTATCTCAGGTCCTGGAGTATGTCACTTTAACCTAGTTGTAGAAGTCCTGCAAACATTGTGTTTGCTGGTAGTCTGTCAGCATCTGCAGTCATGACAATGCTTTTTATTTTAATGTTGACTGGGCCCCATTTGTAATTATCTGAAGTATTTATCTGCATTATATCTGAATTTAATTGAAGCGATACAAGCGAGCAAGAGCGTCTGTTTTATGGGCAGGGCTTGCTGGAGCAGAGAGGGAGGAGAGAGGTGGTGCTGAGGGGGAAATTAGTTGGTAGGGGTAGTGTTTACATTCAAGATTTTTCCCAAAAACTGGCACTTCCTCAGATCCTGCCAATCCCACCTTTAAATCTGAAGGAGAAAAGTAGATGTCCAGATGTCAGCTTGTCACAGTAAGTTAAAAAAAGGACTCTTTTCTGACCTTCAGCCATGGACTAACAAACCATTATGTGAGTGATATTGAAATTCAATATTACTCAAATAAACTCATACCTGCCCTAAATCTGGGTGACATGACAGATGACCAGCTAACCTTCAGGGTTCATGTTGCCTCAACTGCTCAGTCGTGCTGATTTGCCCTCTATATCATCAAGAGGATCAGACCCTATCTGACAGAACATGCAGCACAGCTCCTGGTTCAGGTTCTTGTAATATCACACATTGACTACTGCAACTCCTTACTGGCAGGCCTCCCTGCATGTAGAGTTAAACCTCGGCAAATGATCCAGAATGCAGCAGAACATGTTGTCACCAACCATCCCAAGACAGCTTACGTCACTCCTCGCTTTAACTCTGATAACTGCTTACAAAGCAGTAACCAAAACTGCTCCAGTTTACCTGGAACCCCTCATCCAGGTCTACACCCCTTTTCACCTACTATGCTCAGCCACTGAGAGGTGCCTGGTGCTTCCAGCACATCAGGCCCCAAAGTCACCAGCCCAACCCTTGGTGGAATAAATTACCCAACTCCTTTCGATCAGCAGAGTCCCTCTCTATGTTCATTAAAGACCCAGCCATTCAGAGAACACAATGCACTTGGCTAAACTAGTCTCTATTGGTGTCCCCAGTGGTTAAATGAGTCTTGAGCAGTGCAATTGCTCAAAGACTGCAGGGAAGCTCAGCTTCCCTTAAAATGTCACCCCCCAAAAAAAAGAAAAGTGGTGAAATACGTACTGCTGTGTGTTCATTTCATTAACTAAATACGCGCTAGAAAGCCTTCATCTTTGTTCAGAACTCTTATCACACTGTGATAAGAAGCTGATAATCACAGGTAACCGGCATAACTTCGTTCTCATTCATCCTCACAGCGCCTCAGCGCTTCACACAGCCTGACGCTCAGCGTCTGCTGACTTCAATGTGGAAGCTCAAAGTGGGTTGTTCCAGCAGCGAAACTAGACGCTCATTGGATAAATGCTGGGCTTTGTCCTGCCCATCGGACGCTCAGCGTCTCTGGAGTTCTATGACGAGAGGGCGGTCCCAACTTTCTCGTGGACGCTGAGCTTCTGCATCCATGATTGAATGTGCTGTCTGAGGCGAAATCCTTTTTTGATTGACAGCTAAACAAGCGAATCAACGATCTTGAAGAATAAAACATCTACCAGAGCATTTTTCAAGTTATTCATTCCGTTGTTCTTAACTGCTCCGGAGACTTTACCGATCCTCAGCGACTTTTGTCTTTGTTAAAAACGACTGCCGTTGTGTTTGGCGACTCTGTTCTGTTACATACAAATAAACAAACACAATTATGATGTAGGCCAGAAAAATGACCTTCCCCTCCTTGAAAGACCAGCAGCCGCCACTGGTCTTGAGCTACAGTCGACTCTTTCTGTCCTGCTCTACTCTGGGATTTTCGTGCCCAGCTCTTTGTGAGTGACACAACACTTGGTACTTTGGTCATTATTGTGTTGAAGACAAATTTAATTGATGGTGATGAGGAAAGGTTCTTAAATTGATTGGTTGCTGTTTTGTTGTAGTTCATCAACAAGAAGAAACAGAAAAAAAAAACCCTTCTTGTACCCTGTGCATTGCCTTTACACTGCTGGCAGTACCTGCCTCCAAACAGACTTGAAACACTTTGTTGATCTTACTGATCTTGTTTCCTCTTGTCTAGATCTTTGCTTGTGTTGTTCTTGCTCTTGAATGTGATGTTCATTTTAGATAAAAGCATTTGCTAAATGAAACTGTAACATTGTTGTAACAAATTGACTCACCATGGACCAGCATGTTCTTCAGTCTCTGGTTTTCTGCTGACAGCTCCACCTTTTCTCTCTCTAGCTCTCGAACACGTGACCGCAAGAAGTGAAGCTCTGCTGCGTGTGAGGGGCTGAGGACCGGCAAATCTGACAGGCCTGACTCCACCTTCACCACCTGTAGGAGGGCGGTTCACCATGTAAATTATGCCACTGTTATTATGCTTGATGCATGCTTGTAAACTGGAGAAGTGTGGTAAGCCAAATTCTATTCATGATGTCAAGCTATGTTTAAGTTAATATAATATTGTAGCTATCATAGAGATTTTATGGCAGACTGCTAACAAAAATGCTGACACTAGCTTGAACCATTTTTAACTGTTTAATTTCAACTGCAATCATTACAAACATTTATTTTTCCACTCACTGATAAAAAAAAAGAAAGAAAGAATGAAAAGATTAGACTGGTGTCTGCTTTGGTCTGCTCTAAAGTGTAACAGTGTGAACACAAAAAGAGCTGTGAGAAAAATGCAACACTGTACCATTTTATCATCGGAATCATTACAAAGAAAACAAGCTTCAGAAGGGAAAACGCCCTCAGTAATTTCATTACTGTAATCTGTCTAAAATAAGATTAATACAAATTAAATAGACTTTTCAAGTGCTGTGTTTTCAGAGGCCCTTTCCTAACTGGGTGTTAAATGCCATCACTCCTCACTTTCATGCTCAGCCCAGAGCTCTTCGTTTCCAAGTAACAAGCAAAATAGGCAATAAAAAAAGAACACGAATAAAAACCAAAGCCCCTCCAGCTGATCAGGGTCTTGAAATACACAATCAGTTTAACCCTCTGAGTAATAACCTACACTCATAAATGAGATATTTAGGTTTGGTAGTGCATTAGTTCAGTCTTGTTCCAACAATTGCACGTAAAATGTTCATTTTTAAACAAGAGAAAAACTCGATGAACTTTGATGTTGGGGTAGATTGAAATACTCTGCATTCAAAAAAGAAAAAAGATAGCGAGGAGCTCCTGCAGCCCGCTGACGTCGCTGCCCTCAATACACAACCCTGCAGGCGGACCTACACAAACACTAATGCATTAACCATACATGCAGATGAATGCATATATTTATTGATCATAGCAGCACACTGCAGGTGAACATGTCTCCGCTGTAACCGTCTCTCACCGTCGGGCCGGTGCCGCCGCTGTGTGTCCGCTGCCGGACGTTGCTGTCCGGACTCTCCGCCATCAGAAGACTCGAACCGGAGACACTAACGGGGCTGTAAAGACTAACAAATCACCTCCTTTGTCAGCGCGGCTGTGGCCGCCAGCGACTGCTCACAGCAGAACACAAAGAAGAAAAAAAAACAAGTTTATTAAAATTCATAAACACATCGACTTCCGGTGCCGCTATGCGCGTCATCTCCGCGTGACCCTTCACAGAATGACGTGCGCCTGGGCAGTGTGCGCTCAATGGGACTACAGATCCCAAAGTGCACAGCGGACTGTAAACACTCATGGAGTTTGAAGGGCGAAGAGACAGATGATCGGTGAGTTTTGCAGGATTTTACCAAATACCTCTGGACTGAACCGCACTGTATTGGACCAACTGAACCTTGCTGAACTGAAGCAGTTTGGATCTGTAGTTCTCCATTCATGGTCTTCTTTGAGCGATAACTAACAGGGTCAGTTAGCAGTTCCTGATTGCTATAACCTTAACGATGATCTTATCCATAAACTGATTAATAACCAGACCAGTAATCTGATGTACCTGCTCGGCAGGTCTCAGAGATGGAGACTCCCTGAGGACTGTTTGTGTGTAAATTACAGCTTTTAGCAGCCAGTGCTGTGGCGGATAAGCTGGGGAGACTAGTCTGTGTCTCTGTCCCTGTACTTTTACAGGAGCAGGATATTAATGAACTGTTATCTCAAGACACTCAACAGAAACAGCAGGTCTAGACTGAACTCTTCATGATACAAAGACCCAAAACCAAGGTGTCTTGTGAGATAAGACCCTCTCTGATCTCATCCTTGTGTATCTGGGTAACACTTTGCAGCATTTATGAAGTTGAAGTGGAGAGGAAGAACTTTCTTTAACAGGCAGAAACCTCGAGCAGAACAAGACTGATGTAAGACATTCATCTGCTGAGAATGAGCTGGGTTTAGAGAGGGAAGAGCTGGAGAAAGAGAGAGATGGTCAGAGGCGAGACTGATAGAGGGAGATGAAGAAAGAGAGATGGAAGAAGAGCTGCTCAAAATAACCTGAACAGCTGCAGAGTTTTTAAATGCAACATGATAATCAACTATCTGTTCATTTTATATTTCATATAATAATAATAATAATAATAATAATAATAATTGTTTTTATTGTTTTTATTATTATTATTATTATTATTATTATTATTATGTCAGGCATACAAAAATAATACTGAGTAAGTGATTTTATTATTATATCAAGGTCTAGTAAAGAACAGAGGAACCTCCACATTGTATATTTGAGACAGATGAGTAAAAGAGAGTAGGACACCGCTAACAGAAGAGGACTGGTATAATGTATGTGATTAACAATGATCCACCACAAGCTTTTAATAAAGTTTGAAGTGAGCCAGTGTCACAAAGTCCCATTCTGCGTCTACACATCATTGGATGGACAAGATACAACAATGGAAAGCCAGTGTAGAGAAGCTAATACAAGGGAGATGGTTTTGGTCAGTACTCAGGCTGCAGCATTTCGAACTTTAGAAACCTGTGAGGGCAGCCTGATGCAAGAGAATCCCTGTGATCCAGCCTAGAGGTGACAATTGCATGCACTCGTTTTTCTGTGTCATTCAACAAGCTTTATCAGATTTTTTTATTTTACGCAGGTGAAAAAAGGCAGCTCTGGAGATATGTTGGACGTGGGATTTAAAGCATAGCCTATATCCTGGTTGTTGTGTTTTGTTTTTGTTTTCTATCTAACGTGTGGAATAAGATGTTTTGAATATTTTGATTTAGTAAGAAGGATAGGCGATAAGAAGCTCTTGCTTCAGCCTATGCCTTTTCGGTCCGTTTTCTTTTCTTGTAATTTACTGTATATATTGAATGGATATGACCAGATCGAAATAAACTTCAAACTTCAAACTTCAAAAGAGAGCTCCCACGTTCCTGACAGTGGTGTTGGATGCTAGGCTGATGCTATCTATTGCAGTCACATCATTAGAAAATGTCTCTCTCCGGTGTTTTGGGCCAAGAACAAGATCTTCAGTTTTGTCAGAACTGAGTAGCAAAACATTTCTTATCATTCAGGTTTTTATGCCTTGAAGACAGGCTTCAAGTGAAGGTAAACTGTTGGTTCTCCTGGCCTCAGTAACAAGTATAACTCAGTGTCTGAGTGTTTCCTGATAGTGTTACCCAAAGAAGTATGTAAAAGGTGAAAAGAAAAATAGATCGCACAGAAAACTTTCATTTCTGAGCTCACTCCTTATCTGTTTGTGTCTCCTCCAGTGTTTGTGCGCTACAACCTGGGGCCAGGTGTGGCTGTAGAGCTGCAAGAGGAGACAAGCGTTGCCCAGCTGAAGGAGATAGTCGGGAGTCAGCAGGGAGTCCAGCCAGAGCACCTCAGGGTGCTGTTTGCTGGGAGGTTTCTGAAAAGCAGTGCCAAGTTACAGGTCAGAGTTGAAATGACTTTAAATCTGCAAGAAAAGACATGATTGAGAGCTCTCAGCTCCCCTTATGGGTCCACCTCATACTCATTTTTTTCTCTTCTTGATTTAATCTGTCCTTCTTAACCTCCTGTATTCTTCTCTCTCCTCCTCTATATCCACCTGCTCCCTCCTTACCTTTTTCTCTTTCCCATGTCAGGACTGTGACCTCCCAGAGCAGAGCACCATCCATGTTGTCCTCCCTCCATCAGGTTCTTCAACATCCCAGCTGGGCCTCCTGCAGGAGAGACTGGCTCGAGGAGGAGATGCGGAGCAAGACAGTCTGACCAGGCTAGACTTAAGCTCTTCACGCCTGTCCTCCACCTCCTCTGGTCTAGCAGTGATCCTGGAGGGGGATGATGGAGGAGAGGGTGTCAGAGGAGCGGAGGGGCAAGCAGCATGTTTGAGAGGTAAGTGGAGGTCAAAACAGTGTGTTGTTCTTGGTTTCGTCAGTGTTGGTACCCTAAGTCTGTGTCCTTGTGATTTACAGGTTCTCATGTCTACAGTACTTTCTTTGTGTACTGTAAGAGCTGCAGGTCCATTCAGCCTGGAAAACTGAGAGTACGCTGCTGCAGCTGCAAACAGACCACACTGACACTGAGCAGGGTAAGTCTAGTATAAACACTACACAGTCCTTAAACTACATGGTACTTGTGCCTGTGCATACTTGTACTTTTGAGGATTAATACTGAAATGATTTATGTCACTTGTACTACAAATCATCTGTACTGTTTAGAATCTTTACTGCACACTTACACAGTACAGCATTGGTAATGTGCTCTTTTCCAGCTTATGCTTTCTTGTCCAAACAAATGCTGGTTGGGTTGGCTGATAAGTCTATAACTGTGCATTAGGTGTGAGTGTCAGAATCAATCATATGTATCTGCAGGGCTAGAAGCAGCAGTATCGAGACTGCAACTCTGGGACTGGATCTCTTGAGGCCTGAGTTGTTGCTAGAGTTATGAGTTCTGGTTGGGATAAAGGCAAGGATGATGGTTAGACACTGACAGTGGTAACATTGCATGATAAAAGGCAGTCAGTGGCAGTGCAATGCACTAGTGATGCTGTCACAAACAACTGTCTTACATCTGCTGTCCTGAATCTGCATCTTCTGGGTCTGCAAACATATGCTGCTCATCAGGTATGTCATTGATCGGCACCCTGCGTAAGATTTAGTAAGCCTCTCACTGATGTAAACTGGGATCAACTCATGACCCTTGTGAGCCTCTAAGGTATTGAAGTATTGATATTTATTGAAGTACTTTCACTTAAGTAGTAGTTATACTGCACAGGAGTCATATGATGCCAGACTTACTATACATAACAAAGTATTCATGGTGCACAATACTCAGGCTATATGTACTGCTCACTGTTCAAAGTACAATGTTTTTATTAAAATGCAGAGTATTAATATCATGCAGCACTTACATAACGCATTAACAATACAACAACGCTCTTCTCAAGTTCTATATGGTGCCTTTATGGCTAAAAAATATGGCTGGTTAAAAAATAGTGTTTATGATACACATCACTGTTCATGTACTCACATATGGCAGAAATTTACAACCATAAAACTTGAATCTTGAATCATTTAAACTCCTGCGTGGCCTTTAGAACACTTAAACTATTTAAAGCAATAAAAACATACTCCATTCAGATTATACACATTATTATTCTTATTTTGTCAAAGTGAAAATAATGCATTATAATGGGATGGTTTATGATGAATTATATACCTTAATGCAAAAGAAAATTCATCATCTATTGAACTCTGGGTTTAATAGCGCATTATAACTCATTCTGTGTGTCATAAAAAAGTTATAATTTTTATGTTTCTTAATTTTAAAAAAATGTCTAACTTTTACTCTCAACATGTTCAGTCATGACTTGGACAGGTGACAGCTCTGTATGAGGCTATTAACAATTATAACACATTTATAAGAGCTTATATGTTGAATTTTATGGCTGAAAGTGAAGAGTCAGACAATGAAACTTTACAACAAGAACATATTTTTGTAATTGTAATTTTTTCTCTAGCATTCATTATAAACCATACCTTTATGAGGCTTTATGCTTACTGCTTTTTTTACACTTCATAAACATGACTATAAGCTATTATAAATGCTTATTATCACTCATAAGGATTGTTATAATGCCTCATAGTTGCATTTGTAAGGCTTTAAAAATGTTTATCATGCATTATAAGGAGAAGGTTCATATACATGGTTTCCATTTGTTCTCTTCACAGACAAAAAGATTGATGACACTGAAAAGAGATTATCAGTGATTTTCCCTTCATCTGTGATCTGTGATTCTACACTGTGCTTTAGCTACATCCTATTAAACAGTAATAACACTACAGTAAAAATTGTCATTTAATTACATTTCTCAAATTTTCTACTACACAGTAAGTTTGTTCCTGAAAAGCAGTATCAGCATCCATGGTACACTGTTTTTAAACTGTTATGTAGCTGCCTGAGCATCACAATATTCATCACAATATTGAGAGGGAGAATTTAATCACTGTAACAGAGTTGTATGCCTTTGCAGTTGTAGAAAATTAAATTAAGCATTTTAATGGTTTTAATTTTTTTTTATTTTGTACATGTTTATAATTTAAATCTGTTCAAGAGTTTTTTTCTTTGTTTGTGGTTGATAAGATAAGATGTTCCTTTTATAGTCCCACAGGGGGAAATTCCAAACTAGAGAACCAAATACTGGCTCTGTCACAGCCACAGCCAGTATTTGGTTGTTCATTCTAAGCATTATTAATGTTGGGTTACTGACTTCATAACCTTCATGAGCCAAAATGTTTGTGTACCTCTAAATCTGGTCTAAGATCTGGGCCCAGTGCAGGTCATACAGCTTTGCTGTTTTTTTTTTTTTTTTAATCTTTCAACCACATTCTTGCTTATTGAACAGGTTGTTTGCTTTCTTAAAAAAAAGGCCTGGGAGCAGAAACAGACATCAGTCACAACCCCGACTCAGTTATTCTGTGTGTTTCAGTCATGATGGCATCATCAAGTTTTTCTCTATCTTTCAGGGTCCATCCTGTTGGGATGATGTGCTCCTGCGAGATCGTATCCATGGCGTGTGTCAAACAGCAGACTGTCAAGGCAACATTGCGGTAAGAGGGTGGGACTGTTGTTCATTGTGGTGAGTCATCATAGTTCTGTGAAGATCTGTGTGTTAAAAGATGTATAATATAATATAATATAATAAAGGATTTCAATGTGTGTGTGTGTGTGTGTGTGTGTGTGTGTGTGTGTGTGTGTGTGTGTGTGTGTGTGTGTGTGTGTGTGTGTGTGTGTGTGTGTGTGTGTGCGCAGGAGTTCTACATGAAGTGTGCGTCCCATCCAACCTCAGATGATGACGTCTCTGCAGCTCTGGATCTCATTCTGAGCAACAGCAGAGATGTACCCTGTATCGCCTGCACTGATGTCATGTAAGAAACATACACATACACACACACACACACACACACACACACACAAAAAAACACTTTCAAATCCAAATGTCTGCCCTTAAAGACATGAAGTTTACAAACTCCCCGACCCTGATTCTCAGGTCATTTTTCACTGTCTTAGGGACGTGGTTCTCGTATTCCAGTGTTTGGAGCGTCATGTGATCTGTCTGGACTGCTTCCATCGATACTGTCAGACACGACTAAATGAGCGACACTTTGTCCATCATCCTGTGATTGGCTACTCACTGCCATGTGCTGGTAAGTGTGTGTTGTAAGTGTATGTACCCATAAGTCCAGAGAGATGTCTTTGAGTGTCGGCCATGATAAGAGCTGTTTGAATTCCCCAAATGATAAGGAAGCGGGCAGGGACCATGATGACCTGTGCTCCAAGCAACATCAGCACCACCACCATCATCATCATCATCATCATCATCATCATCATCATCATCATTTTCTCCTCTGTGATTTTCTCTATATGGAGCTGACTTTCATAGCTTATATCTGGATTGCAAGTGCTCAATATCCAAATCTGTGTTTGCAGCTGGGTGTCCTGACTCTCTCATTAAAGAGTTGCATCATTTCCGGATTTTGGGAGATGAACAGGTGAGTGTTTACACATCATACTTGTGAATTATTTTGTTCTTTATTAATATGAATACATACTGTCAAATGTATACCACATGTGTTTATATAATCTAACTCATCTGTTTCTTATTTTTTCATTCGCAGTATGGACGGTACCTGCAGTATGGAGCAGAGGAGTGCCTGCAAGAGATTGGAGGACTCATGTGCCCATCACCTGGCTGTGGGGCAGGGCTCGTTCCCATAGAAGGCAGCAGACGGGTGGAGTGTGACAGACAACTAGGGTGTGGCTTTGTCTTCTGCAAAGACTGCAGGGAGGAGTACCATGAAGGGGCATGCCACACAGAGCTGGTTCCACCTCCAGATGAAGCCTCACAGGTGAGGTTGCTAATCAAACCTTGTTCTTTCTTTCACCTACACCGTGTACTGTCTCACTCATGTTTTCTCTCCTGTGTCAGTAAACACTCCCATAATTCGCCACCCACAATCAATCAGTGAAATTAAGAAATGGATCCAGCTGCTACATGAAGTTGTTAGACTGTAAACAGCAAAGGAAATCTTTGCCCAGAGGAATCTCAGGCTACAATTCTCTCCTGTTGGGGACTGGTCATCTGTTATTATACTGGGACATTTGTGAGGGACTAAGATGGAGACGATGCAACGAGCTTACACATACAAATACACAAAGAATAAACAGACACACCCCCTTCAACTCAATACCTTATTGCCCCCCCCCCCCCCCCCGATGAACTGTGAATGGGAATTCCCCCCTTTAGGATTAATAAAGGCTTATTTTATCTTCTCCCATCTTACAGTGGAGGCCTTGTAAAATTGGCCCTTGCACCCAGGGGCAAAAATGTCACACCTTAGTCACACCTTTTCCACACCCCCCACCCTCTCTCCTCTTCCTCCTCAGGGTTTTGTGGTGGATGAGGAGGCATCCCTCAGGGGGAGGTGGGATAGAGCCTCCTTGCTCCTGGTGCAGGAGACAACTAAGCGCTGCCCTCAGTGTTCAGTTCCTGTTGAGAGAAACGGTGAGAAACAAAGAGATCATAAGTCATCTGTACTTGTGTGAACATTTTCGAGCTACAATGGGAACAGAAAGTCAACCTTAAAGCAAGTTAAACAAACACTGGGTTTCTCTTACAGGTGAAGTGTGAAACATTTGGCAGCATGTAACAGAATGCACTTTGTAGAAATGGAATTAAATATTCATAAGTATATATTCATCAGCCAAATATAAATATTGTTTTGCTTTTGTTTACTTAGAATGAGCCTTTTATGTCTATAAAGATCTTGCCTCCATGCTTCCACCATAGCACAAAAGGGACAAGCAAGAAACATATGCACTTGTGTGTGAGTGGTTGTGCAATATTTACCAGGATGGTTGAAATAGTTTATTTTTGTTGATATTTTTATGGTCAAATCTTAAGAAAATAGGGAGTACACAGAAGCAATTTATTAAATTTTACAACAGTTTGCATTTTATGTAGCTATTCACAGAATCCAAAGCACCACGCATTTACTTCTAACCCTATAACTGCACATACTAGCACCTTTGAACAGGATTTTAATGGGTAAGTCTAGAAATTCCATGTAGGTCTCACACTGCCATATTATAAAGGGTAGGTGGAAATCACTGCAGAATTAAATCAGTCAATTATAAACCTCTGTCTGTTGTGGCCTCCTCTCCACCTCTCACCACTCCCTGCCTCCTCCTTTGAGTGTTTACAGTGTCATGATGTGTGTTTTGTGTTGTCCCTACCTGCAGGTGGCTGTATGCACATGCAGTGTCCTCTGTGCAAAGCAGAGTGGTGCTGGATCTGCAGAGTTGCGTGGAACAGAGAGTGTATGGGAGACCACTGGTTTGGATAACATGCACTTACACACACACACAATCACACACACACACACACACACACATGTTCACTGTTGCTGTTCATACACACCCATCTTCAACAGTGAAACACTTGACTTTCAGCTGATAAATCCTGAACTTCTGGAGAGGAAGAAACTCTTGAGATCAAAGCTTTAAGCCTTGATATTTACTGTAATAATGTCTATTTTTATCAAGTTTAATTTAAGTAATAAAGTTTAAATAATGAAAATGTGACATCTCATTGAGTCTCTGTTTTATATAAATGTCTAAAATAATTGTTTTACCCAATTTAGGAACAATTTGTGCACTGCATTGACAAGTCTGATCTGTGATCATGTTGATTTGAATGAATGTATGACTGTTTTAACACATGCTAACTTGAACACATGATCAGTGATGTTTCCTTAACAGATGTTATGGATGGCAACAAAGACTAAAATATATAATGGGCAACTATAGATCGAAACTCGGGCGATAGAACGATAATGATACACAAAACCCGATTCCATTGAAGTTGGGAAATTGTGATTAATGTAAATAAAAACAGAATACAATGATTTGCAAATCCTTTTCAACCTAAATTCAATTGAATACACTACAAAGACAAGATATTTGATGTTCAAACTCATAAACTTTTTTTTTTTTTGGCAAATAATAATTAACTCTGAATTTTATGGCTGCAACACGTGACAAAGAAGTTGGGAAAGGTGGTGAAAAATACTGAGAAATTTGAGTAATGCTCATCAAACACCTATTTAGAACATCCCACAGGTGAGCAGGCTAATTAGGAACAGGTGGGCGCCATGATTGGGTATAAAAGCAGCTTCCCTGAAAATTCTCAGTCATTCACAAGCAAGGATGGGGCGAGGTTCACCACTTTGTGAACAACTGCGTGAGCAAATAGTCGAACAGTTTAAGAACAATGTTTCTCAAAGTACAATTGCAAGGAATTTAGGGAGTTCAACATCTACGGTCCGTAATATCATCAGAAAGTTCAGAGAATCTGGAGAAATCACTGCACGTAAGTGGCATGGCCAGAAACCAACATTGAATGCCTGTGACCTTTGATCCCTCAGGCAGCACTGTATCAAAAAACAACATCAATGTGTAAAGGATATCACCACATGGGCTCAGGAACACTTCAGAAAACCACTGTCAGTAAATACAGTTTGTCGCTACATCTGTAAGTGCAAGTTAAAACTACTATGCAAAGCGAAAGCCATTTATAAACAACATCCAGAAACGCCACCGGCTTCTGTGGGCCCGAGCTCATTTAAGATGGACTAATGCAAAGTGGAAAAGTGTTCTGTGGTCTGATGAGTCCACATTTCAAATTGTTTTTGGAAATTGTTTGTGGACGTCGTGTTCTCTGGGCCAAAGAGGAAAAGAACCATCCGAACTGTTATCGCTGTAAAGTTCAAAAGCCAGCACTAATGCACCCCCCATGTGATGGTATGGGGGGTGCATTAGTGCCCAAGGCATGGGTAACTTACACATTTAAAGGCAACATTAATGCTGAAAGTTACATACAGGTTTTGGAGCAACATATGCTGCCATCCAAGCAACGCCTTTTTATGGACGCCCCTGTTTATTTCAGCAAGACAATGCCAAGCCACATTCTGCACGTGTTACAACAGCGTGGCTTCGTAGTAAAAGAGTGTGGGTACTCGACTGGCCTGCCTGCAGTCCAGACCTGTCTCCCATTGAAAATGCGTGGCGCATTATGAAATGTAAAATATGACAACGGAGACCTCGGACTGTTGAACAACTGAAGCTGTACATCAAGCAAGAATGGAAAAGAATTCCACCTTCAAAGCTTCAACAATTAGTCCCCTCAGTTCACAAATGTTTATTGAGTGTTGTTAAAAGGAAAGGTGATGTAACACAGTGGTAAACATGCCCCTGTCCCAACTACTTTGGCATGTGTTGCAGCCATGAAATTCTGAGTTAATTATTATAAATAATTATAATTATTATAAAAAATAAAGTTTGTGAGTTTGAACATTAAATATCTTGTCTTTGTAGTGTATTCAACTGAATATAGGCTGAAAAGGATTTGCAAATCATTGTGATCTGTTTTTATTTACGTTTATCACAATTTCCCAAATTCAAAGAAATTGGGTTTTGTACATCAAAAGTTAATTTCCCTCAATATCAATATAAAACATCGTCAGTATGCTTTTTGATAGTCTGTTTTTTTTTAGGTTGGACATGAAGCAGAGTAACGTGCACTGCAAATTATTTCAAGCACATGTTCTCACAAGTTAGGGAATACCTCAAATCTTTTTCACCACCTGAAGCAGTGCCACATGACAGAGGATGCACAATCCAAAAGGTTACAAACCCTGAGCAGAGCAAGGAGCCTTATGACAAAACGTGCATTTCTCAGAACAATTAGTACAAACTACAAAACCTAGTAGATAACCTGCAAAAGCGTGTCACTTGCTCAAAATGAATTGTTAATTCCTTAAAAGCAAGTATTCATGTCAATGAATCTGTCTAGGTTATCAAAATAATTAGCCCTGACATCATTGTTTATGAACACAACAGTCAAATGGCTTTGTCATGTTTTCATTATGACAGTTTACTCTCTCTGTGTTTTCCAGTGCAAAAAAGTCAGACCTTGGTGACACTACCTGAAAATGCTCAAGACAGCACTATACACAACCTGTACAGCCATTTGAAAACTACAGTAAAGTTACACACTACTGACTCCTTAGTTATAATCCTTGGTGATTTTAACAAAGGAAATCTCAGTCAGGAACTACCAAAATACAAACAGTTTGTAACATGCCCGACCAGAGAGGGGAACACATTAGATCACTGTTACAATACAGTGAGTGGTGCCTATCGCGCTGTGGGTCGCGCAGCTTTGGGACTCTCAGATCACGTCATGGTTCACCTGATCCCTGCGTACAGACAGAGACTAAAACTCTGTTAACATGTAGTGAGGACATCCAAAGTGTGGACCAGTGAAGCTGTGGAGGAACTACGCACGTGCTTAGACACCATGGACTGGGATATGTTTAAGGCTTCTACAGACAGTTTAGACGATTACACAAACACTGTGACATCATATATTCATTTCTGTGAAGACAGCATCATCCCACAGCGTACCAGGGTGAAATACAACAACGACAAGCCCTGGTTTACATCAAAACTCCAGCAGCTCCATCAGCAGAAAGAGGTGGCTTTCAGGGAAGGTGACAGAGACTGCTACAAATGTGCCAAGTACAGTTTTAGCAAGTAGGTGGCAAAGGCTAAAGCCAGATACAACGCACGTCTGGAGCAAAGATTCTCTGCCAACAACCCTGCCTTGTTGTGGAGGGGGTTGAAAGAGATTACAAACTACAAGCCCAAAGCACCTCGTTCAACTGACGACTCAAAACTAGATCAATGACCTGAATGACTTCTATTCACGCTTCGAAGTCATGGACTCACATCCCCTCACCCCCCACACAACTGGAAATCGAACCACTCTGGACCTCCTCCCTCCCCCTGCTGCCCTCTCGGTCCATGAAGAGGAAGTAAACGGACTGGTTTTGTAGCTGAGTCCACACAAGGCTGCTGGCCCGGACTGTGTCTCTCCTGCCACTCTGAGACACTACGCTGATGAGCTAGCTCCAGTCTTCACGGGGATCTTCAACACCTCCCTGGTGTCATGCCATGTTCCAGCCTGTTTCAAGTCCTCCATTATTGTTCCCGTCCCCAAGAAACCTTGCATAACTGGACTTAATGACTACAGGCTGGTGGCTCTTACGTCTGTAGTCATGAAGACCTTTGAACGCCTGGTTTTATCCCACCTGAATTCCATCACCGACCCCCTCCTGGACCCTTTGCAGTTTGCCTACAGAGCCAACAGGTCTGTAGACGATGCCATAAACCTGGCTCTGCACTCCATCCTGCAGCACCTGGACTCCCCAGGACCCTACACAAGGATCCTGTTCATGGACTTTAGCTCTGCATTCAACACCATCCCTCCGGCTTTGCTCCAGAACAAGCTTTCCCTGCTCCATGTGCCTGACTCCATCTGCAGGTGGATCACAGACTTTCTGACGGACCAGAGTCAGTGCGTGCGGCTGGGGAATGTCTCGGACACTCGGGCTCTCAGCACAGGATCTCCACAGGGCTATGTACTTACCCCTCTGCTCTTCTCCATGTACACCAACTGCTGCACCTCCAACCATGACTCCGTAAAGCTCATCAAGTTTGCGGATGACACTACCCTCATCTGACTCATTTCGGATGGAGATGAGTCTGCCTACAGGATGGAGATGGACCGGCTGGTGACCTGGTGATGCAGCAACAATCTAGAGCTCAACGCCCAGGGGACAGTGGAGATGATTGTGGACGTAGGAAAGCCACAGCCCCCCTGCCCTCCCTCAACCTCACTGACTCCCCCATCACCGCTGTGGACTGTTACCGCTTCCTCGGCACCACCATCACCCAGGACCTCAAGTGGGAGCCAACTATCAGCTCCCTCATCAAGAAGGCCGAGCAGAGGATGTACTTCCTGCGGCAGCTGAGAAAAGCCAAGCTGCCGGTCCAGCTGATGGTGCAGTTCTATGTGGACATCATCGAGTCCGTCCTCAGCTCCTCCATCACGGTGTGGTACGCCGGGGCCACTACCAGGGACAGACACAGACTGCAGCACATTGTGGGCTCTGCTGAGAAGGTGATCGGCTGTAGCCTTCCATCTCTCCATGACCTGTACATCTCCAGGACTCGGGGCCGAGCAGGTTGGATCACAGCTGACCCTTCTCACCCTGCACATGGGCTATTTGAGACACTCCCCTCGGGCAGGGGGCTACGGTCCATTTGGACCAGAACCTCCCGCCATAAGAACAGTTTCTTCCCCTCTGCCGTTAGACTCATGTACACTTTATAAGTCTGTCACTTTAACTCCGTCACTTTATCACTGGTCACTTTAGTTTAATGTTCTTTGGATTTTTTAATTGCTCTCCTCCCACTGCACTGTAGTTCTAGATTGTTCAGTTGTACATAGCCTTTTATACTTATTGCACATAGCATTGTACATAAGCTTTTATACTTTTATATTTTTATATTTTATACTTTATATATTTCTTGTATGATCTTATTAGTTTATCCTAGTATTTTATATTTCTCTCTGTTTATTGTTGCGCCATCATGCCAAAACAAATTCCTAGTCTGTGAACCCTGTTCATCGACAATGGCAATAAAACCCCTTCTGATTCTGATTCTGATTCTTCTGATTTAGTGAGGAAACTGAGTACAAGACACATGTATGTTTCACACACTTACTGCATATGCTCTTTGCAGTTCTACAGCATTGTGCAAAAAACTAAAATTGGTAAGGCATTGGTGACGTATGCGCACTACACCGATGGTCTACTAAAATACCACTAGACCAGTTGTGCCCCGCCAGTGTTGAAAGCTGACCAGGTCTGAATCGGAGAGCTTTCAGCGCACTTTCCACGCCGTCGGCGAGCACAAAAATGTCACTGCGCCGGCTGGTTCCTTTGACACCTCCCCCTGCCGCACCACCACGCCCAGCTTGGTGGACCTCGGTGCGCCTCAGTCTACGAAAATACCAAACTGGCTGTACACTGGGCTCCGCCAGAGGAAAATACCACAGCACAGGGTGCGCTACTGTCCGCCGCGACACCAGCAGGCATGAAATTAGAGCCCCTTGTCTTTCTTGGCAATTTCTCTGTAGGAAAGACCTACATTTTTAAATGTTATGATGGTCTGTCTCTCTTCTATCATTAACTGCTGTTTCCTAGCCATTTGTGCTGAGAGCCCTCCCACCACCAGACCCTGAAGAACTGGCCCCCTTCTCAGAGGAAGAGGTTCAGTGCCAGCTGGGCCGTTGCAAGCCAGGCAAGGCTCCAGGGCCTGATGGCATCCGAGCCAGGGTGCTTAATGCCTGTGGCATGGAGCTCTCCCCAATACTGCACTCACTTTTCTGTCAATCTTACCGGACTGCCACAACAGCCACACTATGGAAAACTGCTATTATAATCCCAGTACTGAAAAAATCCCACAGACTTCAGTCATTAACGCCCCATAGCCCTAACATCCATTATAATGTAGTGCCTAGAGAAATTACTGCTGAACATTATCCTGCCACTTGTCACCCCACACCTGGATCCCCTCCAATTTGCCTATAAGGCAAAGAGGGGCACAGTTGTGTGGCCTGCCTGCTACACCTCCTCCTCCAGCATCTAGACTCCCCAGGCAACTTCGCCAGGATCCTCCACGTAGATTTTAGTTCTGCCTTCAGTTCCCTACAGAAACATCTGCTGATCCAAAACCTGCACCATCTCAACATCCCCCCTCATCTGATCCACCTCACCTACAATTTCCTCAAAGACAGACAGCAAGCAGTAAGGGTGGGCTCAACCACATCTCCTGTTCTCACCATCAACACAGGGGGTCCACGGGGATGTGTGTTGAGCCCATTCCTGTACACACTCTACACCAACGACTGCCTCAGCAACTCACCCACCACCACTACATTTCTCAAATACTCAGATGACACAGCCATCCTTGCACTCCTCTCTGACAATCAATCCACTTTGGACTTCCATAACACAGTCACACATTTCACCAGGTGGTGCAGGGGCAATCATCTTCAGATCAATGTCAATAAAACAAAAGAACTACTGATCAGCCCCCCCTCACCCCAGCACCCCCCCATCATAAACACCCAAACAGTTGAGACAGTAGACACATTCAAATACCTGGGAATAACTCTGGACAATAAACTCCTTTGACCAGCACACCACAGACATTCAAAAAAGAAGACAACAAAGACTGTCAGCCATCTGCAAACTTAAAGGACTATACATTGCACCCCACCTCCTGTTACTGCTCCATCAAAGCATAATTCAACCCATCCTTCTTTACTGCTCCACATGTCTTTTCACAATGCTGTCTGTCACAAACCGGGCAAAACTCATAAGAATCATAAACACAGCTGCAAAAATCATTGGTCTCCCTGCACCCAACCTCACAGAACTAAACAACAGGTCCATCACTCGCCTAACAAGCACTAAAGTACAGGACATCACCCACCCACTACACCAGTACATCATCCCACTACTCTCAGGGCATAGGTACAGATCAATCAAGTTCAGGAGGGCTCACCTGGGAAGAAGCCTGATCCCTGCAGCCATAGCCGCCCTGAACAGCAGGCCCAGCTGATCTGTCTGCCTGTCACTGTATTGTTATTGTCACTGTTGTTTACTGCCATGTCGGCTGAATAATGTTATTGTCTGTGATGTCCACCGTTGTCTCATTGTAACGTACAATCAGTGAAAATGAATTTCCCCACAGGGACCAATAAATACATTTATCTATTATTTCTATAGTAAAACACTACTTTCTGCAGTACACTACTGTTCAAACAATGCTCACCATGGTTTGGTACCACAGTGTGTTCCAGCACTACTTTTATGCAGACAGAGAGGGTTGTAAGTGATCAAGAAAAGTTCAGACACTTGTAGGAATTGGTAGCACCAACTTTCAAGGTTTGATCAACCTCCATTGCTGCAGAACTGCTTTAAGTTGTTAACCCATTTCTTGTTCCCTGAAAAAGGCCTTTTTGTATAATTCTGAAATGTCCATTATTTTTCAGTTTTGGTTAAACTTACCTTTTTTTATTTGCCACTGGCAGTTCACCACCTACCTTTGTACCCTTTCAAGCTGTTCATTGGACTTGAACCGCTTGAATTTCAATAAAAAAAACAGGAAAAATTGGGTTATTCTAAAAATTTTAAACTGTAGTGTCTGTGTAACGGATACGAGTGACATTTAAAATATTAACAGTATAAATACCATAAATGTCTTTGTGATGACCACGGTCTGCTTTTTTTTCTGATAGAAGCTACCGTTTTGTCAGAATAAGCCCAAGTGCAAGACCAGTGCTGAGGCAAAAAAAAATCATTTTCTCTGCCTCACTCTGCGGTGGATCGATCGTCATGGGCAACCAACTTAAGTAGCTGTGGCAACCTGTGAGCCTCAGGCCAGGCCTACAGCTGACACAATTCATTAATCAGGGACTGCTCTGATATCTCTTCATAACTGAATTGCTTATAGTGCAATTTTCATAAAGATAAAACACTGACTCTTAAAGAAAATCTGGTAGCATAATCCATTTCCTGTAACAACTTTGGATCCAAAAATCAGCCTCACAGGGTTTTTGTCCTGGGTTTTGTATTTAATGAGCTTTGTTTGATTAAGATACATGACTAATACAGGCTAGGATACACATTCATTCAAACATTTGCTTGCTGTGTTCCTAAATTGATTTTTTAAGGGACAATGTAATTTACATTTAATGAAGTGATGATGCAAAATAATTACATTTAAAGTTAAAAACCATATCTGCAGGTTAGCTTTGGCATGAACTGTGCCTGTACTCCTCAAAGATGCATGTCATGCTCCTGCAGAACTGCACAAATACACCTTTGAGTCAGGAGACCAGGAGTTCTCAAGCATACAAGCATCTCCCTTTAGAAGGGGAAATGCTTGTATGCTTCTGAAGTGAATACAATGCTGTGAAATGCCCCCTCCTTGCAAAATGCCATCATCACAGTACCACTCTTCTAAAGGGTGAAACATAGTGCAGATGAAAAAAAGCAACCTCCAGATGCCCTTTCAGTGTATAAAATGAGGAAAAGTTTCCTCTGGATCTCACTGGATAAAATGTAAGTAAGTTCCCCCTGAATGCTCCACCAGTGGATAAAATTTGATAACTCATGTTGGTTCAAAATGTGTTAAATCTTTTCCCATATTGAGGTTGGGTCTTTGTAATACATCAAACAATGAGTAAGGTTAGGCCTGCTCTTTTGGAAAGTGTCGTGAGGTGACGATTGTTGTGATTTGGTGCTATATCAATAAAAAATTGATTGATCAGGTTAAATTTTGGAAATATACCTCACTGTAAGTGTGGTTGGCATGGAAGGTTTCAAACTCTGTGGAGTTCAATTAGATACTTCAACTCAAGTGTTTAATCATTTCATTCTATTATTTGATTTACTCAGTTTTAGAAAAATGAAAAAACACACAAACTTAAGTGTGAGCTCAATGCTCAGCATTCATTTTTTAGTTAACTATGTGTAAAAGTGTTTGCATTTATCTCACAGAGAAAAAAAAATCACCTCAAATTGTTCTATAATAATTCACCAGAATTTAGGGGATGAAGTGTAAGACACTCAAATATTCATAAATCACAGTTTATTGCGCACACATGTCACATGGCAAACAGGATGTGCCCCTTTTTTTATTTCTGAATACACCCTTGCTCAAGGCTAAACCTGAGTTCAACAAGAGCTCAGAGGTAACTGAGCACTAACACTCAGGGGCTCAAGTCTTCAGTTATGGAGTACTTTGACTCACACATAGTAAGTTCTTCAGCTTCTACCTCTTTCATATCTCAGTGATAGATACTATCCCCCTTTACTGCACTACATTTAGATACAGATAAAGTACTTGGTGATAACAAAATAAACATACTATTAACCAGCCAGCCAGTGAAGTCTTTATAAGGAACTCTGCAACCCGCTACTTAACATCTTCACACCATTAAGTACTTTACAGTAAATGTGATTTTCAGCATATTTAGAGTCTAACCTTTTGCGTCTGACCATTATATTTTGAAACTTATTGGAGATAGACTACAGTTTGCTTTTTACTACAACTATTATTAAAGCTGATTTCATGTACCCTTTTTGAACTCCTCAATGCTAATGACTTTCAATGCCCTTCCTCAGGGATCATTTTTGTATCACATTTATTCATCCTTTTTTATACTTCTGCATTTTCGCCCAGATTTCCCAGCTCCCTTCATAGGGTACCGTAAAAATAAGTACTCTCTTGAGATAATCTTTTTATAGGTTGTAGTTGTTTGTTCAAATCTGTCTCTAATGTTTGAGAGGAAAAAAAACATTGTTTTGATAATTTTTTGCTGAATCTGCAGACCTAGGCTCCACCCTGATAAGACAAACCATTAACCTTTGAGCAGGCTGATGAATGTCACTGCCAGATGAGTTTATGGTTTTGTTTTTATCACCTGGCACAAAATCCACGAGGTGAAGACTCAACAGATTCAGAGCAGCTCAGTCTTTCTGAATCAACATGATGACTGCAGGTCCAGATCAGAGGCACCCTATTTAGGTTCAGGGCAGCGTTAAAAAAAAATCTGTTCGAGTCAAAATCTGAAAGTATTTGAAGCAGATCCTGTAGGTCAATTTGGTCTTTAAGTCTCTAAGGGCACAAGAAGTTTGAAGATATCTAGCAGGACTTAGGATCAGGGTGGTTGGTCCATGAGTGTGGCATTTTGACCTGCAGGGCAGTCAATCATAAAGAAAAAGGATGAAGAGAGGGACTCAGTGTGGTCTGACAGGGCTGCACAACCCTGGACTGGAGTTGGAGATGACGGAAACCCCCCACAAAACTGAGGTGAGACCATAAAATCTAGAGTCAGGTTCACATGAGTATGAGTGTTTGCTTTTATCTGCATGGAATCCCAGCTTGATGAAGCTTAATTTAAAATGTTTCTTTAATGATAGAGTTAGTGAATTTACAGATAAAGACTATAAAACAAAGAAATAAAGACATATCAATCTTTACAATCACAACATTTAAGGTGGCTCTTCTGGTCACCTCAGGTTCCAGATAGTCCTCTGGTTCCCTTGAGTCCTCAGGGATCCGCTTCCAAGTCAATACAAGCTGCAGCTTGGTGGGCTTCGTACTCCTGCAGTCGCTGGAAGCATAGAAGAAAAAAATTGAAAGGTAAAACGCAGATGCTTTCTGAGTACTGGTATTTTGTTTAGTTTTTTTTTAATCTGAATAACATTTGAGTATAAATGATGTGACTGTTTTTCAGGGATTCATCTGGAGACCAGGTATAGAGGTCTGGCTGAAGGTGATGAAAGCGACGAGGAGCAGAAAGATGAAACAGACACGAGTAAAAACCATCAGCTGAATAAACAACTACTGGATCACTTCAGACAGCTGGCTGCTAACAACCAGGACACAGACCAGGTAACTCTGAGCAACCAGTTTCACAGATGAGGAAAACATACCAGGCAACTCCAACCAGGCTAAAACAACAGACGGTTTCATAAGATTTATCATAACAAGAAAACTTGGATATGCAGACTATGGCCAAAACAGGAGCTGAAGTGGATATGCTGTGTCCTGGGCAATCATTTAAATGATTATTCATGATTGATCCATGACTGGTACATGTGCATGATGGAAAGGGAGCTTTGACCGATGCATGCACACATTTCAGAGGGACAGGGAAAATTGAAAGTACTTACAATATGTTTTGTGTTTTTGTTCAGGTTGACCTTCAGTTTCTGGATGAAGTGATTTCTAATGGAGCTGATCCAAACAGTTGTGACAGATATGGACAAACCATCCAGCATGAGGTGAACATATGATTCTGATTGGTTTGATTTCAGACATTCACAGCAACAAAGCCATAGTTGAAACATTGGGGATCAAATTCAGAGAAAAAAATCACTAACAACAATAAAGAATAGAAATTCATGGCGGCTGTGTATTACAATCATCATCAGGTATAGATTCCAGAGTCATCCAGTACCTCAAACCTGAGCATTTTTCCCCTCTTGGCTAAACTCATATAAGTTTAACTGATTTATGTTTGTTCGGAGTCAGGGTCTTTGAAAGCTCTGTATTTCCAATACTCCTCCTTCACTTGGTCCTGCCTACTCTACATTACCATGAAGGGTTTTGTGCATTATAGGCAGCAAATTTTGACCCATGCATGCATATATTTCAGAGTTTAAGTAGAAATGATTGTACAAATTTTGTGTGCATGGTAAAACCTTGGAGCTTGTGTCTCTTTATGTCATCCTCCTTTTCGTGCGAATGCTAAAGGGAACATACATATCTTTGGACAACTCATTAAAATGGTCCAAACTGTTGCTGGAGTCATAACAGTTTGTTGAATAAATACAGCAGATGATTATAATAAACAAAGCATCTATGATTCATCCTAAATTTTGCCTCTGGTGGTTTCTGGAGTCCTCAACATCTAATTCAGGTTGCTAGTTCAGCCCCACTTAAACACAGTACCATGTGTGTGTGTTCAGATCTCCCGGGCATGGAGTGTGGATGTGATGAGGTTCTTCCTGGACCGGGGCTCAGACCTCCTCCGCCCTGATCATTTTGGAGTCACAGCACTTCATGTTGCCTCAGCGCTGGACTACCAGGAAATGGTTCAGTTCCTGCTGGACCACAAAGGTTAGTGTGGGCAGGTAGAGGGTCAAAAGAACAGCTAGATTGTCTATAGTCCTGCCCTCTTTAACCTTCAAGTGCACCTTTAAACAGATAACAAAACAAAGAGATACAAACAAAAAAAGGGATTCAGGTGCACCTGGCAGTGGTGCTGACATGTAAGGAAGTTTTGGTGGGTCTTGATACAAATATAGAGCCTAATCAATAAGATTGTGCACTTTCTGTCCCCAGCAAATCCAGAGGCCAGGACTGTCCTGGACCAACAGACTCCTCTTCACTATGCTGCCAAAAACGATGCTGCAGGTTCAATCAGACTGCTGCTGCAGGCCGGAGCCTCCATCAGCTGCACCGACTACAAACACAGAACACCACTGCAGCTCGCTGCCAACATGGGTAGTTACACTATTTACAGCAGTGCAGACATAGTAGATATCAGCACCATCAACAACACTGACACAACCACTATCACCACTGACACAACCACTATCACCACTAACACAACCACTATCACCACTGACACAACCACTATCACCACTGACACAACCACTATCACCACTAACACAACCACTATCACCACTGACACAACCACTATCACCACTAACACAACCACTATCACCACTGACACAACCACTATCACCACTGACACAACCACTATCACCACTAACACAACCACTATCACCACTGACACAACCACTATCACCACTAACACAACCACTATCACCACTGATACAACCACTATCACCACTAACACAACCACTATCACCACTGACACAACCACTATCACACACTGACACAACCATTATCATACACTGACATATCTATCACACACTGACACAACCACTATCACCACTGACACAACCACTATCATACACTGACACAATCTATTACCACTGACCAAACCACTATTACCAGTGACACAAATATGACACACTGAACCAACCATTATCACCACTGACACAACTACTTTCACCACTGACAAAGCCAATCACACACTGACACAACCTATTACCACTGACACAACCTATCACTACTGACCCAACCATAACCACCACTGACACAACCACAATCACCCTTGACACATCTATCACACAGTGACACAACCACATACACAGTGACATCATCTTTACAGACATTAACACTGACAAAAACTTTACAGACATCAACACTGACCCCATCTTTACATTCAAAACCACTGTCAATATCACAACAGACATCAAATACTGATCTCTTCTGTACAGACATAGCCATTAACACCAATTCTGAAGACATAACTACAAATACCAACCCTACAGACATAAAACCAGGTATTAAACTCTACAGATTCTACTATTGACATTCCTGCATACAACAATAATGACACACTTTTTCACTGACATTACCACTAACACTATCTCCACTGTCATCACTTTTACATTATCTTTACAGACAAAAACACTAGAATCAATCTCTACAGACATGACCACTGATAATATCTGACTGACATGACCATAGACTCTATTTCTACAGTTGCAACGACTGACACTTTCTTTACTAGCATTAACACTGACATGTACATCACCATTGACACAAACCTAACAGTTATCACTTTTGACCAAATCCAAAAAGACATCATTACTGCTCAACAAACTCCGCAGACATTTCATCTGACGCTATCTTTACTGACTAAACTTCTTCTTCTGGTAGTTACACTATTTACAGCAGTGCAGACATAGTAGATATCAGCACCATCAACAACACTGACACAACCACTATCACCACTGACACAACCACTATCACCACTGTCACAGCCACTATCAACACTCACACAACTATTCACACACTGACAGAACCACAATCACACACTGACACAACCTATCACTCACTGACACAATAACTATCACACACTGACACAACCACTATCACCACTGACACGACGCCTATCACCACTGACACAACCACTATTACACACTGACACAACCACTATCACCACTGACACAACTATCACACACTGACACAACCACTATAACTACTGACACAACCACTATCAACACTGACACAACCTATTAACACTGACACAATCACTATCACCACTGATACAACCTATTACCACTGACACAATTGCTATCACCACTGACACAACTATCACACACTGGCACAACCACGATCACCACTAACACAACCTCTATCACACACTGACATAACCACATCAACAGTGATATCATCTCTACAGACAGAAACACTGACACCAATTTTACAGACATCAACGCTGACTCCATCTTTACAAAAAAAACTACTGACACTATCACAACAGACATCAAATACTGATCTCTTCTGTACAGATATAGCCATTAACACCAACATAACTACAAATACCAACCCTACAGACATAAGACCAGGAAATAAACTCTACAGATTCTACTACTGACATGGTCCTTCTGCCACTGCCACTGACAACTGGCTCAAAAGATAATATCAGTTGCACTTTTTTTGCATACAATAATAATTACACTTTTTTCACTGACGATACCACTAACACTATCTCCACTGTCATCACTTTGACATTATTTTTAAAGACATAAACATTATAATCAATCTCTACAGATATTACTACTGACACTTTCTCTACAGACTTAACCACTGATAATATCTGATGGACATGACCATAGACTCTATTTCTACAGTTGCAACTACTGACACTTTCTTTACTAGCATTCACACTGATGTACATCATCATTGACACAAACTTAACAGTCATCACTTTTGACCAAATCCCAACAGACATCATCACTGCTAACAAACTCCACAGACATTTCAACTGAAGCTATATTAACTGGCTAAACCACTAACAATATCTCCACGAATATCACTACTGACATCTCCTGAAGAGACATCACCACTGTCAGCCATCTCTACAAACATTACTGTTGACACCATCTCTTTGTTAACATCTTTACTGACATACCTTCAGACATACATACATTTTTCTGCTTGTTATTTTAACAACGATCTTTGTTGAGATTCCTAATCATGACTTCCCCACTTTCTTCTTAATCAACATTGCTTATCAGATGATCAGGGACAAAATACTGACACCTTACCTAGTATGACCACATTGGTTACAGCCATATATTTCACAACAGGCATCAACACTGACTGAATACACTTGCTTTTTTTTCTCCAAACTTTATTTATTATCAAATAGGGCAAATATTAACAAATTATATATACATAGGGCAAGTTAAAATGGCAGACAACTTCACTAAATGTAATTTGAATAAAATTCAATAGCTGATAAGCATTTTTTGTCAGATTCAACATATGACAGAGACTCAAAATATATTTTTAATTCAATGAAAAACAATGGGAATAAAGGTATGTATATGGAATTTACCTAGTAATATGAAGAGATTAATTCTGTTAAATTTATTATTGTGAGAGAAGGAGCCAAAAATAATAATATTCTCATCGAATTGATACCTAACTGTTGTTTTAGCAAAAAGAAAATTTTCCAAATCTTTCCAAAAGCTGATACAAAATGGACACTTATAAAATAAGTAGATGATACTTTCTCTATCTTTTTGACTAAAGGAACAGCTGTCATCAATGTCGGAAAATTTGGAGATGTATGCATTAGTAGGATAAATGTTATGTAATAGCTTGAGGACTGATCACAACTGACCAACAATTGCTATCATCAAAAACTGACACTACCACAGATGTCACTACTCAAGACATCTGTATTGACATGACCTCTGAAACAGCACTTGGTTATTTCCAACTGTCTGTGTTTTCAGAGCGCAGTGAAGCAGCTCAGGTGTTGATGGACTTTGGGGCAGAGGCTGGTTTGATAGACGCTGATGGACAGCTCTGCATCACTGCTCTGATTGGCCGGATGAGCCCTGTGGTAAACATGTCCTACCTACTGACTGATAACAGTGTAGTGATTATTGAGTGAGAATAGAAGAGAAGAGGAAAGGAGAGGAGAGAAGAGGAGAGGAAAAAAGGAGAGAAGAGAAGAGAAGAAAAGAAAAGAAAAGAGAAGAGAAGAGAAGAGAAGAGAAGAGAAGAGAAGAGAAGAGAAGAGAAGAGAAGAGAAGGTAGTCTGTCCTGAGGTTTCTCAATGCTGATTTTTTTTGTGTCCAGGCCCTGCTGGCACTCAGTCAGTTCCATGTGACTGACAGACTGACCAGGCAACAGTTCTACTACCTAAACCTGCTGGAGCCAGTGCCTCATTTACGAAACACACCTGTGCAAGGTAACACTGCTAACTAGCCACCAATTTTTGAACTGTCCTCCAGAATCAGAATTAGCTTTGAAATTTCTCTGCACATCTTCAGTCTTAATTCTATTCACACACTTTCAATGTGCGGATGGATGGATGGATGGATGGATGGATGGATGGATGAATGGATGGCTGGCTGGCTGGCTGGATGGATGGATGGATGGATGGATACTTTATTAATCCCAGAGGGAAATTCAAAATTCAAAATTCAAAAGTACTGATTTTCCACCGCCTTAAAAGTGGACCTCCACTGGTAATTATACTTTTTGTCTTATTACCTCCTCTAAAAAATCTCTAATAGCATTTATGTGTAACTTTGGTAATGTTACAATGTCTACTGCTGAAATTGTGGCTATTTTGTGACTGGCAATACCTGCCCTTTAATTCTGTGCAGTCTCATTTTATGTCTGTTTATCTATCCATCTGACCATCTGGCCATCTGACCATCTGGTTGTAATTGGAAGAAGCTACCATGAGTGAGCCAACATCTCCAGTAAGTGTCACACGTTTACCTTGGTTTATTTAAGAATTTAGCTGAAATGGGTCTTTTAAATAACAGTGTTGTCTTATGCAGTAAACATTGTGCAATGCACAAACTACACTGTGTAGTGAAGAGTGTATGGTGAGCATCAAACTGAAAAATGTAGAACAAGCAGTTGATAGTAAGTGTTGATATGTTCTTGTTAACTAAGTTTTTTTTTACTTTGTAATTCAGTTGTATTTTCTGTGTATTTGTTCCTTGTGTTCCTGTCCCCTGTGTCAATTATTCTTATGTTTCTGTTGTGTTTCTCTGTTAAGTCTTGTGTTTAATTTTCAGAGTATACTGGGTTATTTTGTAGTCCCTTCTCCTTGTGTGTCTGGTTTTGTTTGACTTTCTGTTTTATTTTGTAGTAGTCATTCCCTTTGTGTCTTGTTTAGTTATACTTCCCTCCTCAGTGATTGTCTGCACCTGTATCCTTGGGCTGTGTCTCAATTCAGGTAGTGGGCATTTGCAATTTGTGTGACATCATTGCACGGTGCTAATGGTGTCCCATTCCATTCGTGATTTCGAAGGCGTTCAAAGTGCGGTCCCAAAACCTCCCTGCCCCCTAACCCCCTTTTACAGGCGCGCAACCATGCACATTTGGTGGCCTTAGAATTCCCTGGATTATAGGTGCGTGTTTCAGGCGAGGCGTCAGATCTGTTTGGAGGTGCAGCACCTCTTCAAAGAAAACAAAGAAAACTCAAAAACACAAAACAGTCAGCTCAGGCTCCATGAGCACATGCACTCTCCACTTACGGAACTGCACCTGCAAACCAAACATTATACTGTTTAGAAAATGACTGATCCGCTATGCTACCAAAATCGAAAACATTAGAAATAAGAAAGTTTCCAAAACATATGCCATCATGGAGAAATTTAGTAAATCTGTAAAAGATCCATTAAGTCCTTTCCTCTTCTTGGTTGTCATCTTGTTGCTTGTTGTACATAGTAACCCCTGTGTGCTTGTAAGTATGTATTGTTTTGTGCCTGTATCTTTTGTTTTGTATATGTATTGTATGTATGCAGGGTCGCACAATAAATATGAAGAAATATGAAGCAGTCCTGAAGGCAGGGACATTTGGTGAATTAACTAGGAAGTCCTCTGGAGAGTAGACTGTTTCAGTTCACAAAAGCTGATCCACCTTGTGCAGAGCGTTCAGGGTGCACACGCAGGGTGCATACAGGGCAGTGCACTCAGCAGTGTGCAGACCCTGTATTGAGACACATCCCTAGTGTCTGATCTGCCTCTTGTTACTTGTTTTCCCATCTATTTAGTGCCTGTGTAGCATTCCCTCTATGCTGGTTTATGTATGTCATTGTTTGTATTTGAGCTCCTGGTGGTTTTCCCTGCATCTTTTGATTTTTTGCTCCCTGTGTGTTGGTTTGGTTTTTTTTATTAGGATTTTTTCAGTTGAACATATTCCATTTAAAGTAAGTTTTTTGTTGTCCCAAGCTTAGTCTTTTGTCAAATAAAATTTTCATTTTTTAAGTCTGCACATAGGTCCTCCCTTTTTGTTTTTGTGTGAAACAATGGCAAGTGTAGTACATGGGCGTACATCCAGTGACCACTGTGCAGATAACAGTGAGTAATGTAATCTGTCACAGCCCACATATTGCAGTGAACAATGACTTATGTGCAATAAACTGTGCAGTGTACATGCTACCTCCTGAACTACTGCTGATAACTGGAAGGTTGGCGGTTCAGTTCCCCCCTATCCCTAGTCTGTTCATTGTGTCCTTGGCCAAGTAACTAAGCCCACCTTGCTCCCAGTGTGTGTCCTCCACTGGTGTATGATTGTGAGTGTTGTGTGGTGGTGGTTTGAGAGGCGTAGGCGCAAACTGGCAGCCACGCTTCCATCAGTCTGCCCCAGCGCAGCTGTGACTACTAAAGTAGTTTACCAGCACCAGGGTGTGACTGTGTGAGCGAATGAATGATGTATTCAATGTAAAGCGCTTTGAGTGTCTGTGATAAAATGCTATATAAAATCTGATGCATTATGTTTTTATTATATTTGGTTAGCAATGAATGTATAATACTGAATGGTACATGGTAAGAAAACTGAAAAGCACATCCAGCATGCCTGAAAGTAGTTTGCAAATGAGCCATCTTACTTCATTCCTATCTTTGTTGAAAGTTGCACATGCATGGAAATGATGGAAGTAGATGTGTTTAAGTGATAAGAAGTGACAGAGTGAGTAGCAGTGGGTACCTTTAGAGATAAAATGGAGAGAGAGAGTGCCAGTAGTGGACACAACACCGCAAAACTAAAAAAATGAGAGGTACGTTTCAGGATGTTTCATGGTGGTTACACTTAAAAGAACTTAAAAATAATTCTATATCTCCATGAAAATGCAGGAGGATGCTGGATTTAGTTTGTTTGCAGCTGGAGTCAGACTTCTTCCTGCCTGCAGCTTATTTCTTTGCTCTGCCCATGCACTGTTCTTGGTGTTACTGCAGAATCTCCAGTTAATATCTAATGCTTTGTAAGGTTTACACTACTGTATAGTGGGTGATACCCACAAAGGTAATACATTTGATATAAAAAATTTAAACACCGACAGAAAGCACACTCTCTTGTGATTCAGGGGATATTTTTGTTTTGTATTACTGACATTTATTTAACCTTTAACAGTTTGTCAAAAGTTGTTCAGTGATAAAAGAAGCCTTCTGCACTACTTTCTAATCCATTCACTGACTGTGAAATAGTGAGAGACTGCATGCTAGCTGGTGTGGATGAACTGAGTCTATGTAATAACACTGACTGCTGGATTACTAATGCTCATGCACTTCAGCGTATCTCTGTCAAAAATGTGACCCAAGTATTTTAAATATGCCTCCATAAGATATGTGCTAAAGACAAAAAAATGACTTTGAATGCTGCTGAAAATGTCTGGCCAGCGTTGATATCCTGGTTTTCAACTCTGGCCCAGTTTAAAATGTATTTGAACAGCCCTGGTATACAGTGCGCAGTTCACTCTGTGTTGTGAACCATGTGAGAATTGAATGTGGCACAATATAGCATTAATGAAAAAGCACACAGTGTGGTGTCAGTCTTGTGAATAATGAATGAACACCATATAATGAGCAGTTAAAACAGAATAGTGTAAACTGAACAAATTACAGCCTACAGTGTACTGTAAGCTGTTTTGTGTTGTTTGGTTTCTGTTTTTAGCTGGAGGTCGCGGTGCATCAGGGGAAACTGGACCTCATCATGCATCCAGTCTTTCTCAAACTAATTGAGATCAAATGGAGACTATATGGCAGGTAAACTCCAGTCTGATTGGTTCAATTTACTTTATTACTTTGCTCAGTGGACTTTCGGATGGCTGTTTTTGCTTACAGTTTGTCTCTGTTAATCTGTCTGTCTTCATCAGGCTGGGGGCTTGGCTTCTCCTCATCCTAAACATCCTGTTCAATATCTCCTGGACCACTGTCGCCATCTCTGTGTCCATCCACAAAGGTTCATCTGATCGCTACACCCTCCCTGAGGTGATGTCTGTTTTGTGTCTGCATCCTGTCTCTCCTGTCTGTCCAGTGTCTGTGTCCAGTCCAAATGACTGCATCTGTTTGTTTCTCTCAGGATTGGTGGCGGGTCTTTGCTGTGGTTCTGGCCCTTCTACTGACTCTGGAGGAGGTGCTGCGGGAGGTACAGGACATCCTGCGTTCAAGAAAGAAGATGCGGCTCTGGCAGCAGTGGGCGGAGCGACGACTTAGTGATGACCTGCAATGTTCACATCCCATGTGGCCTCAGGTAGGAAGTAGCAGGTTAAATATCAGATGAAATCTATTAAGTACAACCAGCAGCTGGTTAACCATTACAGCTCAGACTAGGAACAGGGAGAAGTAGACCGCTTATCCAAGCTTGGAAGCTGGGAACAGGAGAAAAGAGTGGGGTGGGGCATATTATGAGAGCCTCTGCTTTAATGTTTGTGTGTGTGTGTGTGTGTGTGTGTGTGTGTGTGTGTGTGTGTGTGTGTGTGTGTGTGTGTGTGTGTGTGTGTGTGTGTGTGTGTGTGTGTGTGTGTGCATGTGCATGTGGGCATTTGTGTGTAGGAGAGAGTTTTCCTCTCTGATCAGTACAAACGGATGCACAGAATGAGAGGAAACTACCGCAGAGACTTATGGTAACACACAGAGTGCACATGCACACAAACACTTGTACAACACTGGAGCGAAAAAAAAAATTGTTTGTGAATATTAAAGCATCTTTTATATTTATTCCCTTCCCACAAATTTAATAACCTACTTAATGACTTTAAATGTCCCCCTAAACCCAAGCAAAAAGTTAAATGGCAATAGATAGCTAAGCTGTACACTCCACCTCCCCCTACATCTACATGAAAGAAAGTGCAAATGATAGTGGTGTGATAGTCCAACTAATATGACAACAAACCTTGGGTTGATTTAACTATAAATACCAAGAAAGTGAGTCAAAAATCTGTTATAGAAGTCATTAAATCCTTGAAAATGAGCCTCTATTAAAATAACAGTAACTATCTTCTTCTTTTGCCTGAGTGATGCCTTTTCTGAGGCCACTAACTGAACACAAAAATTTACGTTTGTCCTTTCTGTGCTACAGTCGAAACATAATGGCCCAAGATGGAGGCCGCTCCCATATGGATAAAAAAAAGGCTCATTTTAAGTAAACAAGAATCATTTTTATATTTAGGTCATTCGACATTATTTTTAATAGATGTATGAATATTATATTCCAATCCAACTTCATGAGGATGTCTAAAACATTGTGTGGTGTGTGTGTGTGTGTGTGTGTGTGTGTGTGTGTGTGTGTGTGTGTGTGTGTGTGTGTGTGTGTGTGTGTGTGTGTGTGTCAGGAATGTGTGTGACTGGCTGGTGTACATTCTGCTCACAGTGTCATTCAGCATCCACATGGCAGATGTGTTTCGTCCGTCTAACAGCCTTCGCACCATCAGTCTGCGTCTGTTCTCTGTCACCATTATCTTCCTGTGGCTGCGGCTGATGAAGCATGTCAGAGCCTTCAGGTAAACAGACACCTATTCACTTTAATGGCTACTATCTGCTGAAGAAATGAGCATCATGTTACTATGATTCTGTGTAGCCTGTGGCGTAGAGATCAATAGTCACTGGTCAGGTTACACAACAGACCCACTGTTACCAAAAAGAAAGAGTTCAGGGTGCCAGGTGTTCAGAAAAAGATTACCCATGATACCATGAGGTCTCACTTTAGAGGTGTTCCCTACAGATAATCAAAGTAATGAGACTGTATTTGAGAACCACTCTAAGGTTAACACTGAAACTGTGTAGTATTTTCTATACTCTCACAGTTTACCCTCAAAGGTCTGATCTGGGATATATTGATATACTGCACACCCACAACAAAATATGTTGAGACTTATTTTAAATATATTCAGGGTAATCACAACATTGTCTAGCATCACAGAAAGCAGAAGTATATTCTCTTTAGTTTAATTTAATCTACATGCACAAAGTGCTTATATTTTAGCAAACGGAGAACACTCAAGTTAATACAAAAGTCCCAGTATTGATACCTTATAACACAGATCTTTACATTAAACAGTACTAACTTAAAGATTAAATGACTAATCAGAATTAACTTCTAATATTAGCTGTGTTGGAAAATTTATATGTCTCAATAATGAAAGTTTTACGTATTACACATTAATATGACTGAAAGGACAAATATTGGACTCTCTCTATGTGTGTGGCTGTGTGCTTAGGTTGATGGGTCCATTCATTGTAATGTTGGGGAACATCATTGGAGACGTGATGTGTTTCCTGTTCCTGTACGCTGAGTTCTTTATCCCTTACGCTTGCAGCTTCTGGATCATATTTGGAGGTCAGTGTTTGTTTCATTTCTGGGAATAATTTGACTGACTCCTGAAGGTTTACGAGCCCAAATATGTTAGCCAATAAATCTCTGTAATATTATCCCAGTTCCAAAAAGCTTGCAATATAATATGATACAGACAGACTTTGGTGGCTTACAAATCACTTGAGCCCTGTATTTGAATTGAAAGTGTGCAAAAACACATCAAACATTTAAGCATAACATTTGATTTTTCTGTAAAAAGGAAAGAAGTTAATAATACTAATGCACCAGATCTTATAGCGCTTTTTTATCAGAGACCCTCAAAGTGCTTTACATTGGATACATCATTCATTCGCTCACGCAGTCACACCCTGATGGTGGTAAACTACCTTAGAAGTCACGACTGCCCTGGGGCAGACTGACCGAAGTGTGGCTGCCAGTTTGTGCCTACGGCCTCTCTGACCACCACCACACAACACTCACAATCATACACCAGTGGAGGACCACACTGGGAGCAAGGTGGGTTAAGTGTCTTGTTCAAGGACACAACAGACAGACTAGGGATAGGGGGGGATTCAAACTGCCAACCTTCCGGTTGTTGGACAACCACTCTACCTCCTGAGCTACTGCCGCTCAAGTTGAGCAATGCTTAAAAGAAAAGGCTAGAGGAACGTTGCCCATGTAGTCTGGCTAGTTTGCAACAGGTGAGGAAAAATACACAGGAAATAAAACTACATCACAAAACCAGTAAAAACTAATCTAACCAGAGCCTATCATTACAGATGGATTCTATGTGTAGCAGTGTTTGTCATCAGTGTATGAATATAGTGTGAACGTGTAATTGTGATGTGATAAAACCATTTTAATTGTTCAAAAGGCTACACTCTAAGAGGTGTGACTGGGCTGAATTAATATTTGCAAAACAAAAACTAGTATCGTGTACATGGAAAAAAATGACTCTGTGCAGTTTGGTATATTATAATGTTGATCTATTCAAATTTGAATCATTTATCAATTGCATTTTCTTTATTGTTGTTTGAATAATATCATCTGATAATCACTGAGTAGAATTCAATTTTAAAGTCAACAATGTCAAAAGATTAAAAAATGCTACTTAATGGTAACTATTTGGTTTTAATCACTATACACCCCTGCCCAAAACAAGTTGTGCCAAATTGTTTAAATTTGCTTATTAATAGTTTGTTAATAGTTAATCAAAGATGAAGTGAAATCTATTCAGTTCTGTAATGTGTCACTTTTTGCATTAATTTCTTTTTTTTCTTTCTCTTCTTTTTTTTTCTTTTTTTTTTTTTTTTTTTAGAAAATATTCAGACTTTTCTGAGTGTAGAAAAAGTCCAACAGAGCCCACCTAAGATTGATTGTAGGGTAATGAAAAACTATCCTGTGATCTGATCAATCAAAATTTGGCACTGGAAATCATGGATGCAGTGTAACCACTCTAAAGAGGAGAGGGACCACATGGCTTAGTATCAGCACACGTTCTAGAGCCAGCATCTGTCAGGGTTAGAGTTATGAGGATGCATTAGTGCCCATGGCATTGGATGCTTAAACAACTTAAAAGCCCACATTACAATGGTTTTAGAATAATTGCATTGGCTCTCCATGTGTTTTAGGATCAATTTTAGGGTTCTTTTACTTGTTGTTAAATGTCTTAATGGTCTTGGGCCATCTTATATTTCAGAACTGCTTTTACCTTATGAACCTTCACGGACCCTGTGCTCCTCTGGCAGCAGGCTCCTAGTCATTCCAAAAGTCAGGACACACACTCTTTTTAGGACCCCAGCATTTCCTTTGAGGGAGCCCTCGGCACTGGGACCGGTGGTCGCTTGTGGTTGCAGGGGCTGGCCAAGGGGTTCCTGGTGGAGGTTGGTGTCTGCCACATCCCTCCGCTGGCCCTGTGTCGGTGTCCTGTGGCTGTGGGCGGCTCCCTGCTCCTAGTGTGGATAGCTCCTCTGATGGCGCTTTCTCAACTGGTTCATCTGTACTCAGCCTCATGTCCATTATCTTAGTTTGTGTATGTGTGGGTTTGTTGGTGCTTGTGTGCGTGCGTGCGTGCCTGTGTGCCTGCGTGCGTGTGTGTGTGTGTGTGTGTGTGTGTGTGTGTATGTGTGTATGTGTGTATGTGTGTGTGTGTGGGTGGGTGGGGGGGGATCTTGGATAGTTTTTCTTTTGTTTTTGTTTTTAACTGTAAAGCACTTTGAGTTACATTTCTTGTGGAAAAGCGCTTTATTAATAAAGTTTGATTGACTAATTGATTGATATGCCACCATCAGGACATAGCTTTTTTGTGCAGGAAAGTTCTTGCATATTTCAGCATGACAATTTCATACTACATTTTCTACTTATTACAAGAGCATGGCTCTGTCGAAGATCAGTCTGGGTACTTAAGTGGCCTCCCTGCAGTCCTGGTCACCCATTAAAATCATCATGAAAATGACTACAGCACAGGAAATATGACACTGTTGACTGACTGAAACTCTGTATTAAACAGGAATGGGACAACAATACACTCTCAAAACTCCAGAAGTCAGTCCTCTCAGACATCAAATTGAGTATTAAACGATAGAAATTTTCACCCTTAATACATAATATGTTGTATTTACACTGTTTAACAAAATGTAGGGTTTAAATGATTAAGAGGTCATTAAATTTTGTTTTTGTTAAGATTTTTAACAGCGCCCCAACATTTTTGGAATTGGAGAATTTTGTAGTGTTTGTGATTGTAGTAAAAATAATAATGTCTATTCAAGGACAGAACAAATGACGATTTGCAATGGACCAGGAACATAATTTCGTGCATACAGTAGAATATAGTGCTGCAGGAAAAAAAATAGATGTTTTTCTCCACTTATCTCTTGAGTTTTCTGTTTGTAAAAGCAGTGGCTTGACCAATTGTCCAAACTTGTAGATAAATAGTGGTATATTCAAATTATTAACCTATTTAAGCCGATATATTACAAGTTGGGACCTGAGCCCCTTTTCCTCCTCCAGGCAACCCATTGGTTCCCAGCATGCAGTCTGTCTCCAGCTTGTTGTTCAGCCTATACCGCATCACATTGGTGGATGAGTACGAGTACACTGCCATGACTAAAGTGGATGAGATTATGGCTCCTCTCCTGTGTGGAACATTTTTGGCTGCTTCCTCCATCCTCTGTGTGAACATGCTGATTGCCCTGCTGACGGACACCTTTCAGAGGTCAGAGGTCACACTCACTCCTTCTGTCTTTGAGTAACACATGACTCACAGGTGAAGAGGTTGGATGAACAAAGGTTCAGATTTCAAGTAAACTGTGACATTATTGCTCAATGCAAACCCTGGACCTGTCCACTAACTGGAGGGCTGAATTTGTCCATTTTGTTTTTACTGTGTGCTTTTCCTGTTGTGACCTGTCGGAATAAGAACACTGTTAGGTCATACTGTATTTCACTTCATGTGGGAGTCAGAGCTGTGGACACACAGGTGAAGAAAAGTCCTCAGGTGCTCTTCAGTGTGTCTGCAGCTTGATCAACACACTTTGCTGTAAAAGAAATTCTGTTTATACCTGTGTTCAATAATCACCACAATGATGGGATCAAATACCAAAGGGGGGAGAAACCAATATTGCATGATTTAATATAAATAGACTTTGTCAGTTAGCTACACAACAGTTATACCAAAACAGAGGTTTACCAAAACAGAAGTGTTTTGATGGTGAGAAATGTTGGGCTCAAAGCTAGACTTTAAAGAGTAGATGAGGTTTTACCTTCAGTCACACATGCTGCAGATCTGACCCAGTCTGGAGAAGGTTATGTAAGGTTTTATTTGACATCTGAGACATCTGTTTTTTTTAACCAGTGCTTTTGAGCTGAGTTCTTGTAGGGCAAACAGGAATAAGACAGGAATAACTCAGCCGACATCAACCATGTCTGGTAAAAAAAAAAAAAAAAAAAAAAAAAGCCAAAATGGGCTAGGGTTAGGGTGAGGAAAAAGGGAACCCCTCTTCAATTCTGTCAATTTCTGTGTTCGGGCACTCACGCAGACACAATTTAGCTCACAAATAAGGTCAGTTGTTAGTGCAAATTAAGCAAGTGAACACAAAATATTCAGGCATTCATTCATATGTGCAGATCTAGAGGGTATAAAATTGCATTTGCACAGCTTTACTGTAGTACAAACTACATATCACACCCAAGGAGCTAAAATGGATTCAGTTAGTTTGAGGGATCCACAGTGTGAATTTATCGATGTATAAATGATCAGGAAGCAGTAAGAGTGCAATGAGTGGGGAAATCATTGACTGTATAAAGATATGGACACTGTGCCTCCATGCTCTCCTGCTTGTGAAGGAGACGTCATGATACAGACTCGACTAGTACTCACAAATTGTAGTCAAGGCATGCACAATAGTGATCTGGCTGGTGGAGTCACAGGACTGATATCACAACCACACATGTTATGCTGGGGAACCCTCTGGTCTGTACAGCCATCAGCAAAAAAGAGTCTTGTGATGGTTTGAGGCAGACATTTATGGTTATGACAAGTTGAATGACTTCAATGTCAGTGTTTCGAGGATTTACAGTATGTTGTCTCACTATTTCTCCTCCATTTTACCAACCCAGTCCAAAAACAACAGAGCTGTCAATCAGGCACCTGATTCTGTGTGTGTTAGTCTGTAAGTATGTGTTTGTACATATTTGTACACAGGGTACATGATAACTCAAAGGCCAACGCTGTGATGCAGCAAGCCACCATCATCCTGCAGGTGGAGGAGTCCATACCCTTCCTCCGCCGTTTCTATGACAACCAGTACATCTCCAACCACTGTGCACCACTGGCTGAAGTCTACGATGATGAAACTACAACAAACCCCCATTACCATGATGAAATGGGCAGCATCAATACTCAGATTAAAGTGAGTGAAGAATAATAACTAAAATTTGCTTTAAAACAAGATGAGTAACCAAGAAGTGGGTCTTTGTATGATCTGTGTGCTGCAGATGACCCTGGATCAGTTCCTGGTGCTGCAGAAAGACATGGACCTGCAAGGAAGCCAAGGGTGAGAAGAAATAAGACAAGTAAACAAAGTGATTGAGTGACAGACACCTTAAGAACTAAAAAACATCAGCCAGTTTAAACACAGTCTTTACACAGCTCAAAGATCTGGATCAGAGCAGCAAATGTGAATTCTTCTGCCATCAAAAATCATCTCAAAATTATTAACAGTTTATTACATTAATATTTACATCAAAAATGTACCCCACTAAAGCAGAATTGTTCTTTTGATCAGAGCCAAGAAGAACAAGAACCTCTATTTCAAGGATCGTTTGGACCAGAACCAGCACATGCAGGAGAATCTGGACCAGAACCTGCATAACCAGGAGCTTCAGGACCAGAACCTGCATAACCAGGAACTTCAGTCTATCAAAGAAGAACTGAAGCAGCTTCGTACTTTGGTCCAACAGCTGGTTCAGACCAGGTCTGGATCAGGTCAACAGATATGAGACTATATGCAACCTGAAATATCTGTACAGACCAGAGTCCCAGACCTGACTGGATAAAAAGAACTTAGCAGTTCTGTGGATTTTGAATAATGAAAAGATTCAAAATAAAAGTGATTTCTGGAATGTAAGTGACCTCAAAGGTTTGAAAGTGAGATAAAAAAACTGACCAAGTTTGATATGACCAAGTTTAATGTATTTAATGAAAATGTGGTGAAATAAAAACATCATGTCATTATTTAACGGTAACATATCTCATTAAGATAAAAGATGATAAGGTAATAATTATTAGAGGTAATTTTAAGTTGAAGCTGCTATGAAGAGTATAAAGATAGTAGTGAATCCAATATATATAGGAAGAAACAAGTCTTCGTTAAAGTATCAGTTAAATCCAAACAGTTATCTCAGATGGCTGTCATCCCTGCCAGAGGTCAATGTCAGGGGATGCAACTTACAGCATGTTGCTGAAATAACCTTTTGAAATTTCCCCAAATTTCATTTTTTTCGCAGCAGGTTGAACATTTAAAATATGAGGGATTTATTTTTTGCCAGGGAACTTAACTCTTACATGCATGCAATATGTTCCCTGTTTTTTCTTTAAGGCTTGCTACCTAGATATTTTAGAGCAGCAAAAACTAACCAGGCACTAAACAGAGGAAAACCCATCATAGTTTGGGATTAAATAAAAATGGGGCCAGTGCTACCTCTCTGGGCACACACTTGAGGATTGATAAAACTGACACACTACAAACATTCCTCACAAGAGCTACAATAACTGAGGTTGGTGAAATGGCAGAAATTACACATACAAAAGCATAATTTACTTTTTAATTCCCTCTACCATCACGTTGAGTCATAGTTTTTGATAGCACATTTCTTCCAACAGAAAAGTAGGACTCTAACAACACAATGCACATGGAGTCACGCTGGCTTTGTGAGGCAGAAGTAAGAGATTAGATACAGAGATAGGACAGTGTTATTTTTCTTTTCAATAGGATGATGTTTATTGAAAAATGGTAGTTTAATTGGTAGATATACTTCTAAAGTACTTTTCTAGACTTTGTGACCACTTAAAGCATTTTACAATCTTTGTCACATTTAATCATTCAGCCACTGACAGCAGAAGATACAGTAAAGAACCATCAGTATTAAGTATATCTTATTTTGAACCTATTCACACAGTACTGTTTCATGAATTGAAAAAAATCAATCTCTGCCAATGTACCAAAGCCAGAGAGAGGGAAATAACTGATATTTACGAGTTAATTAATATCAGGATTAAGGATCATCTTTTTATGTAAATTAAAAACTCTGCCCTGTTTTTCGGAAATGAAATCATTATCTTAGATTGGTAATTAATTTAAGGAAAATGTTATATACAAAAGCTTTACTTTTATTTTCAATATTTTTATTTATTCAGAAAAAAAGGCTTTTTTAAATCTGCAATAAAATTAATCTCGTGATTCTGACAAAGTGATCCTTTCAATTCAAGAAAACAGGGCCGGTTTTTCTCTGGAGTGAATGCAATACGCTTTCACTTCAGCGTCATTCTGTTTTTGTGTAGTTTGATTTCACAGACTTTTTGTCCTGCTGATCATTCACCAACAGCGTTGTTTACGTCAGAAAAAGACCAAGTCCCGCCCTCTCAGCTGTTGACGATTTCCGGCTCCGGGTTCTTCTTTCTCTGGAGCAACAGAGCAGAGGGAGGAAAGATGGCGGCGGCCCAGTCCGACAGAGATCTTCCGTCCACTTTATGTTCTGAATTCCTGAATTTCTCTGCCAAAGACACCGCGTCGGTAAGTGGCTCCCCACACTCTTGACCACTCTGACCTTCAACTGAATTGTCACTGCGTCAAATTTAGCTGTTACGCCTGCTGAACGATACATTAAGTGTTTAATCCGCTGCGTCTCGGCTTGTTTTTCAGCTCAGATCGGCTGCACTATGCTAATGCTAATGCTAGCTCGGAGTGATCTGTAAAACATCTGGATGTGGGATTAAGCTGTCAGAAACAGCTGTTTGTTACCCCGAGACTGCCGCTCAGACACTGAACGTCGATGTTATCTAAATAGATCGATGTTTTGTAGTGATAAAAACTGATTGTGGACGTTTGTTTTAAATGGTATTAGTTACTAAATTGCCTCAGAGTTTACTAACCGCCGCACTGGCGTTCAGGTAACGACCCCTCATCCTGGGACACCGGCTCAGAAACACAAGCGGCTCCAGTTTGACAAGCGTTATCAAACATGCCGACCTAACTACAGTTATTAGAGATTAGAAACATTGACTAAAAAGGGAAATTAGCTCAGGGCATTTTATTATTTAGCCAATAAGTATTAAATAGAACATTATATTTTCTGGTATATTGGAGGCAATTTTCTTTTAAATAAATGATACAACCTTTAATATACTTTTGCAAGTATCAGGTGTTGACTGCTGTGAACTCTGTCAGGTTATTCAATGACAGCACAGAGTTTGGCACAGATACTGTAGCAAACAGACAGGTTGTCAGACCATGATCATACCATTTTCCAAGCATGAAGAAGGCTGTACGAGAAAAACTGTATGCAATTTGACCTGGTTACTTGGACAGTTGTAAAATTGATGGTGTTTTTAATTTAAGACTTAGGCTGCTTAATATTTAGAAAACCTGATATTGTGATATCTATTAATTTAGCAGTATATATTACAATATAAAAAGGAGTGTTTATACCAAATAAATGCAGCTGTGTGGGTTTCTGTCTACATCAGACCTACAGGATTCAGAAAATATTTGATGTACTTTTCAGAATTACAATATGTAAAACGGTTGAAGTTTAGCTAACATAGAATGAAGTATATTGGCCATGACAGAGATTCTATGTCTATCTTTTTGCAACATGTCACTCCAGACAGACAACCACTCAGTAGTGACCCATCAGTCTGAGGGTGGCTAATAGCTAGACTGAGCCTCATCTTACTGCACCTAAACAGTGTAAAAGCTGCCATGACACCCAAGTCTCTATCCAGCAGTATTTGAAGTGAGAAAACATTTAAAATTCAAATATATACTTTATGTATCACTCAAAACTTGGTCTGAGATAAATAGTTTCATAGATGTGATTAGTTTTCTCTGTTAGCCAAGGCTTTCTGCTTTCTGAAATCACATTAAAAAAGGGTACTTGATGTTTTGTATAATGCTTTTTGATTTAGACTTTGCGTGCAGCCAACTTGAGTCAGGCTGTTTTAACAAACAGCAATTTCAAATATATTTGTTACCAACACAGAAGATGATGAAAGAAATAACACAAGATGTGAAGAATGAAAAAAAAAAGGTGATTGATGTGTTATTTTCCTATACACATGCTTTTATTGCACATGTTTTATAACTGCAAATTGCAGATCTCTTCAACTGTGATTGGTATGGTTCAACAGTGAAGTTAAGAAGTGTCTTTGGGGGTGACGTTGTCAACTCAGATGTTATCGTCACCAGCATTCAGATAAAGTATTGTAGCAGCTGCCACTTGCCTGAGTGTATAGGTGAGTTTTCTTTGTAGTGAAATACTGGATATGTATAGGTTTATTTAAATGACTAATCACTGACCCTCTTCAACACTTCCATTGTCTTTAAATCTTAAAGATCAACATTATTAGCAGAGTTTTCTTCTTATTGGTCCTGTCTTGAATTCAGTAAGGTGAGACAGTTTACCATCATAAAGACAGGCTCATTCACGGTTTATCCTACTTCAAAGTGATGTCAAGGGTTAGCATTATGACTCTCCTGGGCACACAGTTGCTGACCATCCTCAGATCAGATTTATAGTTTCTGCGCCAGGATGAATTATCAGGGTTTGACATTGTGGTAGTGATAGCTATATAAATAGCATTTTTTTTAACCTTGTTAAGCTGCAGACCCGCAGGTTTTCTACCAAGTTTACTTGATGTAAGCTTTATTCAAGCGCAGTCTAACAAGGGTGGTATCTCAGTGTTAGCTGAAAGTCTGATGGATGTTAGCTGGGTGATAGTAGTGTAGTCTGGCTGTATTCAGGTCAGTGTGTCACTGAGACTTAGCGGGTTACGCTAACATACTTTGTCAGAGCTGATTAACCTGCCACTGATCACACACATACACAAATGCATGCACGCACGCACACACACACACACGGAGCAGACTTGAGAGAAATGGAATATGCTACAGTACTCTTGAGTTAGTTTGAATAAGTGTACACTCACCTGAATGTAAATATCTTTTTGCTTTGGTGACCTCAGAGGAAGCCTTTCCTATCTACGTAACAGCGGGTCAACCTTTCACAGAGCTGCCATCTGGCACAGTCATGTTAATGTAGCATTAAGTGGACTACTATTACATACGTGTTTATGTCTCAGGAAAGGGCTGCGCAGTTAATTTATTTTTTAATCATAATCGGATTATTTAATTATGACGATGTAACAAAAATTTAAATTGTCAAATCAATTTCCTTTCTATCATGTCTCGTGCCTCCAGGCCACCGTTGGCTCCCCCCTTCTTGCGGAAGTGCTCCCCAGTTCCCACACACACCATTGTAAATAAACATGGCGTTTGCAATAGAAGCCCATAATTTTTCTGGCTAAATAGGTCAAGAGAAAGTCAGTCATCATCAATTGGTACGGCTTCACAATTGTAGATGAAGAGCAAACCACTCCACTGTCTGAAGTCCGTCTGAAGGCAGTATCAGCATGTCCACACGGAAACGAGTTCAGGAGTAAACACAAAAGTTTTTTGTGGTATTGGCGTTGCATCCACACGGAAACGTTTTTTTGGGTGACTGTAAATGGTACTTTTTGAAAATGGGTCAGGGAGTGCATTGATCCCTAAATGACTTTTATGGTGCCTGCATGTATCTGGCCAAAACAACCTATTTACACATGCTCTGTACTCTTCTTTTGTCTTTTGTGCATTTCTTGGGCAGCCTTACAGCACCACTTACTGGCTTGTCTTATGCACTATATAGTTTTCAGTGGTTACGTTTTGAGAGATGATAGAAAAACTTATTTAAGTGAAGTTTGGTAAAGTTGTCACTGAATAAAAAATCTAAATTGAAAATCGTGTTTTCAGATGAAGAAATTGAGATTCCATTTTTGGCAAAAATTATGAAGCCCTAGCCTCAGTTGAATGGTGAAGTGCACCAGTTGTGAAGGAAGGAAGAAGACGTTGAGAGTGTTTTTTTTTTTGTTGTTGTTGTTTATAGTTGAGTGCAGTTTTAGATGGTAAAAACTTGAGGAAAAAGTAGATCATGCTTTTTTGGATTATGCTATTATGAATCATAGGAGTGTCTTGTCCTGTTGCCATAGTGATAGTAGAGGTGAACGAGAGGGCCTCTACTATGAGCCTCTACTATATGTGAAAAACAACATGATTTTATAGCTTCGGTTTTTGCAGGTTTACTCATGTTTAACAAAGTAAACTATGTTCCTTTATGCTGTGCTTTTACCTTCAGACAGAGTTAGCTGTTAAAAGTCCTGTTGGGGTCCACATGGATCAGGGAATGACCATCGGATTGTTCTGTGTTACTGATAAATCCATAACCAGGAAGTATTTCTCATCTACACAAACTGAAAGAGTCGGGAGTCCGTATATAGTGTTTTATTTCGAAATACCGGATGACATGCGTGGTTTTCGTGCTTGAAATCCTGTTTAGAAAGATCTTCTCTGTGTAGATTGGTACGTATTGGAAGCATAGAGCAGCAAAAATACACTCGTCGCATTTATTTAGCAGTGCTGCTCTTGATATGGATCTGCAATGGAGCTGATACGCGTCCTGTATGCATTGCTGCATTGATTAGAAAGACAACCTATTTGCTGCGTGATACCCGAAGCTGCTGCAATGCTCCAAATACGCATCCTGTATGTTTTAGCCTTATGTGAAGGAACAGAATATTAACAGTTCACCTTCTTCTGTTGTTCTGTGTGTCTATTGATTCACACATTAAGAATCATGAAGAGTAACACCAGTGGACCCCAGTCTGAACAAATAACAATGAAGCTGTACACATCACTTTCAGATTTTTGGATTATCATGAAACTCCAGCCCCTTTTATGTATGAGCTCTTGTAATAATGTCAAGATTCTCAGGTCCTGAAATTTTCTGGAACTGCCTTTCTCTAAAGAAATAAATTGGCTGGTGGGATCTTGTCAATGCCAGAATCAAGCTCTAACATTACAGCTCAAATTAATCAGTTTGGTTTTGTGGAGGAGAGGTTTCAGGGTATAACATACAGAAGGAGGAGATGCCTTCCATTATCGTGACTATTTCTGTGTTAAAATCCCTATAGAATGTAAAGAGGTTTATGTTGATCAAAAGCAAAAGTATAAATCATATGACTGACAATCAAAGGCAAACAGGACTGAAAAGCAGAGAGACTCCCGAGACTCAGGATAAGGCTAGCTTGAGTCTGCCTTAAGTCAAGCTTCAAGAGTTTCAGCCATTCTCATACACACATAACTCTTCAAACCATGTGGGAATTTTCATGGCTTGATGGGGCATGTTTGTGGGGGGCTTCTGATTACTCCTGTAAGCTGCAGGAAATGTTACACTGTACATTGTGATATTTAATGTGTACTTCTCTTTCTGCTCTCCTTTGGTACCTTTTCCTCAGCGGTGGCTTGTGGCCCCTGATCTGCAGCAGGAGTTGTATCGCCACCTTGCCTTGTATGTACCCAGAATCTTTTGCCTTGGCCCGAGCCGGGGGAGCAGCAGAGAGGAGCAGAGAGAGGAACAAAGGGAGGAGTTGGCTTGTCAGCTACTGCTACTGGCTCCCCTGGAGTGGCTCCTTTTAGAAGAGGATCCAGCTGCTGGCCTCGCTCTCCTGCAGGAGAAGAACCTGCCATCACCACTGTGTGGACATGTGTTCAAAGTGGGAGAGCCAACCTACTCCTGCAGGTAAACCACACACTCCCCACAAATGCAGACTCTCTTGTTCACTCGCTCGCTCACTCACTCACTCACTCACTCACTCACTCACTCACTCACTCACTCACTCACTCACTCACTCACTCACTCACTCTCACACACACACACACACACACACACACACACACACAAAGATATGTCAGCTGATAATCGCTCTGTACATGTATGTACGTTTATTTGTTTGTAGGGAGTGTGCAGCAGACCCCACATGTGTCCTGTGCATGCAGTGTTTCCTGGGCAGTGTTCACAAAGAGCATCGATACAGGGTAAGTACACAATCTCACACACACTCTGAGCAACACAGTAAAAATTTTTATGGTTTTCTGGTTTAATGCTGAAAGCAAAGTAGTGTTTACTTGATATAATGTCATGACCTGAACTTAAAAAAAAACATTAGAGAGTATTGTGGTATCATGTAAGATTCTGTACTGTCCTCTGATGAACAGTGAAAATGAAGAGTTGTTAAAAAGGCTTTGTTAAACCTTGTGGATGGCCTGTGATATCACTTTTTTCCAGCAGTTTGGTCCAATGGCACAGTTTTAGCTAGGGATGCCCCAATACAACTTTTTTACCTCCAATACAATACCGATATTGTAGCCTTTAGTATTGTCCGATACTGATATTGATCTAATATTTGCACAAAATTGTGCATGACAAGTTTTGTACTCAGCTGCAACGTCTTTTTCAGACATATATGAAAAATACTGCCACAGAATCGACATCACTCCTGCTCCTAGGTACTTTGTTGGTACCTTAGTACACACTGTTGTTGTGATCACGTGGGCTCTACATGCTGAATATGGGTGTTGATAGAGATACCGGAGCAGAGTCTGGGATGGACTGCTTGTATCCGAGTGTTGATATCAGTGATTTTAAATGCAGGCCGATATAATCCAATATTTAATTTTTAGCTGATATTGGACTGATATTCGACATCAATATTGTATCAGAACACCCCTAGTTTTCGCTGTGATAGTAAAAACAAGAACATAAACCCAGGCAGACACATGTTCACACTGCTGTATGGGGACACCAGGGCAGAGATGACATTTGCTGATGGTGATAAGCTCAGATTCTAACTCATAACATGTTGAATTCTGTATCATATCTTGTCCTTTACACAACTACATAAGAAAAGGGACCAGATGTTTTGTTATCACAACCAATGTTTCAACTCACGCAATATATCACCATGCTTGCGCTATAAGACTTGCCATTGTCAATGTACAAGAAGCAGATAGCATCAGATTGATTTATTCAATGCAGCATATTCCACAGGAAGCTTTTCAGCTCCATCTCTGCTCTGTGCCAGAAGCGTCTCGACACACTGCTCTGCCAGAGATAAGCACTGAGTCTATTTTCACTGCTCTATGCTTACACGCATCAATTTGCACAGAGTAGATAGCATCAGACAGGAAGTCATGCACAAGCAGGGTAAAGTGAATCGGATAAATTTCAAAATAAAATGCCATATGTAGACTTCTGACTGTTTGTCAGTTCGTGTAGATGAGAAATACTACCTGGTTATGGATTTGTCATACACATAAAACAACCCTATGGGCTATCCCTGATCCATGTGCACCACAACAAGACTTTGAACTGCTAACTCTGTCTGAAGGTAAGAGCACAGCATAAAGGAAAATATAACATAGTTTACTTTATTAAACATGAGTAAACCTGCAAAAATCCAAACTGTAAAATCATGTTGCTTTTTCACATACAGTAGAGGCTTAACAGTCACTGAATAAAATCCACATTAGCAGGAAATAGACCACAGGAAGGCAAAGCAACCTGTTGTGAGCATGTTGTTTTTGATACACTGGGTCCAGTTGACCAGGCCTGCACTACACTGCTGCAACGCTCTAAACACTCATCCAGTGGGCGATGACGCACTCTGCTCGACTGAGCTGACAGAATGCGCCCAACACGGATCCTGTAGGTTTTCGGCTTTAGGCTGCAGCTCTTAGGTCAAAGGTCAAGCTGTCAGCTGCACAAAGACCTGCCATGACTGAAACTCTTCACCTAAGAGCCCGTCTGCTGCATGTGACACAAGGGACACACAGTGGAGCTCTCTATGCTATATTTTAGGAGTCAAATCAGCCAATGCCAGCTTGAAGGAATCAGGATGTTCATGTGTGAACCCCTTAGTTAACCAGAAAATTTGGTTAGGGAACAATATTACCCAGAAGACAGCACAGGGAAGCAAACAGTGTCACTTTATCATGAATTTGTCCCTCATTAGCTCATAAACAACATGTGGTGGTAAAACATTTGGTTAGTAACTTTGTGGAGTGTTGCTTAATTGTTACATAGTGATGGCACATTTCTGTGGAAGTCTTCACACAGGAAAACCATTCAAAACCCTGAGAACCCTCTCAAAACAGAACATGTTTTATGTACTAGCGCAACTCATATGTTGGATTTTACAACACTGTGTGCGTGCGTGCGTGCGTGCGTGCGTGTTCAAGCCAAAGACTTAAGTAAGTGACTGTTTCTGCCACTCAGTGTAACTGTGCGTGTGTGTGCATGTGTTGCAGATGACAACATCAGGAGGTGGAGGTTTCTGTGATTGTGGAGACACTGAGGCCTGGAAGAAAGGTCCTTACTGCCATAAACACACACCCACAGACATCAGCAGGCAGTCACAGGAGGTGAGAATCGTACCTTTGTACCTATCTCTTACTTACCTGTGTCTTTCTCTGCCTGTCTCTGTACCTGCCTCTGTACCTGCCTCGTCCTCCACATTTTGTTAGTGGACTCACTGTGCACTGTTTGTCCTTTCAGGATCCTGTAGCCCTGCTGCCTGCTGACATGGTTGCTCGGGGTTACAGCATTTTTTCTATCATCTTGAAATATGCTGTGGACATGCTGACATGGGAACAAGAGGACCAGCTACCTGAGGGACTTGCACCTCCGTAAGTCACTAAGACCCAACAGAGACACACTCCACACTTAGTGTTTGCAGTTATTCTTGCAAAAACATCTCTCTTAAGTGGCTCATGATTTCCTATAGAGCTTACAGATATGTCGACTTCCCTTCATCTTCAGATCACATCACTTGGTTTCTGAGGGTGGGGACTGTAAATCACTACAGCAACCTTGGCCTTATATATTTTTTCTTTTTTTGCTGTGAGCTAACTAATGTTGCATGCCCAGCTATATAAACCACAACACCCTGGTGGCTCGGCTAAGCTACCTTATAGGTATCCGTGGTACTGCACTAGAGTGGTTCAAGTCTTATTTGACCGACAGAACAATGAGCGTGAGCCTTGGAGATACAAAGTCCAGCTCTGCTCCACTGCCGTATGGGGTTCCACAAGGGTCGATTTTAGGGCCCCTGCTCTTTTCTTTGTATTTGTTGCCCCTGGGATCCATCTTAAGAAAGCATGGCATTTCATTTCATTGTTATGCTGATGACAGTCAGATATATGTGCCACTTAGCAAGAAAAATGCTTTCTCTCTCACTCCACTTCTGGCATGTCTTGAAGACATCAAAGCCTGGATGGCTTTGAATTTCTCAAATTTCAATGAAAAAAAACAGAAGTGATGGTCTTTGGTCCCAGTGGCCCTTGTGAAACCCCTCCTGTAGACTTGGGTATTTGTTAGGTCTAAAACCTGCAACATTTACCTGATAACATAAAGAAGAGAAAGACAATGGTACATACTCGAGGAGAATGGACCGAGATAGCTTCAGGTACCATCTCGAAACCACTCTGAAAGGTATTTCCGCCCAGTCTCTTTTATTTAGGGTTGTCCTTGGTCACACAATGTTTCTAAAAGGGTGGGGGTAAATGTGCTGCAAAGTAAGCATTTAATAATGAACAATTTGTGAATATGTGAAGGTCAAGGCGGCATCTAAAGAGCTCCTTCTGATAAGCGTGTCCTCCCCTTATTTCCTTCCCACGATTCATAGTGGAGGATACATCACACACACCTGCTGATAGGAGAAACGAGTTCACAGAGAAGTTAAGAAACATTCATGTGCTGTGTAATTAAGCTATTGGAGAGAGAAGTTAGAAAATACTCTTATATGATGTATAAAAAGAGGTCAAAGGGATTATACTTGTAGTATAAACTCTTACATAAGAATATGAGGAATAATGATAACTTCTATATACATTTATGCACATTATTCTAACAGTATTTTAGCAGATTATTTAAAGCCAACCGTCTCAAATTTGGGTTTTAAGATGGACAGTGATTTTAAATTTGATAGGCAAATTAGCTCGGTAGTGAAATCCAGTTTTTATCATATTAGGCAGCTTGCGAAGGCAAAGCCTTTTCTTTCACGTACGCACTTTGAAACAGTAATCCATGCCTTTGTTACATCTCGGCTGGATTACTGTAACGCACTTTATTTTGGAGTCAGCCAGTCCTCCCTCTCACGTCTCCAGTTAGTTCAAAACGCAGCCGCCCGGCTCTTAACTGGAGTACGTAAGAGGGAGCACATTACTCCCATCCTGGCCTCCCTCCACTGGTTACCTGTGCATTTTAGAGTTCATTTTAAGATTCTTTTATTTGTTTTTAAATCTTTAAATGGTCTGGCTCCATCTTACCTCTCTGAGCTTCTCCACCCCTACACCCCTGCTCGGTGCCTCAGGTGAGCTGATCAGCTGCTCCTGGAGGTACCGAGGTCCAAACGGAAGCTCAGAGGGGATAGATCTTTTTCTGTTGCAGCCCCAAATTTATGGAACGAGCTACCCCTCCAAATTAGACAAGCCCCCACACTGTCCATTTTTAAAACTCGTCTTAAAACCCATTTTTATTCATTGGCTTTTAACCCTGCATGAGACTCGGCTCCTGTTTTAGTGTTTTATGGTTTGTTTTTAGTTATTTGTTTCTATGTTTTTAAATTAGTTTTTAAAAACATTGAAGCTATATTTTACTTTTAATTCTGCTTTTATTTTATCCAGTGTTTTAATTGTTTCTTGATTGTTTTTTATCTTGTTGTTTTGTCTAGTTATGTACAGCACTTTGTTCAGCTGTGGTTGTTTTAAAGTGCTCTACAAATAAAGTTGAGTTGAGTTGAGTTGAGAATAATATAATTGTAAGAGGTAAAATGTCAAGTAAGTGTCACAAGATCAAAAATGCTGAAGGGGAAAAACACAGCAAGATCTCCGGTATAACAAGTTGAGGACTTCAAAACCAAAGTGAATGTTTGCATCCTTATCGAGTACGCAGTGTAGTGACTGCTTTCCTTCAACAAAAAGGCCGCTGGGGTTTAGGATTGCTTGCATCTGTGACTCATTCACTTATCAGTCCGGTTTGAGTGTTAAAAGTGGTTTATTGTTCCAAAAAAAGGAAAGAAAACACACTGATCCAGGTCCAAAACTTTTGCCTTCGAATGAAAAAGTGATAAGATGAAATGAGGTTAAAATAGGATGAGTGAAATGGTCAACAGAAAATTATCAGAGTTTACCACAACCCATTGTCTGACTACCCTGGTGAAATTTAAATAACCAGCCAAACATCCCAAAACCACACCCCTCAGTGACGATCCCCAGAAGTGACATACTTATTAGAAATCATACTGTCAGTGTCAACCAATATAATTTGGCTCCTACATACAGTTTTAAAATGTGTGTTGAGTTGATGAGATTTTTCACACACTGTATGCAGTCACCCTCTCAGATAACCTCTACTGCCTGTGTTTTCCGCCTTTTTTATCCTCTTTTTATAATAACATTCATGTACTGCAAAATGGTACTCATCTTGATTGTTTGTGTATGTGAGTTCATGTTTGTGGTTTTCTGTGTGTGTAATTTCAGGGAGAGAGAGGACACATACTATTGCATGCTGTTCAATGATGAAGTCCACACGTATGAGCAGGTGATCTACACCCTGCAAAAAGCTGTCAACTGCAGCCAGAAGGAAGCTGTCAGCTTTGCTACCACAGTGGACCGAGATGTTAGTACTCTCTTTATTTTTTTTTCTTGGTTTATATATCATGTTTAACTCATTAAGTAGAAAAACCTTTTTCATTATCAAATATTAATAAAGAATACTCTTTATACCCCTGTGGTGTCATGTTGCTCTTATATACTCTATATCACTCTCCATTTTTGTATGTGTGTCCAGGGCAGAAAGTCTGTTCGATATGGAGATTTCCAGTTCTGTGAGCAGGCCAAGTCTGTCATAGTGGTGAGTTTCCTTCTCCTCACTATCTCGAATCATCACCCTAAACTTCCTGCGTTATTCTCATATGAAACTGCCTTACTGTGTCATATGATACGAAAACATTTTGGGAATTTTCATGAAGGCAGATCATCGTCTAGTTATTCATCCTTACTCTATGTAGCCCCTCTTCCTCCTGTCTGACACTTTTTCTCTCCCTCACATCTTGTTTCTCACCAACAGAGAAACACCAGCCGTCAGTCAAAGCCTCTCAGGGTTCAGGTGATGCATTCATCTGTTGTTGCTCATCAGTGTTTTGCTCTGAAGGCCCTCAGCTGGTTGGGACAGGTCATCCAGTACTCTGGTATGTCTGGACTTCTCTACCAATAATCCCTCTGTGTGTTTGTACGACTGCCACCACTGCTTAGTGTATACCTGTTGTGTTACAGATGGTCTGAGGAGGCTCCTGTGTCAGGTTGGTCTGCAGAGAGGTCCAGAGGGAGAGAACTCCTCTCTGGTCGACAAGCTGATGCTCAATGACTCCAAGATGTGGAAAGGTAACAAACTTCTCTTCATTTTGGTTTTATTTAGATATATGAAAGCAACAGCACTCGCATAACACCCTTTACAGTCTATCTCACTAATAAACACCAAGTATATTTTTAGCCATCAAAGTATAATGCCAACCATTTTCATATTTGTAATCCTCATTTAGTGACCTTCCATGATCAGCAATTAATATATCCCTTGTTGCTCTCTGTCCCTAACAACTCTGTTAACCTACAGTGCCTGACCCATGCTCTCTAAGTTATCAGTGAGGGAGAAGTAGCCCCTCCTGTAAATGCAGTGATTCAAGAGCAACATCTCATGTTAAATGAGAAACACTCTTATTCTTTCAAAGACAAGTGTAGCAGCAGATGACAGTTTGCACTAATGACTGCTACAGCTCCTATCATAAACCAGTCAGACAAAGGGTTTAATCTCATGCTTATATAATAGACAATATTACATACATTTTTAAGTCAATACAGGTTTATTGCAACATCCCTAGAGTGTACAAATAGATGCTGTGATGTGTGAGGAAGGGAGGCTCAACAAAAAAGGAAAAAAATAACAGGTTGGGCAGATGAAAGTTGCTTGCTGATAAGTGGGTAATAAGTTGGTCAGCCTGGTACAATTAATATTTCAACAAATCTAAAAAAAGAATTGATAAACCACATTACACAATGAAAATGGGGTGATTGTGTATTTATGCATCTGTAAAGGTAACAAACCAAAACACATATTTTGCTGTGCTCCTTTTGAAAACATGACATGCCTCACTGTCATTACCTTTCTCTCTGTAGGAGCAAGGAATATCTACCACCAGTTGCTGATGAACAGCCTCCTCATGGACCTCAAGTACAAGAAGATCTTTGCCATCCAGTTTGCCAAGGTAACACAACCTCTACCTACATAACTACTCTAATACACCTTGTATTCATTAAAATTAACACACAACAAATGATTACACCTGATCAGGAACTGGGTATTACACCAGGGACCTGTTGCACCACCTGTGTGTAAGTTATGTCTTAAGTTAGGGTGTAAAGTCCACACTAAACTAGGGATGGGAATCGAGAACCGGTTCTTATTGAGAACTGGTTCCAAATAGTTCAATCCATTGATATCATTTACATTTTATCTCAACGATTCCCTTAACAATTCCTTTCTTCCGAGTGCCTTGAAAAACGGTCTCGCGAGTGCCAGTCTACGCGAACGAGAACAGAGACAGAGAAAGAAAACATGGCGGATGGTTGAAAAGTAGGCAGAAACGAGCTAAAGTGTGGCTTAATTTTACTAAGAAAGATGACAACAGTGCAACGTTTGCTTAAATATTTCTTAACAGGGCACGGCATCAGATATAAGGAGTCACATGGATTTAATGCTTTCTGCCGGCAACAGGTATTGTGCTGTAGAATGGATCCCCTGCATCCCATCCAGCTTCTTAAAGTAGAAGAAATATGATCTCATATTTAAAAAAAAAAGTATTGGATCATGACAATTTGTCAAATGGAGCAGCAAACTTTCATTCTGTTTTCATGTGTCTCAAAAATGCACATATGTGTACTTGGGTATATAAACTGTAAGCTGTCAAGGTAGATTTTGAGACAGGAAATATCCCGAATCAGAGAGCTGTTGTTTTCGGCTTATCTGAATAACTTGAATGAAATCATTAAAGGCACACGCTTTTGAATGAATACAATGGTAAGGAAAACTTGGATTATTTCACCTTATGTACTTTCAACTGCGCTCCCGTCAGGGGATGCATTCTATGGCAGGGGTGCATTCTACGGCACAACACCGGTCGTCAGCCGCTGCAGCTCCGTCTCAGCACGGCATGAAAGGTACGTACAGTACAGGCCAAAAGTTTGGACACACCTTCTCATTCAATGCATTTTCTTTGTTTTCATTACTATTTAAATTGTAGATTCTCAAAACTATGAATGAACACATGTGGAATCATGTGCTTAAGAAAAAAGTGTGAAATAACTGAAAACATGTTTTATATTTTAGATTTCTCAAAGTAGCCACCCTTTGCTTTTTTGATAGCGCTGCAAACTTTAGCTGTTCTCTCAATGAGCTTCATGAGGTAGTCACCTGAAATGGTTTTTACTTCACAGGAGTGCCTGAAGTAACCCTGACAAGGTACTTCTGTCATCAAGAGCAAAGGGTGGCTATTTTAAAGAAACTAGAATATAAAACATGTTTTCGGTTATTTCACACTTTCTTTATAAGTACAAATTCTACATGCGTTCATTCATAGTTTTAATGCCTTCAGTAATAATCTACAATGTAAACAGTCATATAAAAAAATAAAGAAAAGACATTGAATGAGAAGGTGTGTCCAAACTTTTGGCCTGTACTGTATGTTAGGGTGATGATACATCGTTTTACCCGGACACGTCCTCTTTTTTTCTCCGGGGGGAGTTTATAAAATCCTTCAAATGTCCGGAACATGTGTCCATTGATTATAAAACAGTTCAGAGCATCCGTGCTCTCTGCAGCTCCGCCCCTACGCTCACTTCTAGGCAAAGTCACTGACGTGACGCACACATGCACTGTCTTTGGGAACTCAGAATATGTGTTTCACTGAGTTAGAAGCGCATAAAAACTACCGACCGACTAAAAAAAACCCCAAAATTGCACACACAAGTCCGTCTCCGCGTAGTAGTGTCCTCTTTTTGGAGATTCAGAATATGGTCCCCCTAGTGTATGTCCTGTGTTAACATAAGCACAAAGAAATGTCAGAAATGCTGTACAAATAGCATTTTTGTTTGATTATTTTTAGACTCTCGCTGAAGGTTGCATACATCTTTTTCGGTTATCAGAGGCTCAATAAAATTTTGAGTTAACTGTGAAAACCTATAGTCTACTTTTTTTAAATAAAAAAAAGGCATTGATAAGGGAATCGTTAAAGAATTGAATCAATAAGCAGAATCGATAAGGGCATCGATATAAACAAAATCTTAACAATTCCCTACACTAAACTGTGTAAAGTTTTTGCTACACAAGTTTTACCTTTGTTAAGTTGCATCCTGAGGACATAAGGTTAATCCTAACTAGCCCCAAGAGTGTCCAAACTAACCAGAATATTGCTTCAGGTATGATGTATGCCCTTCCTGTATCCAATCAGAGACAAAGCGCTTTTTCTTCTGGAGTGATTATTAAAAGGCCAACTCTTACGGCAAAAAATATGAGCCATTAGCACCTGCTACTCAACCAACTGCAGCAGAAAGGTCTGTGAAATATGACAAGTAATCTGTCGTGTAAAATTACCACAGTGACATTGCGTGGTTCACCAACTATAACTTACTCATAATTTAAGGCAGTTTTTGATGTAGATCTCTACTAGTGGAAGTTAACAGTACCATTTTTAAATTGATTTACTCTCACAGAAAACATGTTGCCTGTACAAAAAAGTCGATCAAATGATCTACTCTTTGTCCCCTTTTCAGTTATCCCATCTCTAAAAATGATACGCCATGATGGACCTGCTCAGGGCTTGGTGTAAGATTTAACTCGTAACTTGTGCTCACATTGAAACTAACTCAGTTGGTGCAACCCAAAAATGTAAGTAGTGTAAAAACTCCACCCTTAATCAGAAACTACATTGAAACTTTGTGGGTGCAGCCCAGTGCTGATCATAACACACATTCTGTCATCACTACCCCTAATCTTTTCTGCTGTTCACATTTTTCTGCACTCTGCATAAAGTTTCTACATGTTTGTGTTTTTTCAGTCAAGAGTTGATTGTTTGCCACCTAAAATAGCTTAACTCACCAGCTGCTTCCAAAGTTCGATATAGAATAAAATAAAACTTTATTGATCCCCCAAAGGGGAAATGCGTATTGTCACAGCAGCAACAGATACGATAAATAGCTATGACAACAGATAAATAAATATCATCCCACCTGAGCTTTTTTTTTAGCTTTTGACCTCAGATGGTCTGTCTTGGAGTTGAATGAGGAGTGTATGAAAATGTCATTCAGTCACAGTCATCACCAAGCTTTACAGGCTGACCAGAAAACCTCATTAACAGGAAAATACAGCCGTCTTATTCTCCAGATTGATGTTCATACATTCTGGGTTAAATGGTGACGGTTTACTAGTTTGTGTTTCTGATAAACAGTCTGGTTGTTGTTTTGATTAAGTCTCCTGTGACCTGTTTTTTTTTTCTTCTTTTTGGCCTGATACAGATGAGATTAGCCTTCAGTCCCCATGAACAACAAGATGTGACTGTAGCAGGTCTCAGACAAAAAGATTATTTTCTTCAACTAACAAAAACTGCAAGTGACCCAGAAGGATCTGAATTTGTTTTTTTAATATCTTATTGACAAAAGATAAATCTGACAGGGCCCTACTGTTTAACAGAAAGAGAAAAAAGTTTGTCAGGCTTAGTTTCTTTTTCTGTCAAAATTCCAATTTACTACATCAATTAATTTTCCTAAAACTCCGGAAAACTTCTCAGATAAATCACACAAGATTGGGTGCTGACATTGATAAGCCGTGAGGCGCTGCTAGTAGAAAGGTTTGTTTAAAAAAGCTTAAGCAAAAAAAATAGCAGCCCATCAGCAGCGACCTCTGACCCAGAGGTGAAATGTCGTCCCCCTTTTAGAACTACAGACGCCTCCAGACAGATTTTATGGAGGATGACCACGAGCGAGTTGTGTCAGTGACCTCTTTGTCAGTTCAACTCTTCACCGTCCCGACCATGGTGAGTACTCCTCCTCCTCTGCACCTCCACACACCTTTCTCTCTCTGCCTGTCTCTCCCTCTGCTGGTAGAATTATGAACGCTTGCAGTGCGACTACGTCAGAGATGACCACGACCGTGAGTTCTCCATCACTGACCTGTCAGTGCAAATATTCACCGTCCCGTCGCTGGTGAGTGCAGTCTGATTTTCTGTTGAGGTGTGAAATGAGAATGGGAGATGTTCATCACTGCAGCTGGACGGGTTCATCTCTTCAACTCTTACTGATCTCTTGATTCAGTCATAGATACAATGCACTTTTTCCTGTCCTGTCATTAACACATATATTTTTTTAGAATAAAGGAGGGCTATCATTGCAGTCCAGATCAAGAATAATTCAAATTTCTTGATCAAATTCAATGATTAAAATTTTCTTGGGGGGCGGAGGGGCCTCAAAGGGAATTCATACAAGTTTTAATGATAATGACTGAAACTGACATTGGGAAATGTTTCAGGTCAGTAGTAGTATTAGTGAAGTGTCAGTGGGTCTATTGGTCGATTAGGTTAGGTTCTTCGGCCAGGTGAAGAAGCTAAGGTCATATTTGAAAACCCAGGCTGTCAGTCTGTATATTTACAACATGCTGGAAACTTATTTTGTGAGTTCCTTGTTTGGATGTTGGGGAGTTGATGTTTTGCAGGGACTGGAAGGTTTCTTTTGCTGAAACACTACTCAGACTTGCTGTAAAGATTATCCTGCTCCCCCCTCAGTGGTAAAAATATTCAGATGAATATAAACTGGTCTCACGTTTTTTTCAGATGAAGCCTCTAAACAACAAGAAGGCCGTCAATCTGAAAGAAACTTTTAGAGCAAAACCAACTTCTTAACCCTTGAGATTTGCTCCTCAAGCTGCACTGGTCCAGAAAATACCACGTTTAAGTGATAGCAGTTGCTGTTTGACCTGAATATAAGCACTTATAAGAGGAGAGGTTTTTGCTTGTCCTTTCTTAAATCTGTATCCTCTGGTGTGTGCTGCTCAGTGCCTGTCTGCATACCTCTCTTTCTAGCCCTTTTCTGCTCTCAAGGTGACCCAGTCCTTCTAGAGTGTGTGTGTGTGTGTGTGTGTGTGTGTGTGTGTGTGTGTGTGTGTGTGTGTGTGTGTGTGTGTGTGTGTGTGTGTGTGTGTGTGTGTGTGTGTGTGTGTGTGTGTGTGTGTGTGTGTGGGTGTGTGGGTGTGGGCATTTGTGTGTGTATCCTTGGCCTTTAAATGTCTGATATGCATACCTAAAGGAGTTTAAACTTGCTAGTGCCACTTCATTTAGAGACTGTAGAATAAAAAGAAAATAATAAACTTTCAAGGAAATAGATTCTTTTTCTTTTTTGCTACTTTTTTGTCATTTTTTTCACTTATAAAGACATGGGTAGAGCACAGTTGAACATCACCAAAAATGAAAGAACAGACAGCGGAGCACACTTGAGATGTAATTAACTTACATTTCTTTACGGGTCCATCAAAGTTCAAAGTGAGAGATAGTGCTCCCGTCTTCTGCATCATATTGAAGCCATTTGAACCACCTCTTGGTGAAATCTGCTCCTCTAAGTCTTAGTGAAAAAGTTATTTTTTTCCATTTTACATATTTCAGACACAGTTTCCATCCATTCCTTGAGGTCTGGGGTCTCAGGTTTATACCATCTTCTTGAAATTATTTTTTTTTACAAGCCACAAGCAGTATCTTACACAAATACCAGTCCTTTTAAGAAACATTTCCTGAAAACAAACCAAAATACACTCACATCATGTGGTAGTGCATAACCTAAAACTTTGCACAAATTTGTGACAGTCTTTACCCAGAATAACTGAATATTTTTATTTTGACCAAAAAGTATGGGAGTGATTGCCTTTTATGTGCCCACAATGTCTCCAACATAGGTTTTGTGTTTTGGATTGTAGATTTTCAGTGTTTGGTGTTATAAAATAACCAATGAAATTCTTCCATCCAAATTCCCCCCATTTCTTGGAACTTGTGGATGAGTGTTGTGTGTTCCACATCAACCCCCAATCCTCCAGTGGTATTTCTACTGGATTCATATTGTTTATAACTTCATTTACTACCAGTAATGATAAAAATGTTCCACTTCACTCTTTCTATGTCAACACTAAATCACTGCATGTATTGATTATATACCTTCACACTGTTTCATCACCAGCCTAATTAAGACCCTTTTGAAAGGCTTTACAAGTATCAAAACTTTTCTGTAATTGTTATAATTAGAAGGTGCTGTTATCATTTTCATGATCATAGTTGTTTTCACAATCAGTTATTATTCTTTATTCGTATCACTTGAGTCCAGGTACATATTTACTTTCTATGAAGGGCCTAAAGTTAGCTTCTATCATTGTTAATGTGAATTGCTTTTCTAGATTCTTTATTACAACTGTTCAATAACCTAATACCAGCAGTGTGCAGGGCTTTAGCTTCCTCTATGTCATAATGGGGGACCATGGTTGTCTGTTGTTAAGTAATTTCTGCCAGCAGATCAGTGAAGTAAATGTGCTGATGTCATAGTCTGTTCTTCTGTTTGATAACTGCAGGCCCGGATGCTGATGGTGGAGGAGAACCTGATGACGACTATCATTAGAACATTTGTTGATCACCTTCGTCACAGGGACCTGCAGGGACGCTTCCAGTTTGACCGCTACACTGCCCAGCAGGCTTTCAAGTTTGGGCGTGTCCAGAGCCTCATTGGAGACCTGAAGTTAGGACCAATGCATGCATTTACACATCTGTTTATTTATTATTATTATTATTATTATTATTATCATCAGTATCAGTATCAGTATTAGTATTATTATTAGTATTATTATTATTGTAATTACTTTGATTTATTTATTTATATATAAATATATAAAGTAGACCCCATTAACCACTGCCACAACAATTTGTACATCAAGTTATACACAAGTTATGAACCAGTTAGTTTGTTCACTAGTTACTGCATATTAACAGTTTTTACCAGTTTACAGGACGGTAACTACACCAATACATATCAAGTAAAATGCAGATTTAACACCTTTTTCACATACATGTTAAATTCCAGTGACATATTGGTTTTAAACCAGATTATACACCATTTATAAAGCTCTTCAAATGTAGTTTTATGTTCCAGTTCATCATCTTTAATACCAATAAGATAAAAGCAGTTCCATTAATTACTAATAGGTGTGTCTGTTTTTTAGGTACGTATTGATTAGTCGTCCCACTGAGTGGAGCGATCAGCTCAGACAGAAGTTTCTAGAAGGTTTTGATGCTTTCCTGGAGCTACTCAAGTGTATGCAGGTAACCCACAGCCAAAGACCCACATGACTGTAACCTGCCCATTAAAGCTGTGCAATACAATAACATGAGGTTGTGAAGGGTTAGAAGGTTTCCATGATCCAACAGTTCAAATGAATCTACTTTATGTAGGAGTTTTTTTTTTTTTTGAATGGACAAACCACAGGCTAAATAACAATATATCCCCAGATACAGTGAGTTTCCTATGAAAGAGGATAAGGGCCACAAGAAGAGAGAAAAAATAATTACAGTAGGGAGATTTTTTTAATTTCCATTTCGAGATGAGAGTCGCAATTTCAAGATTAAAGTCAAAATTTTAAAAAGTCGACTTTATTCATGTCAACTTTAATCTCAAAATTTTGACTTAAATCTCAAAATTTTAGTTTTTTTGACCTCGAAATTTTGACTTTAATCTTGAGATTTAAATTTTTTATCTCAAAATTTTGACTTTAACGCCCTTCTTGTAATTATTATTTTTTCTCTCTCTGTGGCCCTAATCACCTTTAGTTGTTTCCAGCATTGTTAACCTGCAACACAGCATTTTGAAAGTTTTCTTGTCAAGTGCTACTGTTTTGTACTAAGCAGTTTATCTGCTAATGGTTAGTGTCAGACACTCACTTAGTGCACTGCAAAGATCATAAAAGCACTGACAGATTCTTACATAATCATATGCTGTTGTATAACGCACACACTGGCATGCTAGGTAGCTCTTCTTAGTTTATTATTTGAAAATATGAGTTCAGATCATTTCAAATGTAGTGAAGATTGGGTTTAAGTGCTTACTCTTTCCAGACGTGAATCAAACAGAACAGCAGTGATCTCAGGGAGAGGTGAATAAGGTATGGCACTAGATTCAGCCTGTATTACTAACTGTTTGGTCATGTAGAAGCTTTAGGCTTGATTAGTTGATAATTTCTCTAACTTTTCTCTGTAAAAGTTACCCTGCCTTCTACCTTTTTGAGAAGATTGGCTGTTTTGAAAAGTTTCAGAGGATTTATTTGTACATTTTATCGAGATAGAAATGAAAAATTATGATTCATGTAGTTAAACTCTTGCTGAAGTACTTTTATTTTGGGGTAAGTCTGACCTAAATTGCACCTCTCATGGATTGACTGTTTACTTGAAAAAGGTGATCCTTGTCTTTACCGGATTCTAAATGTTTCAGATCCTTAGGCTGCCATTTGAATGATGTTGCCTTTAATCTGCTTTGAAGGGGACATTCATTTGATATTTAAGTGAACAGTTACATACCAAGTACTACATCAGAAACAAAGAGACACATAAATACTGATATGCAAGATTGCACACTGCCTAAGTGGTGGTGGTGTTCACTTTTAAAAACAAATGTTAACTTTTGTATTAAGCAAAAAAGTCTGTGACTGATAAACTTTAGGTCTTATCCATGTCATCATTCCTGTTGTACTTGCAACTAGTTGGCATTAAAAGCACAATCTGTTCAAAAAGATGCAAACAGGCCCTAAATGCTGTGTTTTTCCTTCCTTCACATAATTTTTAGAAGGAAAATTGGTTACATTGTAATGTCCAGTAACTCACTGAATAGTTTTGAAAACAAAGACAAAGTTTGGTGATGAAAACTGGATTATAATTCTGCAAGGAAAAGTGACATGAGTTTTTTGCCATATTTCCCACCCTTGCTGGTCAGAGAGAGCCCTGACTTTTTCTAGACCCAGCGTGTTTCTTTTTCTGTTTCTGCTGAAACATCTGAACCTGTCAGTCTGACTGTTTGTGTGTCTCACCCTGTCAGTCTCTCTCTGAACCTGTCTCTGTTTTTGTCCTGGACTTTTCTCTCTATTTCAGGGTATGGATCCAGTTGTGAGGCAGGTGGGGCAGCACATCGAGATGGAGCCAGAGTGGGAGGCAGCATTCACTCTGCAGATGAAACTGACTCATATTATCTCCATGATCCAAGAGTGGTGCTCCACTGATGTAAGACTACTACTATTACTTAAGTAATAGTACTAATAATACTTTTACTTAAGTAATAGTACAAAATATTATTAATTATTTCTTTTTTTGTGCATGAACTTGAAAATAACATCTAAAGTGGCTGTTAGAAGCCGACCAACAGCCTAGATGTGCTTTGATAGAGGTATAAGCAAGTCATTATGGGCTCCAAAAATTCCAAGTGTTTTGACTCAGTTGTACTTTTGGGGTCCATACATTGACAACTGTGTCCTGTTAAAACTTGGCAACATCTAACTGTGTACTCAGGACAGTGAGACATCTATCTTTGTAAAATGTTTAAAGCAAATAAATTGGGCAGCAGCAGAGCATCTGCATTTTTCTGTACTTGCTTTATGTGCTCAAGCAAGTTGGAGTAAGCAAATTAAGTGTTGGGTGCCCAACATTTCCTCGGGGAAAATCCCTGCTTCCTATTCCCTCATCACATGTTTCCGAGAGGTGGCCATACCTCTTCTCACAAAATGGACGTAAGGCCTGAAGCCCACATGATTGAGCGCGTTCCATCAGCATCGTGTATCACGCTGCAAATTGGTTCCCATTCTAATCAATGTATCGTCACACACAAGAAGCACCTCTGCTCAATCTCAGAAGCATGTCGAGTGCTATTCTGCTTAAGATATGTGCTGACAGTCTATTTTCCCTGCTCTACGCTTCTAACATGCGTCAATCCACACAGAGAACATCGTTTTAGACAGGACTTTGAACTGAAGGTAACAGCACAGCATAAAGGAACATTGTTTACTTTATTAAACAGGAGTAAACCTGCAAAAACCCAAACTGTAAAATCACGTTGCTTCTTCACATACAGTAGAGGCTCAACGATCACTGAATTATATCCAAATTAGCAGGAAATAGACCACAGAACGGAAAAACAACCTATTGTGAAGATGTTGTTTCCTCTATACTGAGCCCAGCTGACCGAGGCTGCGCTACGCTGCTGCTACGCTCCAAATACGCTTCCTGAGGGCGATGAAATGCGCTGCTCGGTGGAGCAAATATGCAACACTGAACGCGCTCAACGTGGATCCTGTGGGTTTTAGGCTTACTGTTGGCTGGCATATATCAGATATGTGTACTTTTTATATGTCAAAGAGTTGAAACCTACGTATAAACATATTTCAGGGGAAAGTCATGGATTTAAGGTGATACTTCGTCATGAGACATTTAATGTGAAATCTTTTGCCTCTATGTGTTTGCTTTTTACTCATACTGTACATGCCCATGTGTCTTTCCATGTGTCAGGAGCATGTGCTGATTGAAGCCTACAAAAAGTGTCTGAGCGTGCTCAGCCACTGTCAGAGCAGTCTACCAGATGGCGAGCAGCCAATCAGCTTGAGTCTGGCAGGTCACTGCGTGGAGACGTTCCGGTACCATGTATCTCAGGACAAAGTGTCTATACACCTGCCTGTTTGCAGACTCCTGGCAGGTAAACCCACATGCTCAGTCAGACACACAGTCGGTTAGTCCAGACTCTGCTCAGAAATTGAAAAGAAGTCTGCTTCATGTCAGCAGTGTAAAAGTTGTAGCTTGTGGAAAAACCAGAAACAATTTGAGTAAGTGATTGTGGACATGAGCTTTGAAGTTATGAACCATGTCTCTTCATTCATAAAGAATAAATTAGACTAAAACTGCCCCCCCTCTCACCTCTTCCTCCTCCAGGGCTCCATGTTCTCCTCAGCAGGACAGAAGTAGCCTCACGTTTCCCAGAACGGCTTCCTCTGGTTAGTAACCTCTCTGCAGCCTGTCTGCACGCCTGTTACAAGAAACAGATTAATACACCTGTCTTAACATGTTTTTGTGCATCCTCAGGGAGAACTCAGCCCCCCTCTTCTGATTGAGCTCCCCCTTCGGTGCCTTGTGCTTTGTGCCCAGGTGCATGCTGGGATGTGGAGGAGAAATGGGTTTTCCTTGATCAATCAGGTAAGTGCCATGTCAGTACCTGATAACCAGTACTGAGGTGATCAACTTGGGACATTGGTCAGCCTGTTTTAGATCGGAGCAGTGTTTTGCTTTTACTAGAAAGATATCCTGATGGTGATGATAGCGGCAATGAAAAGAAAAGTAATTCAAAGAGATTGCAGATAAAAGCAATGGTGAAATCTTAGTGAATTTCTAAACTAAATTCTTAGAAATTAAAAAGCCAAGTTGTGGCATTGTGAGAGCAATAAAAGGGAGCTGATCTTAGGGGATTACTCTGGACTATTTGTTACGGTTATGAAGAAGTCAGTCTGTTTTTGAACAAAGGCAGCAGAAACCTGCTAGAAATGAAACTATAAATCAGTAAAATTACATGTCCTGTGACTGAAACAGGTTATAAACATGATTGTTCAGTGGCTGCAGTCACAGTTTGAAACAGATGAAATGAGGTGTTGAATTGCAGCTGGACATACCGCAACAGAAATTTGTGCTCCCATAATTGCTGCATAATTGTTAAGGTGCGTCAGTTTGACTCAAAGGGTTTTTTTTGTTTTTTTTTTAGCATTTTATGATTTTATCCAAAGAGAACAGTCTGTCAGTGAATGTGAACTGAGGTTACTCCAAGTTGTCTCTGTTGTTAATACGGTGATGTTATTTTTGAAGCCAACACTGGATGTATTTTGGATATGTTGTTCATCTAATTAAAGCTGCCGTTATGAATTCTTAGTTTGTCTCCATTTTAGCACCTCCTGTAGACAAAGCTTTCTAAAGGAAGACGCATTTCTGGGAACAAGTTTTTTAGTTGATGAATGAACAACACATTTGTTTTACCTTTCAGATTTACTACTATCACAACGTCAAGTGCAGAGTGGAGATGTTCGACAAAGACATCATCATGCTGCAGGTAAAGACACACTTCACTGTCACTACTCACACTGAGTGTCTTTTCAGTCTACTGTCACACTATGACAAAGCCTGGCCATGCTCACTCTGCCTGGCTGTCCTGACTCAGCCTTTTTCTGCTTATTCTGACTCAGCCTGACCCCACTGACTGCATTCACATAGCTTTATTCACTGACCAATTCACCCTGACTTTACAGACTCTACAGCATTTCCCTATACTCATGTTCATATCCTTACTGGTTCAACTGATGCTAATGACTCATTCTGACTCTACTGACTCAGTACAAAAGAGAGTATAAAAGTGGAGCATCTGTGATTTCTTTTGCTATCAGAGTCACAGCAAAGACATTACTGAGGACTCATGTTCCCCCATAGATATTATAGACACAACAGACAGAAACTGAAGTTTATTTGTGATGAGTTTACTGGCTCTGCTTGTTAAATGACACCTCGCAGATTTACAGTTGTATTTATTTCCATCCAGGCAGGAGCGTCAATGATGGATCCAAACCACTTCCTGATGATCGTCCTGAGTCGATTTGAGCTGTTCCATATTTTCAGCTCTGCAGACTGCAGGAAGAGATACAGGGAGGCCAACAAGGTGGGAACTGACTCAGCTGACTCTCTGCTGATACTCTTTCACAACTCCATTAACCCTTCACTGTCTGTGTTTGACAGGATGTGGTCCAGCAGAACAACACTCTGATTGAAGAGATGCTTCACCTCATTATCATGGTCGTCTGTGAGTCCCTGTGCTGTTTCTGTTTTACGATAAGAAAAATTGAAATATTTCACCCAAAGAACATCTGAATGTGGTCTTGGTTAATGGAAAGTTGTGGAACAAATCAAATGCTGGACAGTGAGATTAACAGCATACCTGGTTCGTATGTGTGTGGTAAAGGTGAACGGTACGTGCCGGGTGTTGGCCAGGTGGAGCCCTTTGATGAGGTCAGGAGGGAAATCATCCACCAGCTGTCAATCAGACCGATGGCTCACAGTGAGCTGGTGAAGGCTTTGCCTGAGAATGTAAGACACCTGCCGGTCTTTTTGTGTTATTATCTGCCTCTGAACCTGTCAGTGTGTTTGGACATGTCTGTGTGTGGCTGCATAATAGTCTGATTGTTTCTGTCTGTCTGTGGTCCTGTATGAGAGCCTGTCTGTGTACCTGTCTGTGTCTGTCTATGCATCTGTCTACAGCTGTCTTCTACCTTCTCTTTCTCTTTTCAGGGGAACAAGGAGACGGGTCTTGAGAAAGTCATCGACTCTGTGGCTTCGTTCAAGTGAGGCAGCTCTCTTTGGCAGATCCACCTTAAATACATTGTGTATTCACTTCAGATACCTGTCTGCCTGTTCAAGCATCCCCCTGAACAACACCCTGTCCACCTGAAATTTAAATACACCAGAACTACCAGCTTAAAAAGCACATTTGCTTTTACAACCACCAGAGCACCTGAAGTGAACTCTGACGGCCACTATTCACACTTCATTACATCCATCAGTGTTTCCCCCACACAGATCTGACTGTGGTGGGCAGCCAAAGAATACATACAAGCTTATTTGCTGCATATTTGAGCATTTTATTTTTTAACCATAAAATAATCAACCATGATCAATAAACTAGTAAAAGACTTTCCCTTGCTCTTTACTACTTACTCAGGTGTAGTGGGAGGAGTTTGAAACATGCTCTACAGGTTATCAGAGAGAGCCAGTTTATGCCCTGTAAATGTGCTCACTAGGTTGTGAGTAATGTGATGACTCTTGTGCTGTGTTTTTACTTCACCAACAGGAAGCCAGGAGTAACAGGTCGAGGTCTATACGAACTGCGCCCTGAGTGGAATAAATACTTCAACCTATACTTTCATCACTACAGCAGAGCAGACCAGTCCAAGGTACACAAACTGATGGGGGCGCTGAACAGGCTATTGATCGAGGCACTGTAGGGGTTAACTTAAAGATAACCAATCTCTCTCCAATATTAACTGTGTAATGTGTGTTTCAGGCTGAAGAGGCTCAGAGGAAGCTGAGGAGACAGAATGGAGAAGACACAGGTAAATATAAACTCAAATCAATCAATCACACTAATTTATATAAAATAAATTTATATAAAATAAATTAGTGTGATTGATTGATTTGAATGTGAACATGTCAATCAAAGTGAGATTCCCAAGAACCAGGCTGAGATCATCTGAGCTGTTTAGTTCCAAGAAAACTCTTCTGAGTCATTTTTTATTTCAGAGCAAATTTTACCGAAACTCAGTCTGCCAGTGTTGAACTGCTTGTGTATATTTTTGTATTTTTGTACATTTCTTAAAAGTCGATATATCATAATCAATAACATTGATTTTTCTGTGTGTATGTCTGTTTGTGTGTATCAGCCCTGCCTCCCCCTCTTCCTCCCCCGCTCTGTCCCCTGTTTGGCAGTCTGGTGAACCTGCTGCAGTGTGATGTGTTGCTGGCTGTAGAGGGTGCTGTGCTGCAGTGGGCTGTGGAGCCCAGTGGAGGGTGCTGGACGGAGTCCATGCTGCAGCGGGTGAGACTTGAACAGTATCTTCCATATGAAGTGTTGATGGTGGACCATCAGCTTAGATCCAAAGGCGTGTCCAAACTATTCCTCAAAGGGCTGTGTGGCTGCAGGTTTTTCTTCCAAGCAATCAAGAGCTTGCAGTCTGACCAATCAGCTGTCTAAAGACTGAGATCAGCTGATGAAATGAATCAAGTCTGGTGTGCTGCTGCTTGGTTGGAAGAAAACCACATGGCCCTTTGTGGAAGAGTTTGGGCATGCCTGGCTTAGAGATACATGATGTCTCTATTCAGCTGGTTGTCGTTCAGTTGTGAGCGCTGAACTTAAAATCATGTTTAAGATGATTAAGTCTAAGGAGTCAGTCTAGAATCTCCAAATGGAGTCAAAGGTATTTAGAATCCATTCACAGTTGCTCCAGTTGGTAGTGATTGTGCTATAAACAGACTGATCTTGAAACAGGTTTTTGTCTGTCCAAACTCTGTACTTATGATTTAAAATTCTTTTATTCTCTTCAAACTGTTTGAACCCACAACACAACTGTCGGTCTGAACAAGGGTACGTTTATAAAACTGAGGTGATTAAACTTTGGGCGGAAAAAAAGCTGTTTTAAAGTATTTTATTATCATTTTTTTCCAAGTCACTCCAAACCATGAATTTCTGTAAGTAAGATGAATGAACTGTTGAGTCATTGTTGAGATCAGACTGAAGGAGGCTTTAACTCTGGTTACCGGTCTGGTCAGCATGTTGAGTTTCACCCTGCTCTGGTCACAATGTGTAGATAGTTTATGTCTGAAAATGGTTTTTAAAATGCCCTCTGACTTTGTACTCTGTGTAGGTGCTTCACCTGGTGGGTATGGCTCTGCTGGAAGAACAGCAGCAGCTGGAGAACAGCAATGGAGATGATGACGTCACCTTTAACTACACCTGCAAGATCACACGTCAGTACAGACTGTTCAATGAGTAACACAGTTGAAAGTTTACATGACACAGAAACCCACTAAGTAGTAAAAACAAAGGATGTAACGACATCAAAATCTCATGATATGATTATAGCATGGAAAGCATGGAAATTTGTTCCAGTATTGATGTACTCAGCGATACATCTTGTGATCTAGCTCTTGCTCTCACGGTAAAGTTGGGCTGTAAAAGCCGCCTTTCCTTTCTCCTAACCTGTGGAAAATTTCCACGAAATCTTCTTGAGTAGCTTTTCATATGACTGTTAATCTCTGACATGTCAGTAACTGCAGTCTGGCCATGTCAGCTTTTTGATTTTTGTTTGTCTGTCACCAGTTGTCCTTTTTCATTTCTTGGCATTGGAAAACAGTGCTTCCAAAAATCTGTCCTAAAAGCTGCAATTTCAAAATCATCTCTTAGTTAGGGTGACCATATTCTGACTTACCAAAAAGAGGACACAACTACACAGGGACGGAGTCAGGGAGTCACACGAAGTTAATAGTGAGAGTTTTTCAGGTCAGATCGAGTGTCTTTTACGTGCTTCTAACTTAGTAAGTCCATGTGACACAAAATCGTAATTTGCGTACAAAACCGAGGACATTTGAAGAATTTTATAAACTTCCTTGGACAAAACTGGACAAACCTGGACACCCCCCAGAAAAGAGGACATGTCCAGGGAAAAGAGGACTTATTGTAACCCTATCTTGGTTCCATTCTGTGTTTGCCACTTCTGCTGAACTGCATTTGAGGCAACAGGTGGAGCAAAGGATGATGAGCATGCATGGTAGTCTCTGTGGTTCCTCTTCCTTCCACTCAGACCCACTGCAGCTGAAACCTACCCTTTCATATCGTCACAGGGCATAATAATATTGAGACTCTGCCTATGATACAATGAACTTGAAGACACTGTTTCATCCCTGAAGTGAAAATGGTTCATATTTACAGTGCATCCGGAAAGTATTCATACCACTTCACTTTTCCACATTTTGTTATGTTACGTTATGGATTCAATTCCTTTTTTCCCTCAAAAATTCTACACAAAATAAATTAAAATTTATTAAAAATAAGACACTCAAATGTTGCATATACATAGGTATTCACACCCTTTGCTATAAAACTCAAAATTGAGCTCAGGTGCATCCTGTTTCCACTGATCAGCCTTGAAATGTTCCTCCAACTTGATTGCAGTCCACCTGTGGCAAATTCAGCTGATTGGACATGATTTGGATAGCCACACCTGTCTATATAAGATCCCACAGCTGACAGAGCACGTCGTAGCACAAACCAAGCCATGAAGTCCAAAGAATTGTCTGTAGACCTCCGAAACAGGGTTGTATCGGCGCACAGATCTGGGGAAGGTTACAGAAAAATATATGCTGCATTGAAGATCCCAAAAAGCACAGTGGTCTCCGTCATTAAGAAATGGAAGACGTTTGGAACCACCAGGACTCTTCCTAGAGCTGGCTGCCCAGCCAAAATGAGCAAGCGAGGGAGAAGGGCCTTGGTCAGGGAGGTGACCAAGAACCCGATGGTCACTCTGACAGAGCTCCAGCGTTCTTCTGAGGAGATGGGAGAACCCTACAGAAGGACCACCATCTCTGCAGCACTCCACCAGTCAGGCATTTATGGTAGAGTGGCCAGACAGAAGCCACTCCTCAGTAAAAAGCACATGACAGCCCGCTTGCTAGAAGGCACCTGAAGGACTCACAGACAAGGAGAAACAAAATTCTCTGGTCTGATGAAAAGAAGATCAAACTCTTTGGCCTGAATGCCAAGCGTCATGTCTGGAGGAAACATGGCACCACCTCGCCAATACCATCCCTACAGTGAAGCATGGTGGTGGCAGCATCATACTGCAGGGATGTTTTTCAGCGGCAGGAACTGGGAGACTTGTTAGGATCAAGGGAAAAATGAATGCAGCTAAGTACATCGAAATCCTTGATGAAAACCTGCTCCAGAGCGCTCGAGACCTCCTACTGGGGCGACGCTTCCAGCATGACAGTGACCCTAAGCACACGGCCAAGAAGACAAAGGAGTGGCTTCAGGACAAGTCTCTGAATGTCCCTGAGTGGCCCAGCCAGAGCCCAGACTTGAGCCAGATTGAACATCTTTGGAGAGACCTAAAAGTAGCTGTGCACCGACGCTGCCCATCCAACCTCATTGAGCTTGAGAGGAGGTGCAAGAAAGGCTGGGGAAAAACTCCCGAAATCCAGGTGTGCCAAGCTTGTTGCATCATACACAAGAAGATTGGAGGCTGTAATCGCTGCCAAAGGTGCTTCGACCAAGTATTGAGTAAAGGGTGTGAATACTTATGTAAATGCAACATTTGAGTGTTCTTATTTTTAATTAATTTGCAAAATGTTCTAAAAAAAAGTTTTTTTGCTTTGTCATTATGGGGTATTTTGTGTAGAATTTTTGAGGGAAAAAAAGGAATTTAATCCATTTTGGAATAAGGCTGTAACATAACAAAATGTGGAAAAAGTGAAATGGCATGAATACTTTCCGGATGCACTGTATATCAGTGTGTAAATGTTTGTGAGGCCTGTTTGGTGGAGTGTAACAAAGTAAACTGAAGAGACATTTTTATGATGTGTTTTAAGGCTTCTTTGTTTCTCTTGTTTTATATAAATAAAAAACTGCAGTACCTTTATTGCAGTATTTTTTAAGGAAACTTCGTAAGAAGAAGGAACACTCAAGAACACGGTTCTACAAAAACCCTTTTAAGTTCGTCAAAGACCTCTTTGCTAAGGACAAGAGTGGAATCCTGAAAACACCAAAGAAGGAATTGGAAGAACATCTGGAGAAGGCCCATCAGGACACGAAAAGGCATGAGCAGATAATCATCCCCCATGACATCCCACCTATTCATCCTCCAGAGTTCAAACTGGACACTGAACCTCCAAAGTGGAAGAAAGTTGAGAATGTAGTCCGGCGAGCTAGAGCGGCATCAGCTGCGGGGCCTAATGGAGTACCGTACAAGCTCTACAAGAACACACCGGACGTTCTACGCTTTCTTTGGAGACTCATGAGGATAGTGTGGCAGAAGGAAATAATACCCAAGGCATGGCGAAGGGCTGGCGGTGTGTTGATTCCAAAAGAAAAGGATGCCACTGACATCAGTCAGTTCCGACCAATCAGTCTTCTCAACGTCGAGGGGAAAATCTTTTTCAGCATAATGGCACAGAGGCTGTCAACGTACCTGGAAAGGAACAAGTACATTGATACATCTGTACAGAAAGCAGGCATTCCTGGATTCTCTGGTTGCCTAGAGCATACCAGTATGATTTGGCACCAGATCCAAGCAGCTAAGAAGGACAAAAGAGACCTCTATGTCATCTTCCTTGATCTGGCCAATGCCTTTGGTTCAGTTCCCCATGAACTGCTCTGGGAATCTTTCAACTTTTTCCATGTACCAGAACCCATCACTAAGCTGGTAAAGGCCTACTTCCAAGACCTTCAACTGTGTTTCACAACACCTGACTTCACTACAACATGGCAACGCCTGGAAATAGGCATAATGGCAGGCTGTACAATCTCACCTCTGGCCTTCACTATGGCCATGGAAGTCATCATCAGGGCCTCGAAATGGGTGGTGGGCGGTGAGCGAACTAAGAACGGGCTCCGTCTGCCACCGATCCAAGCGTACATGGATGACATGACTACGCTGACCACAACTCCAGCTTGCACCAAGCGGTTGCTGGCGAAACTGGAGGAGAACATCAAGTGGGCACGAATGAAAATCAAGCCAAGCAAATCTCGAAGTGTTGCCATAGTCAAGGGGCAGCTGAAAGATGTGAAGTTCTGCATTGGCGATGACCCGATACCAACGGTGTCTGAGCAACCTGTGAAAAGCCTGGGTAGATGGTACAGTGCAAGCCTCAAGGATACAGATCAGGTGCAGCAGTTACGGCAGGACATTGTCAACGGTCTGGAGAGGATCGACAAGACCCTACTGCCTGGGAAGCTCAAGCTTTGGTGTCTCCAGTTTGGACTTCTCCCCAGGGTAATGTGGCCACTCACCATGTATGAGGTCCCAATAACATCGGTGGAGAAGATGGAGCGTACCATTACAACATGCGCAAAGAAATGGCTCGGTGTCCCACGATGTCTAAGCAACATCAGCCTCTACGGCAAAGGGGTCCTTGAACTACCTCTCACAAGTTTAACAGAGGAGTACAAGTGCTCTAAAGTTAGGCTTCAGATGACATTGCAGGATTCCAGAGACCATACCATCAGCAGTGCTGCACCTCCTGTACTAACTGGACGGAAATGGACACCATCCAATGCGGTGCAGCAAGCAACATCTGCCCTTAGACACCAAGACATCCTGGGGCATATCCAGTATGGAAGAGGAGGTTTTGGCCTGGCAGCGAGCAAACCGTCTTGGCGCAAGGCAACAACATCTGAGCGTAGAAAACTGGTGGTTGAAGAGGTGCGCAGGCAGGAGGAGACTGCGAGAGGTACAAAGGCTGTCTCTCTTGCTAAACAGGGGCAATGGATGCGGTGGGAAGGCCTGGAGAGGAGAAAAATCAACTGGAGTGAGCTATGGCAAATGGACGCAAGCAACATCAGTTTCATCATAAGAGCCGTATATGATGTGCTTCCATCACCGAAGAACCTACATCAGTGGTATGGCGAGGATCCAACCTGCCCTCTTTGCCCAGCTCCAGCGACTCTCAGGCATATCTTGACAAGTTGCAAGACCAGCCTCACACAAGGCCGCTACACTTGGAGGCACAATCAAGTCCTCAAGAGCCTGGCTGCAGCAATCGAGATCAAGAGGAATGCAACCAACTCCTTACCCCCAAGACCAAGCAACCCCATGAAATCAACAACATTCATCCGGGAGGGACAGGAAAAGCCCAAGCATACTGCTACGAAGCCAGAAACTGGACACCTAGCCATGGCCCGGGACTGGAAAATTCTTGTTGATGTCGGCCAGCAACTAATTTTTCCTTCTGAGATCACGACCACCAACCTTAGGCCAGACATGGTACTCTGGTCTCCTTCACGAAGATCTGTATTCATCATAGAACTCACAGTCCCGTGGGAGAACTCTGTTGAGGAGGCCTATGAGCGAAAAAAGCTGCGATACACAGAGCTAGCAGCAGACGCAATTCAACATGGCTGGAATGCAAAAGTCTGTCCGGTTGAAGTCGGATGTAGAGGATTCGTGGCCTCTTCCACCATCAGGCTGCTGAAGGAACTTGGAATCCAGGGACAGGCTCTGCGGCAGACCATCAGATCAGTCTCTGAAGCAGCTGAAAGGGGCAGCCAGTGGCTATGGACTAAACGGAAGGACCCTTGCTGGGCCCTAAGAACATGACCCCCCCCCCCGACCTGAGAGCCCGAATCCCAACCCTCCAACCTGAGGAGGGCCCATGAGGTATGCGGTCAGCTGTAGGCGTGGCTCAGGGAAGAGGACGCCCCTGCCTTGCATAGTCCCTTGGGATATTAGCCATTTTACAGCTAGGCTAATCCTAATGATTGGGCATGGGACACAAGCTAAGGCTTGATCACCCTGTAGCTGGCCGCCTTTGATGAGGGTGTATAGTGTTTAAAGGCCGAAACACCCCCTGATTCAAAGGAACACTACTGAGGATGTGTCCTGAAATTTTACATCTAACCCCACTCTTAGGAACATATCTCTCCCATGCCACTCTTAACATCACGGCAAATCTCATATGAGTGCACACCATCTATTGGCACAATGGACAGTCACATCACGTCCCGTGTTTTATGAATCTACCTTGTAACAGTTGAATTGTTTTGTTTGTGTTTGTGTGTTCAGGTCCAGGTGAAGCTCCTAGTACTTCTGGAAGTGTTCTTGCCTTGTTGGAGAGTCTACAAAACGCTCCTCACCTGGAGGTTCACAAAGATATGATCACCTGGATCCTTAAGGTAATTACTGCAGTTAGCATGATGATATAACTTATTGATTCATTACTTTTCTGTCTTTGGTGGTTTGATTCAAACTAGTCATGTTTCCCCACAAGAATAACTTATCCATACATTCACATTATCCATGGTTATTTCGATATTCTCTTATTGATAATGCCGCTGTGAACGTAAAACATCAAAAATTCTGTTGTATTGTTAGTGAAAATGAACACTGCTAGCCTAACTGATGAAGCATCAGTGTGATGAGGACAGATGTGTTCAGGTGTCCCACAAAGTTCTATATAAGAGCTGGATTTTTGCTGAGTCACATGAAGAAGTTTGAGATGGGAGTCCTCTGGATGTTTCATCTGCTGATGTAGAGTGTATTTGTGTTTGCAGATGGTGGCAAATATCAAAACTATGAGAGAACGGACATCATCCACCTCCACCGTCACCGTCAGCCAGGGCCAAGGCCTGGAGGAGGTGCGACACACAAACTCTTTACACACCATTAAAACTGAATCACAATGAAATTAACAAATCTTTCAGAAAGTTGTTAGGACAGCGTTGTCCACTTTTCCCTTAATAAACTCTATAGTAGAGTTTGGGCAGTCTCTTGTCTTTCTCCCTAAAGACCCTGGAGATTTGTTTAGTGTAAAGAAACCTTCAAATGAAACTAAACTGCGAATAAGCAAGGGATCATGAATAGGAAGCAGGTGACTGGGTGAGACAACCGAACTGCCTTAATTCATTGTCAGTGATTTTTAACTTTTCCCTTTTTTTAGTCTCAATTTACCAGAGTCATGCTAGACCCTGTAGCCAATAAAACTTACTTTAATCTGATTGATTATTGATTTTCCTGGTATAAATGTGTCTGGGCCTTTCCCCCCGCAGACGGTTCGAGACAAAGACAAGGCTGAGAGGAAGAGGAAGGCAGAGATGGCTCGGCTGAGGAGGGAGAAAATCATGGCTCAGATGTCTGAAATGCAAAAGCACTTCATCAACGAGAACAAAGAACTTTTCCAGCAGAGTCTGGAGGAGCTGGAGGCATCAACTTCTGCTGCTGCTGCTGAGAACAGGTACATGTGAGAGTTTGATCAAGTTTAATCAGTGCTCTCCCTGCTCACAAGCCTTCAATATTACATCTGCACTTGGAGTCCTTTCAATCCAAGTTTTAAGTTTAATTAATGGAGGTAACCCATTCTAAGACTACTGGAGGTCAGTGTTATAGTGACCAAATTGATTAGCTAAAATGACTGGTCTGAAATTTTACCATCAACCACTGCAGAATTTTTTTTTTCTCAGTGAGAAACTGCAGCACAGCGTCAGGGTCAAATGACAGTCAGTGAAGAAGTTTGGCAGAGCACACCCAGGTGTTGATATGCTGCTGATCCAGGTTCAGTACTTCAGTTGTAACAGGGGGAAGCAGGCAGGTTGAAGTGAGGAAAAAAATCATGCATGGTCTGTTCAAAACCTAGTTGTCACAAAAAAAACAAAAAAAACAATTGAACATAAACTTCTCCTTTTTGATCCAACCCCCCCCCCCCCCCCCCCCAATTTAATTCACATACTGGAGAAATGTTTTAACTTACCAACCTTTAAAGGGTAAAATGATCAAAAAAGGAAACACAAACATCTAAATAAACACTGTTGCAGGGTAAGAGGAATGAGCGCCTTCCTCTCAACCCAAGTACCAACATTTTACCAAAAAATAAAATAGTATTAACTACAATAGACTTTAAATGGAGACTTTATTCCCTGACAACTTTCTTTACCCAACCCTCCAATCACAGAAAATAACCATGTTCCCTCTCTTCTCCCCTCCCACACAGCCCTCCCAGTTTGGAGCTGTCATGTCTCTCCCAGGTATCTGTTGGTCCCAGGAGAGTGTGCGGAGCAGAGCGACGCCAGCTAGTCACTTGCATATTATGTCAAGAGGAACAGGAGGTCAAAGGGCATGGTAAAGCTATGGTTCTGGCAGCATTTGTCCAGAGGTCCACAGTTTTATCCAAAAACCGTCACCGCAGCTTGCCTGACCCAGGTGGGTGAAGCTTTCCTCTACATCGACAGAACAGCAGCCATTTAAAATGAATAATTATTGATTGACAGATATACACGTGTTTTGCAGAGAGTCATGATCCTGTGTTCATGCACCCTGACCTGTCTCTGGGGATTCACACAGCCAGCTGTGGACACATCATGCATGCTACCTGCTGGCAGAGGTGAGGCACTGCGGCTGCAAACATTACAGGAGTGTACATGACCCGTGGCCATTTATACAAATAGTCAGAATATTTGTAATGATGAACTTCGGCTGCAGTAGTTGATAATTTTTATAATTAAATATTCTAATAAGATCACTTAATTAATGGACAAAATAATCTATAGAACTGTTGACTGCTCAGCAACAATTGTCATTAAATGTGTTTTTGTGTCGACTGCTACAACAATGCTATTTTCCCTGCTGTGGAAATCGTCAAGGATTATCTTGTCTCTTTACCAAGTCTAAACATACTCCAACATTATGTCTGCACATTTGATTATGACATATTATTATACCAAAACTAAGCACAGGAATATCATACCTTTACAGGATGGTCAAATTTCCTCAATGAAAGAAGTAAGAAAACACTTGTTGGTTTATTTTAAAAGAAGGGGCGGGAACCCCAAACTTGAATGTCTGTCCCAGAGAGATAATAAAAAGTGAGTCCTCCACTGGTGGGAAGGGGGTTAACAACAGTCAGTAGGAGTGTAATAAGTGTGACTGAATTAAGAGCTGGTTTATTACAGTAACAGCACAGCACTGATCAGCATTTCAGTCTGTAGAAATTTAAACCACACTGAGTGATCTATTCTTAATGCAGCAACAAAAAAACAAACGGCAACACAACTTGACAGCTAAATACCAAGACATCACTGGTAGTCTCAGTATCTACGTTCACAGGGGTACAGTACAATCCAAAACAATATCATATAATACCAGAACTTTATTTATCCCCAAAGGGAAAGTCATTTGTCTGGAATCTCATGAAATCTCATCTTCTCTGGTAGGACAGTTCACAAACTATGTAAATCCAGTCAAGGGACAGGAGAGGGTGACATGGTTGAAGTCTCCTGATATTATTTGTATTAGTGCCTCAGGATGTTGAGTCTGTATCCTAGCAACAGTATCATGGAGAATACATGTATGCAAGTATTGTTATGACATGACTAAACTCCCTTGGAACATAATATGGCCAAAGAGCAACTGCCAACAGTTCAACATCTTGACAATACAAATTCTCCTTGACAGTTATGTGTAAAGGGTTACACCATCTCTGGTTGAAAAATAAAGTCAGACTTCCTCCTTTCTTCTTGCCACTAGCTTGAGCATCTCTGTCTGACCTTATGAGAGTGAAGCCAGGTAGATCCACACCGGAGTCTGAGTTGTTTTGATTCATTAGGGTTCAGTAAAACACAGGAGACCGCATTGACAGTATGCTTTCTCAGTCTTCACCAATATCCCCAACTCATCGCTTTTGTTGGGCAGAGAGTTGACGTTTTCCATGATGACTGATGGAAGGAAGGGTTCGTATCTCCACCTTCTAGCATTTAACCTCGCCTTCACCTTTGCACCAGCACAGCAACCACGAAAAGCCTCTCTATGTCCTCTGGGATTGAATGTTGTTGTTGTCCAGATTTGTTCTGTATTCATTAAAGAAGCTCGTCTCTTGAGTAAACTCTTCTCCCACCAGAAAAATCCACCAGAAGCCAACAAAAATATGAAAATTCAGAGAGACCACAATTGTCTGCTCTTCGGTTGAGCACAGGTTCTGGAATCTGATCTCTCTTTCTTTCTCCCTCTGAGTTCAGACACGCTGCCTTAAAGTGCATGATCACATTAATTGAATTCAAAGATGTCACTAAATCAAATCTGTTTGGTTGGTGTTTTATTTTTGTATGCTGACTGATGTAAGTAAGACATTTAAGGCTGCTCAGAGTTCATGTCTGATAGTTGTTCTGGCCAGAATTTCATGCACATCCCTGAAAACAGTAAGCTGTAAAGTTGTACAGCCTTAACAAAGGCTCAAGGTTAATTTGCCTCAATAATCCAAAATATATAACAAAGCAATCACACCGTAGACAAGAATTCTGTGGTTGTTTGTTTTTAGCGCGTGCTTCATTTGACATATCCTGTCCTATGTCCAGGTACTTTGAGGCAGTGCAGTTAAAGGAGCAGAGACGTCAGCAGCGTCTTAGAGGTCACACCAGCTATGACGTGGAGAACGGAGAGTTTCTGTGTCCACTGTGCGAGTGTCTGAGCAACACTGTGATTCCACTATTGCCACACTCACACTCACCTCACCCCAGGTACACACGCACACAGACTTCTGATCACAGATTTACATGTGGGTCAAAGCAAAACTGAATCTCTTTTCTCTGTCTTCTCAGTCTTGATCATCCTGGTCTGGAGTCATGGCTTAAAACAACCAGTCAGCAGATAGCAGCACTTCACTCTGCTCACAGGAAGCAGGCCGGTGGTCAGTCACATAATCTGCTTTGATTTACTTGTTTTTCTTGTAGAGACAGAAAGAAAAACTTAACATTTGTGTACATAGTCTTCCTCGTTGTGTGTAAGTGTAGCAGCGGGTGTCCAGATCAAACTAGAACAAAGTAGAGAGGACCAACTATACAAACATCAAACTTCTGTGTTTCAGATGTCACAGAGGGGGCGGAGGCTGCTGCACCTGAAGGATTCAGAGTCGACTTCACTCCACAGTGAGTCCTCACTTTTGGTATTTCATCTGATCAGTAAGCGGGTTCGAAGTTTAAGCTCCTGTCCCTGAGACCTCAGACTCTTTCTCTTTGATGACGCCTCTGCTGATGAGTAATAGAACAGACTTTGGGCAGGACAGGCAGGTTTTGTGGGTGAATTTTTGAGAGGTAGAATTTTGTCAGTCTCTCAAAGAATCAGTCTGTGACCTAACACTATGTGGACTAAGTAAAGGGATGTGAATACTTCATTGATGCACTGTATGTACTAAATTACAAATCTGAAAAATAGGTTACCTTTAAGCACATTGTGACATAGCTCTAGCTTTGAGTCCACAGAAACAGCTTTATTAAGTAAAAGTATACCCAATATCAGGCAAACAGTTCTTTCACAGACTATTCAGTTCTTTTACACTAAGTGTAGAGTACAGCACACTTATGACAACACACCTGGATAATGCCAGCATTGATGTAAGTCTCTCCCTCAGGAACCCATTCTCCACCAGCATCAACGAGATGATCACCACCTTCAGCATGTCCACCTACAAGGTGGGGCTGAAAGTGAACCCTAATGAGCAGGACCAGAGAGTCCCAGTGTTGATTTGGTCTACCTGCGCCTACACCATCCAGAGTATAGGTACACACACACACACACAAATACAGTGTAAATATATTGATGAGTGCACATCATCAATATATCAATATATTGTAAGCACACCTGAGAGGTCAGGCCATGTTGACTGTTATGATTTCACTACAGAGCGGCTGCTGATGGATGAGGAGAAGCCATTGTTTGGAAGTTTACCTTGCCGACAGGTAAATGTTTTTCCATGCAGGTCAGGTAAAGAGAGACAGTCCTTTTGATCACAAACTGTAAAGATGTCTGATCAGGAACAGCACAGCTGGTTCAAGATGTTTGATCAGACCATCAAAGAGGGTTCATTTTCATCCTCAGTAGTGATACTTTTCATTTTTCCATAAACAGAAAATAAACAGGAGAGTCTGAATGAGGAGAAACTTCTTTTGACCTGTGAACCTAATTGTCTGTGTGTTTCAGGACGACTGTCTGAGCTCTCTCGCCAGATTCAGTGCAGCCTGTTGGACTGCAGCTCCACTCTCAATAATTCACAAACACTTCACCAGACTCTTCTCAGGTACAGACACACACAACAAACATGTATACATATTCCCACATTCGACACACACACACACACACACACACACACACACACACACAGCTCATGCATTGCTGCATTCAAACGAGAGTAACTTGGATCAACAGTTATGAATTTGTAGGGATGTAACGATTCATTTTAACAACAAATCGATTCATATCATGAATTGTGGTTGCCGATTCGATTTAAGGACGGTATTGGTTCATTTAGAGCAATACGAACTGAAACGATTCAGTGACATGAAATTAATTCAGTAAAATTCAACCAGTGTGACTGTGAAATAAATACCTGGGTACTGGACAGTGTAGGTGAAATTTCCTAGGTTCATGTTGTTTCTTGTAAGGGAATCAGATATAAATTAACTATGGTTATAAACAAAGAGGTAAACAGAAAAATAACACCGTATCAAGAATAAAGTGAAACCAACATCTCTTCAGGTTGAATGAACGGTCGGTTTTCCTGCTACTTCTGCTGTTGATTTTCAGCATAGAAATAATACAAACACAATATACACTGGACCACAATGGTGGCTTGATAGTATCTCGCTCGCCGACTTCTCCGCTACCATCAGCCATGCTATGTTTTGCTGTCTTTTGGTGTGTGGTGATCACGTCACACACTGGTAAACTGAATTGAGTAACACTTAACGTTTTTATTATTATTATTATATTATTATTATTTATATAAAAGTAAAAAAAAAAAAAAAACACATCCATGTACAGTCTGCCGTGCTTAAATATTTTGGGTTATTTTCTAGTGTCGATACAATCGAGTGATTAGATTTTAAAATGATGTTAGATCGATACATGTCATCCAGAAGGCCAAATTGCCGAGCACAGATCGATGAAGTTGGATCATAGGAATATAAATCAATACATTGATGTTGTAGATGAATCGTTACACCCCTATGAATTTGTGTTGAAAATGGTGTGTTGTGTGTTTTAGCCCTGGTTCCAGACCCTCAGGTGGAAAACACTCCCTGTATCCTCGACATCGACATGTTTCACCTTCTGGTGAGTTTCTCTTTATATTCAGTTTTAATCACTACAAGTCTGCTCTCGTTTATCAAATCTATCAGTCAACTCAGAAATGTCTTTGTTTTTGTTTTTATTTATTTATTTTTTTTTGGACATTTTTTTTTTAACATTTCATCCATTTTATCTCCAGTGTAAATAAAACTTTTAACTATGGTCATTTCTACTTTAAATTTATATCCCATCTAAATAACTCAGTGTACAATATCCAAATCCAGTGAAATTATGTGAATCTGGTCAATGTTAACATAGAGCTATAATCATCAGTGTGATTTTTAACCCTAACTTTAGAGTAAATCCAACATGAATTCTGTGAACTTTTACTCAAGATACTTTGACAGCTTCGAGCTGTTTACTTGTGACTCATTCAGCCAGGCCACATCTCCGATGGCAAGTATAACAGCCTCAGTGACAGAGCATGACAAACACATAGATACATTAGTATTTTATCTGCTGGTCTCCTGTAGAAATTGTCTGTGTTGTTTCATCATTAAGTATGAAAAACAGCCGTTGAATCACACTATCATAAACACCAGTGGACAGTTGAATCTGCTGGAACAGGACCATATCTCTTTCTGCCTCCATTTTACTTACTTATGAATACATCCAAAAGAATATGTACATTTTTTTTTTTAATACTGCTTTCATGAGATATATTGGTGAAATTTTAAATTAACAGCCCGACTGTCTGACAAGCATGAACAGATGTGTCCCACAACTCCTCTAAATGTCGGCCAGTGTGATCCAGGCAACAGACACTGTGCAACTATAACAGATCCGTTTTACTGTCTGTTTAGTTCAGTTTGAGTGTAGTTAGATGTCAGTATCAATCCAGATTGAATCCATATTGAATTCACTGAGGTGTTTTACTCTTACTCTGTTTTACTCTCGCAGGTGTACAGTGTCTTATCATACAGCTCAGTCAGCAAGTTAGACCAAACAGGACAAACTGGGGTGGACTCTGCTCATCTCCACCTCCTTCACCTGGTAACTGTAGCTCACCTGGTTCAAATCCTGCTCACCTCCACAACAGGTAAGTCACACATTCATACCAACAACACGACAGAGCAGACATACAGTACACAAAAAACACTGTTGACATGAAGTAATACAGTAATTGGTGTTGCTGTTTCCGTCTGTAGAGGATGTGTGTATGGAGCAGGACAATACTGGATCAGAGGAGGAGCAGCTCACATGTAAACTCTACAGCACGATCAGGCAACATCTGGGCAGGTGAGCACACTCACAAATACACCCACACACAAACGTGAGTCACTTTCCACCAGTAAAATTACTAGCTGTTATTCTAAAATGTTGAAATGAAAACAGATGGAAAGACCTGATGAGACAGATATTGATGCATTTGCAGCTGGAATAAAAATCTGAGGTGTGATGTACAGTTCGAGCAGAGCTGAAAGACTGTAATGATCTGGATCAATCAGCTGGTAATGATCAGTGACTGATCATCAAAAGCTACTCTTAAAAATGACTAAAATGAAAAACAAATTATTCAAAGCTAACTTATTTGATAAAATGTAGATAACATTCACCATAAATCCTAAAATAAAGACAGTTATTCAATCTGGAGTCAGGTCATGTATTATGACCAGGATCAGGGCTTTTACAAGTGAAGAAAGGTCATGATTCAGGGTCCAGGCTGCCAATTACTTGTCACAGCACTTACATATTTCCATAATGGAGAGCAAGTTGAGTAAACAATGATCAGACACCAGCCACAAATTCTGTACTGACTTCGGATTGGAAGTGAGCTTCCTTACAGTTTGCCCTTTTTTGTGTTCTGTTGTGTCTGAAATGGGCTGTCAGCCTTTCCTCACTCTGAATCCTCATCCTGACTGTAATAAACTCTGTTCACAGACCAGGAGGAGATAAGGTGGATGAAGAGGGAAAGTCCTACCATTTATTGTGGTGTAGTTTTGTTACAGATGTAACAGATTTCTCAGTTTATAACCAGCTCAACTCCCTAGAGCATTTGTCAGGGTTATGTTCATGTCAAAGAAATATAGATAGACTTTATGTATATAGTAATTGTTGTCTAGATCATTGAACAGTTTGGGTGTGACAAGATAGATAAATACTTCAGGATAGTAATTCAGCTTATGTAAAAATTCACTCTCGCTGTGCGTGGCTGTTAGGTGCAGTGAGTGAGGTAAAATCAGTGGTTAATCTAAGTATGTAAATAACACCTAACCAAAAGGACTATTTGCTCGGCAGAGCAGATTGTGGAGCATTTAAGCTTATGTGCATGCTTTGTGAGAGAGATTATGCCTGTCTGGCTTGTTTGCATAGGTTTAGTGCTTACTTTGTACTGAATTATGAATAATTCTGCTTCTCAGAGTGAGAAATCCTGCCTCTGTGACATGTAACAGTCTGGGACCTTTTGCGATTAAAAGCAAACTGTCGCCCCAGTTTTTAAGGTCAGATTTATGGTGTTAAGTTACCGATGTCGTACCACTTCTTCTCTGTGCTTATACTTAATATCAGTCTAAATAACACACCTTGTGCGCATATTTTGTGTCATTAACGTTGTTTGTTGTTAATGTGAGTATCTCTGTTTGTCCATCAGTGTCTTACCTGAAGTCACCTCCGGGTGGCAGCTGTTTCATTGTGTTAAAGTCGGCATTCTGCCATTCCTCCGAGCTGCTGCCCTGTTCTTCCACTACCTGAACTCTACAGTGCCACCTGCTGATCTGCTAGGTAACTTCACACAATGATTCACACGCACGCAAGCACACACACACACACACACACACACGCACACGCACAACCAGCCACGCATACTAAAATATGCCTGCATACCTAAATAAGACACTCAAAACACAAACAGTCAGACAAATGATCTCCTTCAGATCTCTTTCAGGGCAACAAGAAGAACATCTAATGTTCTCTGAAGGAAAGGAACATATGGAAGTGCTGGTCTGAGAACAGCAACAGATTATTATACACTGGTTTTACACTTTATATTTGTGTGTGTGCGTGTGCGTGTGCGTGTGTGTGTGTGTGTGTTTGTTTCAGTTGCAGGTCCTGGTCAGTGGGAGGCACTGTGCAGCTACCTCAGTCTGCCCTCCAACTTGCTGCAGCTCTATCAGAGCCATCACACACTGCTGGAACCACTCATACACAGGTAACATACACACCTAACACGCTTAGACACACTAAGACACGCACACATAGTAAAGCTGGTATGTGCGTAGTGCCACAATCCTTTAGAGCAGCTTTAGTATTTCAGGGCATGGTCCAGCACAGAGCTCCTACATCTCCCATGATTCAGTTGGGTTGAGATCAGTTGACTGAAGGATTTGTTTTAAAATAGGTGCATCTGCATGTGGTCACAGTTAATAAATAGATAATACAAATGAATAAAAAAGGTTTATTGTTAGTAATCTGAATTAAAAACTTTTTAGAAGAGAGAGTTCCTGTGGCAGCTCTTCAAATTTTGGGGTCTGATTGTGGGGTTTTGGAGATTTTCTGGTCTCACATCGTCATTATCTCCTCTTATGGAGTTAACACAATCCAATTCAGATCTTTCGTTTTCATAAGTAAGTTACTGTAACTCAAACATACAGGGTCTGAACTGCCATTATACATTTCATCTAAGGTGGGATTCCTTTGTGAAAAGGTCAATTTCTCCACAGCACGAGCTACTGTTGGGAGACAAGAAGCTTTGTGTGAAGGCCTCAGAAGATAGCACAGAATTGATTGTCTGCTCTAACTTGATGTGAGAGATATTTTTACTGTTCTTTGTCTGATGAAGACACCACAGCAGCAAAAAACTCTTCTGCTGTACATCACTCAAACATGCACGAAGGTGCGAGGACTTGTTCAGGGCTTCTTGCAGCTTCATGAAAACATTGTAAGCTTCTAGGCAAAATCCTTTATCTCTAACCTTAACAGGCACTCCTGTAATGATGGTTTCACATCACACTGGTAATAAACGTGTACTTTTACTCACTCCCCTGCTTGTTTGAGATGCTCTCTGGGAGCAGAAACTCTCCCAAGGAATGAAGGACTTTTGAAGAATCTGTGTACAATTCAACCACAGGAACTAGGGTCTACATTTAGTTCTGAGATGAAAGGTCTTCTCCATGAAAAGCCCCTCCCTAGGGGTAGTACTTTCTAATGGTCCAGGTGTTTATTGAGGCCAGGTCTGGTAGGTAGAGGGTAGAGGCACCAAAGGGTCGCAGTACAAGAGCTACTATTTCCAATAATCTGATCATATGATTTCACATGAAAATACAACTAACATGCTGGCAATGTTATGTGTGACAGCCTTTTTGTTCCTAATTGAAGAGCTGTGCAAATAACTTAATGTCCAAATACCATCCTTTGATGTCATTGGCCTGATTTGTCTGATTTACTCAGAACTTCAGGCCCTGGTGGAAATGCAGAAAACAGTAGACTACAGGAACCATTTAGTTCCTGAAAGGAAGTCCCTGGAACTTAAAGCTCAGGTTGTTTTGGGTCAAAAAGCACCTTTAATCTACAGTTAAATGTTTATTATTTTAGTCAGTAGCAGAATTATTAGTCTGTTTAACAAGTTATTGATCATTTTTAGTCCTAGACTTGAAATATTGTTATGATACCTGTTCCTTGGATGTGAACAACCACAGGTTCTGGTAGGATTTTAATGTATACCAAACAGATCAACATGTTTCTTGCAGAGTCATCTCTGGATGTTAATCTGCCAGGAGGACTGAAAGTTGGTGGCTCTGACTCTGTTCATGTTATTAGCTACACTTCATTATGTGATTCCCTGTTGGTACATAGTAGATAAATTGTGCTCTGTTTGTCTGTGAAGCTCATCTTCTAACAAACAAAACAAGCAGTGCATCTGCTCAGTAAGGCAGCGGCAGCAGAGATTCACTATCGGAGGGTTTAATGAAGCACATTCCACACTCTGGTATTTGGGTGGCAGACCTCAAATGTTAGTTCTGCTCTGCGTTTAGGTAGTTTTTTTTTTTTTGATAACAGCCCAGCTTACAAACAGTCCATGCCAATTTGGATTCATTTGCTGCCAGTACATCACGCTAAGAGGCCACAAGACTCAGTGTGTGTGTGTGTGTGTGTGTGTGTGTGTGTGTGTGTGTGTGTGTGTGTGTGTGTGTGTGTGTGTGTGTGTGTGTGTGTGTGTGTGTGTGTGTTTGCATGTGCATGTGCTCCACAGGTGGTGTTCTCATCCAAGTGTGAGACAGACGCTGCAGGGGAGCGGAGTCATAATCAGGTTCCCTAGAGTGTCGAATCGACTGATCGAACTGCCAGAGGATTACAGCATCCTGATCAACCAGGCTTCAAGCTTCACGTCAGTACTACACCACTAGACAGACAGACGTTTTACCTCTCTGGCCTGTACCTTTTACTTCTCATAGACATGTAGGGCTGCAACTAATGATTACTTTAACCCATTAAGACCTGAACCCTGTCCGAGACACCTCTCTGAAATCCTGAGGGCCATTTTAAGAAGGGCCCCCAGGTCCTGAGGTTTTCTGAAGTGTTGAGGTTTACAAAAAAGCTGATATCTCGGCCTCTGTAGCAGATAGAAACAAAATTCAAAAAGTATTTGAGAGCTTACACATGTGGCTTTTAAGATCACTACCTTTAATTTTTCCGAACTCTAATCACATTGTTGAAACCCTTGAACAAACAAACTCATATGAAATAAAGCGGCTGTTTAAATAAAAGTAAAGACTCTGCACTGGAGAATAACAAACAATTTGCTTTTTATAAAACAAGTGGCAGTCATGATAAAGTTTCCATTCAATACAAATGTAAATATAAAAATAAGGTGTTGAAAGGGTATACAGCTGCCATCATACAGTGCCAGTACAAAAGTCAAGACAGCTGCTTGCCGTGGTCTGCATGATGTCTTTCCCACCATGATTGTCGGCTGTTCTTTTCTGAAATGAGAAAGACAGTATAGTATTTATTATATATTAGTTTTATAGTATTATATTATATATTATAGCACTATTTACGTCAACTCAATTCATTTTCTTTGCACTATAAGGTTAAGGCAAGCAAGTAGCCCAATGTGCAATTAAACACAGCACACACACATATTGTATTTGGGTGTACACACTTTAACCACTGTGTTGTGTCCACATGAAAATGGAAAAATTTTAATAATCATAATCAAAATCATTATAATAATCATTAAATTATTACCACCATTGCGTGCAAGTTAGATTTATTTATAAAGCACATTAAAACACTGCGTAAAATAATTAAACTGAAGTAAAAAGTAGCAGACACACACGCGCGCGCATCCTCTATCACTGTCACTAGCCAGCTGACAAGTAAACTGCAGCATCAGGCGAGCTACCTAGGCTATAGTAGTGACTTACCCTGCTGTTGAGCTCCCTTTATCTTCATCGATGACTCCAACATGTTGTGCGTTATCATCACTGTGGTTCTCCCGTCCGTTTGAATAGCTGTTGCAAAGCTTGCATGTTAGGATTTTTTTTTACCTTAGTAAAGCATGAAGTGTTCCCAGACTTTTGAGGACTTGAGTCAAACCGTTCTCACTGCATCCGCCATTAGTAGAATTTACTTAACTTCTGTAAGTACTGCCTCTGCCTCGCTGCGTTCATCTCGCTCTGCAGGTTGAGTTAACAGCTGGCTCCGCATCGTGGCGGGTGAGGTAGGCCTGGACGATATAGAAAAAAAGCATATCGATAAAAAATAAATCATATTGATCGATATCGATAATTATTGATATAATTACTATAATTATTTAACATATATTTTAATTGCAGCCCTGGATGTTTTTTGCTATTGCTTAATGACCTACTTTTAATAAAGAACACACAAGCACTGAATTCAAATTCAAACCTTTATTCAACCACCTTTTTTATTTTACCACAACTGAAAGTTTTTTAAAAAAGAACTAAAAAAAAAAAAAGAAATCAACTTAAGTGGCCTGAGTGACGACAGTAAATACTGACAAACATAAAGACTAAAGTGACCAGAAAATCTGATAAATAAATATTTAAATAGTCTTTTGATGAAAATAAACAAAACAAACAAATATATAAATAAACAGAATAGCTTTAGGTGGGAATAGCATACTACCAGTTTTAACTGTGTGGGAAACTGCCCACAGCCTGGTGTCTGAACACTGAAATATTTCTCCCGGGGTCGGGAGATTTATTTTTTTTTAATTATCATGTGATTGACTTAATACACAAACTAAGCACGAGAAGCAGGACTTATCCACGCCGGTGTTGTGTCGTAGAATGCACCCCTGCCGAATGTACCCCCTGCTAGTAGCCATGATCCAAATACTCGCGTCTTTGTAAAATATGAGCTCATTTTCTTCCACTTTAAGAAGCTAATGAGTGGACGGGATGCAGGGGTGCATTCTACGGTACAACACCGGAACGTATTTCCTCCGCACCCTTCTCACCTTCTCAACCCCTGACCCATTTTCATGCCTGAAGCGCTGTGTTTGAGAAATACTTGCGGCCGGGCACTTCATATCGCGGGTCGAGAGTGGCTAGAAGCTGGTCGAAGCCAGGCTTTTCAACGGTAGTTATTGGCAGTATGTCCCTCGCTATGGAGCATGTTACTGCATGGGTGATGTCCTTATGCCGCTTGGACGCTTTGTCGTATTTTGGGAGAGAAACAAAGTCCAGTTTGGTCTGCTTCACATGCTTTGTGCTGGTGCTGGCAGCGGCTCCAGAGGATTCCTCCTCCGACGACGACGTGGAGCCGCGGCGCGGCCGACACAGCTCGTACTCCTGCGGGTGCGATCGGTTTAGATGGTAAAACAAGTTGGTTGTGTTACCAGACTTGGTTTTTACTAATTCTCTGCAAATTTTGCAAACGACCGCTGTTCGCTTTTTGTCAGACTTCTAAAAACCAAAACATTGCCATGCTGGTGAACTACTGAAACCTTTTTTCGGGACAATTTCCTCCGCTTCTCCTTGCTGTATCATTTTTTCTCATACACGTGCTGTCTGTTGTGGTTTGAGAGGGGCTGGGCTTGGTGCCATAGCGTACCTGGGTCTGCGTTTGTGATTGGTTGGGAGGAAGTAATGACTGTAGTAAAAGCTACATGATAGGCTATGATGAAAAAGAAAGGGAAACTGTGTTTTTCTATCGAACTTTTTATCGACCCGTTTTTTTTCTATCGCACCACACGTCTATCGATCGATATATATTGTTATCGAATTATCGTCCAGCATCGTGGCGGGTGAGGCATAAATTGCACGACACAGCAAATCAATAATGAAATTCATTGCTGACACTTCTAATAATCGATTTTTATCGGTTTTATTGATTAGTTGTTGCAGCTCTATAGACATGCATTCAAAAGTCCAATCTGAATGACCTCACTCTTGATTGAAGATAAAATGACTCCTGTTTGTATACCACAGTAACATGAGTGTGTTACTTTACCTATGTGACCTCTTTGTTTTATGTGCAGGTGTCCACGGTCAGGGGGGGACAAGTCTCGAGCTCCCACCCTTTGTCTGGTCTGTGGCTCCATGTTGTGTTCTCAGAGTTACTGTTGTCAGACAGAGGTGGATGGGGAGGATGTTGGAGCCTGTACAGCTCACACTTTCACCTGTGGAGCCGGCCTGGGCCTCTTTCTCAGGTAAATTGCCAAATATCACCTCCCATCAGGATGCTAAATGTTCACAACCATGGAATAATGTCATGCAGATGAATCACATTGCTATCCACTGTGCTGAGATGGCGATGAGCCAAAGATGTCTGACATGTTGTGCTTTCATAAAATACCCTTTCATCACACATGTGGATATTATTGACATGCTGTTTCTATCCTTACATGGTTGAAAAAAAAAAAAAGCTCATTTAAACATTTCTTACTGGAGACTCTGAGCACCTTTGGCCTGCTGCCTCTTTATTTAGGTTTTTGTAATAAAGAATATGGAGGTAAAGGGCCTTTTCATCCGAACTGTATGGAACTAAACTGGTAAGCAGTCAGAGGACACTCTGATAGGGAGCACCAGGTTTCATTCACTAACTATCATTGGGACTTAATTTGTTATCAAAACACACTTAATGTCCCACTCTGAATGTTTTTTTTTTTTTTTTTTGGGGGGGGGGGGGTTACTACTTAAAGTGTTATCAGTGGTTTTTAAATTGTGATTATGAAGTTTTTAGCCAAAATCACGTTACCTGTGTCATTTTTAAGGACTTTTCTTCTGCAGAGCCTCAGTAGCTCATTAGCAATTCGCCTCTGAGTCGTGGGCAGAGACAGCGCTGCTCTGCACACTCCTCTTCACGCTAGCTTGCAGCCTAACATTACCGGTGTAGTAGAGGTGGCAGGTAATATAGGAGCTATTTAGATCTCAGACACCAACGACTTTGGGGGCATGATAAACAGTGACAGCATAATAAGCTTTCTTACTAGCATTGCAATCCTCTACCACACACACTTGTGTCTGAACCTGCCGTTTGGGTCTGCCAGAGGTTCACAGCGATTTGAATGCAGAAAATGCAATTTTGCACTTCCTTTTCTCATGATATGCCCTCTAGCATCGGAAAAATGCCATACGAACATGTGAAAAACAAGAAAACAGGATTTTCATCAGAGTGGGTCTTGAAGATGTTTTAGGATGATTCTGACATTCAGCAGTTTTATTATAATTTCTTTTTATCTGCAGAGAATAAACTCTAACAGCCAAAAACACACTTTCACACATCTGAAGGCTTATGCATTAGGGCAAACTTAGTTAATATTGTGTTTTCCTTCATTTAACATCTTTATAACATATATATATTCACATGAGTACAGTATTGAGATTGGATCAGCTGTCTTTTTAATCAAACAATGTTTGGTCTTAAAAATGTTGAATTATGAATGTAAACTTTGTCACTGGGCTCAAATGGAATAGAAAATATCAGAATCTGCATTCTTGGCAGGACTTACAAACATCAGACCTTACATTTCGAAATAACATGTTCAAGCTTACATAAGAGAATTACACGATCTGAAATAATACTATATGTGAAAAAGAAGACACTTATGTACGCTTAAAGTAACCAACTTTTTTTTAAAGTTATTTCATTTATTTTTTTTTTTTAAGTAACTTTTTTTAACTAGCTGATATTTTTATGTCAAATCCGGTACATTTTCAGAGAACTGTTAGGATAAAGTCACTATCAAATTGTCTCTTTATATTTTAGATCATGTTTTTTCTATTTCACTTCAACAGATGTGTATCCTCTCTGACTACTGTCAAGTCTTTTTAATGCCAGCCCTCTGTACAAGACCGACAGTATCGATCATAGTGTGTCTGCTTGTAAACAGAGTACAGCTTGATTAATGACCCTTATGTATCACAACATTTAGACGTTATGTTGGCATAGTAACAGACTGTGTGTGTTTCTGTGTGTGTGTAGGGTCAGAGAGAGCCAAGTGTTGTTCGTAGCAGGTAAAACTAAGGGCTGTTTCTATCCTCCACCATACCTGGATGACTACGGAGAGACAGACCAGGGTCTAAAGTAAGTGTGATTGGAACCAACTGCGTGGTGGTGGGAGTGAGCATTAAGTGGACTCTTTCTACCTGTTTGTTTTGCGTGTGTTAGTAACTTAGAAATTAGAAACTAATTTGTGTGTGTGTGTGTGTGTGTGTGTGTGTGTGTGTGTGTGTGTGTGTGTGTGTGTGTGTGTGTGTGTGTGTGTGTGTGTGTGTGTGTGTGTGTGTACTTTCAGGCGAGGGAACCCCCTCCACCTGTGTTCGGAGCGTTACAGGAAGATAGAGCGTTTGTGGCGTCAGCATGGTGTTGCCGAGGTCATTGGTCATGCTCAGGAGGCCAATCAGACACTAGTTGCTATTGACTGGCAGCACCTGTGATGTTCAGCTCTGCACATGCTCAGAACTGTGGCTGGTGATTGGCGGTCCACATTCGCCCTGCCTCCTCTTTAAGACAGCTCCTCCTCGACTTATCAGCTTCCCAGCACTGAGCTCAGATCAGCTTTCAGGGATTTTTTGGGGACTTCTGGCTCTTTAGTTTCAGTTTAATGGAGGGGTCTTACCTTTGACTTTTTACCGAGGTGAGAGAGGCAGTAAAACTGACTCCTTCGGGCTTTCAATGTCGGGAAGTTACAAAAGCGTCCATGAGAGTTTTAAATAAAGTTTTTCTTCAATTATAAATTAGATCTGGGAAAGGATCTGTCAGTCTGTAGAAACCAAAGTGCTGCAAGAATGAAATAGGAAATCCAATACCAGTCCCATCAACCTGCTGCAGTAAATCTAAGATTGATTAACAGACTACTTAAGACTGTTAATCTCTACTTTTTACAAAGTTGTTTGCTCTTGACATCATGGAAAGGTGGCCTTTTTAAACCTCAATGTCATTGCATCCACCCGCAGCAGCTGAGGCTCATTGGTTTTGTCATAATTAGAGAAGGAAACTTCAGTGATTGATTAAAGATATATTACAAATATGAACAAGTCTGCAGTGATTGGCTTACACAGAAACAACTTAGGAGCACAATATCTTATCTTGTTCATTGCTTAGACAATTTTGTGTTGCGTGTAAGGGTAAACTGGGTAAACAGTCTACAGATGGCAGAGATCTGGTCCTGTAGCAGCTTTTATTCAGATTCCTGACACTCAGTTTGAAGTATTTTCCTAACTACAGCTCCATGAGTTCTGTGTGTGTGTTCTGCAGAAGATTGAAGCATCTTGAGTCATCGGTGGGAAGAGGAAAATAACATACAGTCATATGAATCATTTGTGTCTTAATGCTCATTTTGACAACATATCAAACTACATATCAGAAGCCTGTGTTGTTAACAAATGATGGATCATATGTCAGCTTTAGTTTTAAGTTTAGTCGGTTATTTTATTTTTATTTTTTTAAAGAGACTTTCTGCTTCTCTGTGTGATGTCTGTTAAAATGGGTTGAATGGTTTTCTTTTTTTTTAAATGTAGTTTGTGATGTTAGATTCAGACATCTTGAACAAACAGACACATGAATCTCCTTCAGGTATTTATTTATTTATTAGTGTGAAATAAAAATATGGTTTTATTTTGGAGACGTTGAAAAGCTTCAAATCACTAAGTTTCCTGTTTCAAACTTTCTACCCATCTGAGTTCACATATGAAGAGGAGATCAACAAATGTTCACAGCATGTAGGCCTGTTCGCTCTGCATTACCTACCACAGCTGACTTGTTAATATGTGAATTTTTGTAAAAATGACTTGTGTACATTATTGTATAAGAATAACAAAACAAATAAAAACTTTAAAAGAACTTAATTTTGTTTTGCCTTTGTTTGTTTTGTTTTATTATTGAAGGTTCACCCTCTGGGGATCTGATAGCCAATGAACTTTAGAGACCTCTAAACATTTATAATAAACTGAAATCAAAATGAAAATATTGGACGAAATACTTTCTGAACAGGTGCAATCTGTGAGTGCAGTTTGGCTAACTTGCTTTAGTACTATTGTGTCAAACAAGACAACAGGAGTGGACTGTGCCAACCAAGCAGCAACCCCAGGTCTACAGGAATAAAGCTGATGCAGAAGTGCTAAAAGCTGCAGTTCCCAGAGTGTCCACTGAAGGCTGTCTGCAGAAGCACCATAAACCACATCCACACTGGACCAAAAAAGCACATTTTCACAATTGTTTGGTTTTGTATTGTGTTGGTCTCTAAGTTATAAGGTTAAGAGGTGGGTGAACCACATCACAAAATGATGGGTAACTTCATTTGTTTTTTGTTGCTGCCCTCTCTGTTGAAAATATTTAGACTTTTTGAACATTGCTGCACTCTTGAATGTCACTTCTTCAACACGGACCATGAGGATCATGACAGGGAACGACACCAGATAATGCTCTTATCAATGACAAAGGTGGAGGTCCTTACAGGAAAGAGAAGCTGTGTCCAGTTTCAGGGGCAGCAGCTTTTAAAGGCAGGATTTGAAGAGTGAATGTATAACAATAATGAGTCAAAGTCTTTCCCTTTTTAATAACTCCTCCAAATACTACCAGCAAATTTTTCCTTCTTGACAGGACTGTGGAGAATACTAAGGGCAGTCTGGCTTTCCCTGTGGTTCTTTGCATGTAAAAGCATGTAATCCTCCAAAGGGCAGACCGTCTCAGTCTTAATGGTCCCAGCAGGCAACAACAGCCAAAATTGTCTTGTAGCAGTTTTTATTGTATTTATCCAAATGACAAGCGAATAGGAGCCAGTGAGCATAGCATTGCATGATCATTATTCATCTTAAGTAGTGCTGTTTTTGAGTTTACCATCTTGCAGTGCACCAGTGTGTGCAATTATACACCAAGCCTCCGCTGCTCCACTAACTAACCATCAGAAAGTGCTGAGAACTCACAGGAAAACTGTTTATATGCAGTGTAGTCGTACTCAGCATGTGCAGCGTAATAATGCAGTGGACACATTGTTTGTTTGGCCCATGGTCCTAATCAGAGTGTTGGGTCTGTGCATGAGAAACAATCTGGTACATAAAACCGCAAAGGATGATGACCAAATATCCCAATACAACAATCACTCTGGATTTCCAGTCTGACTCACACCCCTAGTCAGAAGATCAAGTTTTTGATCAAGCTGTTTAGGATGTAAACCTGTATTGAGGTCTAAGAGCCTTATTGAGGGGTCTGATTCAGGTGATCACAGAGAAGGAAATTCATAAAAAGTGTGTGATCCATGTCAAATCTGTTTGTGAGAATGGTACTAAAGGAGGGTTGGGGTCCTCATGGAGTTTTTATTGTGTGTATCGATGTGGTACAAAGGGACAACAATAAAGACTAGTACTATGGCGTATTGACCGATTAGAATCATTCATACATACATTATCATTATCATTGATATCATTGAGAATTTCCCAGTTTGGGATCAATAAAGTATATCTATCTATCATGGCTATGGAACAGCAACATAAAATGTATAAAAAAAAGATATCTCTCCTTTTATTTTTCACGTGTGACCATAATTGCTTTGATTCTGACTGTGTGATTGGGTGAAAAAGTGAAGGTGTTACCCCTGCAGGTCTTTTTTGCTGAGTGGAAAAACCATCACCTTATCTCTTCTTGCTCTTCCTGTGGCGGAGGCCCACTTGCATAGTGCTGAGGCAGGCAAACTTCCCTCGATGGTACTGAACTTTGAGCTGTGACAGGCAGAGAGGGTGAAAATGCTGCTTAACATCAAACCAATTAGCAGTAAGTCGGAGGATTAGAGGCAGCAGCTGATCTGCTGTTAATGGGATCAGAGCTGATCAGAGGTTTGGGATGACAAGTTGCAGCTCACTCTCAGTTGCACCTTTTCTTCTTCAAGAAAAATATTAGCGTTGAGGAGCTGAGGTTCAAAACAGCAAGTTTATGCAATTATTTACTTATTATTTAATGGCAGACCCGTCTGCCCATTCATCAGCATGGACTGTCCTGACCTGCAGCTCCGAAACATGGGTCTAAAACCAGGAGTTCAAGCGGAGTCGCATTCAGCTGCTTTTCTCTGGGATCAATCAAAACTTTAAAACTCGGACGTATTCTCATTTGGTTGCCAAACGAAACCATTTTCTAACTGATACCTGGTTTTGAGTGATTGTTTATTTTCATTGAGTCTTTCTTTACTTTACGGTCAAAATGCCGTTCATGCCGGTGAAGTTCAACCTGCAGAAGCGGGTGAAGCTGGCACAGGGTCTGTGGATGATCTACTGGCTCTCAGTCATCGTGGGGATCCTAATCTTCAGCCTCGGTATCTTTTTCAAGATCGAGCTGCGAAAAAGAAGCGAAATGATGGACAATGATGAGAGTCACTTAGTGCCCAACCTGCTGATCCTGGTTGGTTTGATTTCCTGCGGGGTCAACGCCTTTGGAGGAAAGGTGTGCCATGACTCTCTGGACCCGGTCAAATTCACCAAGTGGAAGCCAATGTTGAAGTCTTACCTGCTGATGTGCTGCGGCTTCAATGGCCTGTTGCTGTTGACGGGGCTGCTCTGCTTCCTCATGCAGTTTGCCATGTACCTGACACTAGCTGAGGGCCTGAAGAACAGCATCAAGTTCTACAAGGACACGGACACACCAGGACGCTGCTTCATGAAGAGGACACTTGACATGACACAGATCGAGTTTCGTTGCTGTGGGAACAACAACTTCAGGGACTGGTTTGAGGTGCAGTGGATCAGCAACCGATACCTGGACATGAGCAACGACCTGGTCAAAGAGTGAGTACACCAACAGATACTTGCACCCAACCAGCAGAAACAACTAAGACAGCTGAGCTACCACTACTCAAACTGGCCTATCCAGACTGGTTAAATGATGAAGCAGCAGGGTTGTACATCACCTTAGACTATTTACTACAGGCAAAATCAAACATCATTGAGATCAAAACTAAGATGGTTAAAGAGTTCACATTGAGCTGAGAAACTGGCGTGATACATATACTTGACATTTACTCAAAATATTGAAAGTTGCAGGACTCACCACAGCTCTAACTTTTCATTAAAGTTATCTAAGGCTGTCCTCTCTGCATTTGGCCTCTTTTTTTAACTTGAGGTCATGGAGAGCACAAACTGGGATCATCTCTGAGCTTCCTAATGAGAAAAGCCTTATTCAGACCTCCGGCACCCGAGTGGGGGGAGTTTTTCAGCTGAATCACAGAGAGCCCACTGAGAGAGTTTTGTTAAAACGGGTCAGTGGAGGATAAATGAGGGAATTAAGTGGGTAAAAGTTACCATGCAGGAGGTCGATGCACTGGCTTCCCCTTCTTAAGTCTATAATCTGTCAGGATCTTATCTCAACCGAGCTGCAGCTTACATGACAAGGTTAAACAAACCTTTCGTCTCGTGGTGCAGGAGCTTCAGAAAAACGCATTTCTAACAAAATGTGCTCATTACAAACACAAAAAGCACAAGTCCTTTAATTGGAGTGATCTCCAGCTCACTGTCAGGAACATGTCAGGCTGATTGTTGCGTGTTACTGTGTCCTGTTTCTGTGCTAATGCACTTAAGAGATATTACTCTCTCTTTGAGATGATTATTTCCTATCATCCAATCTTAACCCCCCTGTCAGCCACGCCCACGCCCAGGAGTTATTTCTGTCCGTCACTGTCAGGAGGGTCTTTGGGCTCAATGTATGTGGTGAAGAATAAAGATCCAGATTGACTGTTTAGTTGAATTAATCAGGGTTTATTTTTAGGGTCAGTCCACAGTCACATGCATTACCTTAACCCTCCTTAAAAACCACAATTAGCTCCAGAGTAATACTTTCCCCCTGTGCTAACTTAAAGATCTTCTGCTCATATTGACCTGCTGAACTTTGCTGACCCGACATTCCTCTCAGTCTGAGATCTACTTTGTGTAAACCATGTATCCCCTTTGGATTACTTCACACTTGAGTTAAGGAAATCTTTAAATCTACACCAAGTTTAGTCGACCCCCATAGCTTGCTCTGCAGATCCTGCTGCTCCATGTTCCCTAAAAGGTCAGTTTCTCTCTGGTCATGATGACTGTAAACGGTGTTGTGATCATGTTTTACGTAACTTGCTGGTCTCCATTTTCCTGCCATCTTGTGTTTACGGTATGCATCATAGTTCTATTCTGGGACTTCACCATTTTCTATACATGTATATAAGCTGTGATCATATACTGTTTGCTGCCTTAATTATTGCTAATGAAATGATCAATACAGGAAATAGCAGTAAATGTATTTTTTTCTGAGGGTAGTACCAAAGACAAGGTAAGGGGAAGAGTGTCAGTTCATAGAGATAGTTCCCATTTTTTGTTCGAGGTCAGTCAGTTTACCACAAAACCTACCCTGATGGACATTTAGCAGCGTCTCTTCATTCGGAGTCCCTCCCACAGCAGGCTGATGGGTCAGAAGCCCAGGACGGCCCACTTTCTTACTTTTACTGTCATATAGCTGTGACTCAGTGTGTCTGACCTTCTGACCTCACTATAAAGTCCAGTAACATGAACTGTAAATGTCTGTCCTGCAGTCGGGTCCTCAGTAACGTGGAGGGGAAGTACTTGATGGACAGTGTACCGTTCAGCTGCTGTAACCCTGGTTCCCCTCGACCCTGCATCCAGCACCATTTGACCAACAACTCCGCCCACTATGACTATGACCACCGAATTGAAGAGCTCAACATCTGGACCCGTGGCTGCCGTGAGGCCCTCTTCTCTTACTTCAGCAGCATGATGTCCAGCATTGGAGTGCTCGTCTTTGCAGCCATCATCCTGGAGGTAAAGATCCACCCACAGCCAATCTGCTTCAACACCAACCTGGGCTTTCCCTATCCTATGAAATCAGTCTTTTTTTCTCTCTATGAGAGTGTCAGAGGGATACAACCTCTCATATCGGCACAGAGTATTAGGAGCTACAGCTCGCAGCTGAAAGGTGTGGCTTTACATTGGTACACAGATTGAGTGTATGGAGAGCTGGCGTTGTACCATGATCTTAGTGATCTGGAAGCAACTATTCATTTTTGAACAGGATGTTTTGAACCACTATGTTTTTGACAATGACCAGTAACATACTGGAGCCTCAGATGTGACTGGGACACAACCAGTTAACTTAATTGTTCAGGCGAGCTCTGCCTCACCTGCTGTCATCTCTAATCGGTGAAGAGTTTGTCTTAGAGGTGAATGCAGGATATGCTCTCTGCTTAATCTTCAGATTTTAAACAAGATAAAGGGAGCACACCTGCAGTAAATCAACCTTAAATGCACCAGGTTAACTGCATAATTGATTAGCAAGTGATTAGCATTAGTGTCGGGGGAGCTGCTCCTCATGGCAAACAAAACCAGAATAAGCTCCACAGACCTCCCACAATGAGACTCTGTCTGGATCACCTGTTGATTCATCATACAGTTTAAATGACATTTATTTAAAAATTTCAAAATTTGGTCAAACTGTGTGAAAACTGTGTTCATTTATTCATAAGACTTAAAAAAAGAGAGATATCTGGGCCTGATCTGGTACACTTCTATCCGCTCTTCATAAAGTCATTCAGAAGGACATTTTTCCTCAGTTTGAACTCTAAATTGTAGACACTGCACCTCACTGTTCCATGTCAGTGTTCCGATTAAAACATCAAACTGTTACAAAGTTGGTGATGTGAACTGGTGAAAGTGGTTTCAGAGTTGATTTAGGACTCAGCAGTGGATCAGCTGCTGAGGCCATGGGGCGCTAAGACCGTTGGTTAGGCTCACTGAGGATCAGGAACTATTTTGGGGGGGTTAATCTGCCCACAGCAGCAGCAGGTTGCATTCTGGGAAGATCAGGATGAGGGACAGTTCCTGACAGTGAAAAGCAATTTGTTATTAGGGTCAGAACAACAAGTTTGACCTGAAGAGTCACGACAAGCAGCGGATTTACGAACAACATCCTGAACTCAATCACTCTGTTTATATGCTGCTGTTGCTATACTATGTTATAGCTTCGTAAACTGCAGTTCCTCACATAACCACTTGAGGCTGGCTCTGAAGGTGAGTCAACCATCAAAGAGCCTTGTTTAAAATCCAGACAGAAATCAAAATGCTCACAACTTTGGTACAAAAGGAATTAGGGATGGACTTTCACTTATTTAAATGACATGATCTTGGCTTTACTCATCTAATCATTAACAACTCCAGTCAGCAACCGCAGTACAACAGATTTTAATCGGTAGACTGTAAATAACTAAAGAAATGAGAGATTATATTCTCGTGAGAGAACAGCATCAAAAAGTGGTGCTGCTGGACTACTGTGCCTTTTATACCCAGCATGCATTGAGATAGCTGTTTTCTTTTTTGAGTACCATCTTCAGGGTCAAGTACTGGAACCCGATAAAATAATCTTTATCATATTTGACATTTTAGAGGCTGAAATAGCTAATAAATATGTGATTCATGGACCAAATATTCCAGCAATTAGCCCGTTAATTAGTCAGCAACAGGCTTAGACTATTAATTTAAAGTACATATTCCACAGGATCAGTGTTAAGTGCATTTCCTTAGAGTCGCGTATCACGCAGCAAATACGTCCCATTCTAACCAATGCAGCATCGCGCACAGGAAGCGTCTCTGTTATGTCTTAGAAGCTGCTCTGCTAAAGGTACGCCCTAAATCTGTTTGTTTGCTGCTCTGCGCTTCCAACACGAGTCAATCTACACAGAGAAAATGGACAGGATGTCAAGTACAGAAACCGCATCTGGTAAAATTCCAAACTGTAAAATTACATTGCTTTTTCACATAGAGTAGAGGCTCAACAGTCACAGAATAAAATCCAAATTAGCAGGATATAGACCACAGAAAGGCAAACTAAGCTGCTGAGAGCATGTTCTTCCCTCTATACTGGGCCCAGGGGCTGCACTACGCTGCTGCTACACTCCAAACACGAATGTGCTCAAAGGGGATCCTCTGGGTTATGGACTTAATACCACAGACATTATTCACCAACATCTGCTAAGCTCCACCTTTTTGTCTAATGTGGTTACATCTGGCACATAATAACAAAACAGGGACACCCACTTTCATCATAAAACAAAGAGTTAAATTGTGTGAGCGCATCAGAAAATGCCTGATACCACCATAATGTGCAGTAGTATGTGATCTGTGTGCAGATCACATAGTTAAGTGATTGTTTTCAATGAAATCATCTCATTTCAGAGGAAATCTGGTATTATGAGCTGCTCTAAAACAGTAGCCAACACAGCAGAAAAAAAGCTGCTTTAATCAGAACTGCTAGTTCTGATTAAAGTGCTGTGAGGAACTTTCAGTCTGTGTCAACACTGGCGCCACCTGTGGACAAAACAGTCTGTGCTTACCTCTTTCTCTATATGCTCAAGTAGTGGCTTTTGACAAAAAATCTCATCCTGCTGATGCTTGACACTCAAAAGTATTATTTTCTGTAATTATTTTATTTGGAACTAATAAACTTTTTCTGAAAATTTACCCCCTAAATTAGGAGTCAGTCCAAGAGGGGAGCTCTTAGGACTGCAGTGAGAAGATCTTATTCACTCATAAATCCCATGGCAGCAGCAAGCAGGAGCACTGAAGAACTGGTGCAGGATTTTACATCAGTCACAACCTTGCTCAGTTAAGCAGTCAGGGAGGATTGCAACACGAAATAGTACCAGAATATCTAAATTTCTAACTAAAGTGACCAATAGAGTTCAGCTGTGTGGTCCTTTTCTGTTTTTGAGCTGCTCAGAGCTCCAGCACAATACGGAGTGACACATCTTCATACACTGGTGCCAAAGGCTGCAGTGCAAAGCGCCAAGCTGCTCAGGAGCTTTTTAATCAGTCACAGACTTTCACACATTGATGGCTGTGCCTTCAGAGGTGACATACAGTTCACTGTTTTGCACAAGGACACAGTGAACAAGCCAGTGTGCCAAACCACAGCTGCTTCAGGGTGAGAGATGTACTTGGAGCAAAGGTCAAGAGTCAATAGAAACTAATTTGTGTGTGTGTGTGTGTGTGTGTGTGTGTGTGTGTGTGTGTGTGTGTGTGTGTGTGTGTGTGTCAGTCCGTGGACATGGCTGGGCTGAAGTACCTTACCACGGCCCTTGAGACGATGGAGGACCCAGAGAACCCGGAGTGTGAGAGCGAGGGCTGGCTGCTGGAGAAAGGCGTGAAGGAGACGTTCGCCGAGTTCCTCACCAAGATGAAGTCTCTGGGGAAGACCAACCAGGTGGAGGAGGGAGGGGACGCACAGGAGGCCACCTGAGAGCCCTGTCCCCCTCACAAAGGACTGAGGTGTCCCTCCTCTCCCCCCTGCCTCCACCCAAACCTCCCATTGATAACAGGGAGCAGGAGAGTAGAGGTCTCCTTCACCATCTGTTCATAAGCCATTTTACATGAGTTTCAATATCACAACACATGTACTAGTCTAACAAATACACACACACACACACACACACACACACACACACACACACACACACACACACACACACACACACACACACAAACCCAAAGTGAACAAGCTGTTTTAAGTAACTGTGAATGTTTTCCATTCTGTAAATATGTTGAACAGAGTTTATTTTTAAACCAGAGGAACAGAAACCTACTGCTGTAAATAAGATGCCTGGGTTTTAAATTATTATTGAATACAAAGTTTTAAATTTGATCATCCCCCTCCTCATCCTCCACCACCCCCAAAATACTTTTACTCCCTGTTAGACACCAACAGGCCTGAAAGTTTGAACATCTGTTCTTACTGGAGCCGACGTCAACACCTCAGCACTGATCTGACATCAGCTGCTTCACTCCTCACTCAGGTATCAAACATGCTGAGGTCAATTAGAGACTGTCCACAGTTTGTCTAGCAGACAACACAGACATGATTTTCAACATTATTCACTGAAAAAAAAAAAAAAAAAAAAAAAACAGTTTGATTCCTGCCAAACATATTTGTTTATGTCAAAAGAAAAACCTTTCATCATCAGCTGTTATACATCACAATCTGTGTGTCAGGCTATCGGTCACACTCTGGTCTTTACTGTCTGACTCTGCCACGCCTTGTTGACATGGAAACAGACGGCCAAACATCTGGATAAACAAGAGGTGGATATGTAGAGGGATGCAGGTTCATTCGGCTTGACAAATTTACTGATACTTTTTATACGAGGAAATTTTGTTTAAGATAAGATTGGAAGAACTTTATTGACCCCTGAAGGGGAATTCTACAATTTTTATGTCGAACAGAAAAAATTCAGTCTTTACATCCATGATTTGTTGGTTGACTAGCTTATCCTAACATCAGTTACCTAAATGTGATTTGCAGAGCGTGTGGGGTCAGGGCTGAGCTTGCAGACTGAGTTTAGGGGGAGATTGTCCAGCTGTGGCCGTCTGCTTCCCTGTCAGAGTGAAGCTGGTTCAGACTACAACATGAACTTTTTTATACTGGAGCACCACAGCCAAACCAGCACACCAGCTTTGATGAGAAAGTTTACTATCAGACTGTACCTCAGTGTTCAGTCTTTACTCAGTCTGACTAACAGGAAGCTGCATCAGAGATACTGTGTCTGGGTTTGGTCTGTGTGCGGTTAAACAGAGGTAACGTCAGATAAGCTGTAGAGTTATTACACAGTATCTCAGTTTTCTGTGACAGCTTGTTTTGTTTTGTTTGTATGTTTTTTCTCGTTATACGGACAGTTGTAAAGTTTTCAGCCAGTTGTTGTGGGTCGGTCGGAGCTTGTAGTCGCTCTGCTGTGTATGATAATATCTATAAAGAGATTGAGAATGACACCGAACTGTCTGATTTCATCTTTTATAAAACTCGTCAGCATTATCTGGACATGTGTCGAGTATATACAGGTGTATACACAGGTATATATACACAAAGTGAAACTTAGAGGGGTATTTAAACAGGGGTATATAAACAGGTGTTTATTATAGATGTTTAAACAGATGGAGTTTTTACTTTGACAGGACTGTACAAAGGTTTATATATATATATATATATATATATATATATATATATACAGGTGTATACACAGGTATATACTGGGTTGTATATAGCTGTACTGAAGGGTTAAATTCTGTGTTCATAGTTTGTAAATACAATAAAGAAAAAAACTTTTAAAAATAAATCGAACAAAAAAGGGTCTGATTTTTTAGCATTTCCACTTCAGAACTTTTTGTTAGAGTAGACATCAAACACTTTTCATATTACCATTATACTGCCACTGTGTATTAGACAGCAATATAGTTTTTTTTTACAATGTGTCATTGTTTGACAGCGTTCCTCCGTCTCAGTGGTTTACAGTGTGTGCAGATGGTTAACAGCATTTGAGCAGATCAACATCAAATGAGCTTAGAGGCGCAGATTAACTGTCGATGTCAGCTGAGGGCCAAGGACAGCGGCTGTGACGTAGAGGGACACCAAGGGGGCCGAGGGCTGGAGTCCTTTGAAGGACAAGTTCACTGCTGTTATAACCCGACCACCATGGTAGTCACAAGCCTTGAAGCCCTAGCAAGGAGTTTTCTCACATTATTAAATAAACTGAAATTCAAATGGATTTCTTTGTATGATATCCAAAAGCAATGAGGACAGTCAGAGACATGACTGGTGATTTTTATAATTCAACTTTTGATGCCCGAAACTGGTACGAGGATAGGTGTCAGCTGAGCAGCTGGAGAAATAGTCCTGGTTTTACATTTTACATGTAAAATATTCATAATAGATGAAAATATGACAGTCAGAGTGATGGGACACAACTTCAGCATTCAACGGGACAAGAAATTCTAATACAAATTTATCCACATGGTGGCGCCAAAGATGTCACAAACTGACAGTTCCTCACAGGAGCTTAAAATACATATAACAAGTAGATCTCTCATCATACCTTCTTTAGTCAAAGGATGCTCCTCTGAATGTGCTCTGGGCTAGCTAATGGTCTCATTTGCTTTGTTTAGGCTTAAAAGAAGTTTCAGTGTTATTGCCAGTCTGTTTTATACCCAGATAAAAAAACCTATTACATGCGACTGAAAGCTAACACTTCTCCTATAGGGAGTTTTTTCTTCTCTTCTCTCAGAGCTTCCTCCTCCTGATGCTAGGATGTGAAATGTGGTTTCTGCTGTTGAGTCCTGAAACTCACCATGTCAACCATCCTCCTCCACTTCTGATTTCTGTGCGTGTGTGTGTGTATTCTTAGCAGCAGCTGTGATGAGATTAAGGTGGACCTGAGGAGAGTCAAATCCCTTAAAGGCAGCACGCAATACACACTCATCTATTCCATAGTGGTAAGCCAATATTGTATTTGTAATTTGTAAGCCCATTAAAGGAGAGGAGAGTTTGCAGGTATGTGGTGAGGTCACCTCCTGCTCTGCAGCTCAAAAATCAGAGATGACTCAGTTGATAACCTCTTTTGGTTGGAGAATAAGACATTAACAAGGTAAGGTGTTTATGCTCACGTGTTTAAGCAGATGAACCTTTCACTGGGATTAGTGAGACATTGGTATCATTAGCTTTTTTTTTATTACAGTGGCTCTGCATTATGATTTGACTTAGTTCATGATAAATTTGTTCACGTAAGACTGAAAGAAAGGACATCAGTATTTATATTTCTGTCAAACTGATTATAAGGAAGACTGAGATGCAACAAATTAAGACCATGATCACTTTTAACAAATCTGCTCTGACTGTTTTTGTCAGGCTTCTTTAAACTACAAGCAGTATAAAAATGTTTATCATTGTTGATGAACTTTGAAAAAAAAAGAAAAAAGCATCTTTAGTGATACTATCCAGCCCTACAATCAAATACAAACTCAATTCTAATGGAATTAAGACATTGTGTAATATGTGAATAAAGACAGAATACAAGGATTTCAAATCCTTTTTCACCTAAATTCAACTGAATACTCTACCAAGATGAGATATCTCAGATAGCACACGAACATCGTGCCGACATCGGCCCAATACATCTAGTTTTATTGCCAAGATGTTGCAAGGAGAGTGTTTGCTAAGTACCAAAATGTTGCCAAGACATCGGCCCTTGATCTAAAATGATCGACACATGATGTCTAGATGATTAATTAAAGTTGTAGCACACAACCTTTATTTATAGGTTGAAGCTGTACTGTAAATATACATGCAATAAGAATAAAACAATGCCGACCTAATACTGACAGCTAATTGCTACCTACCTGTGTAAATAACAAGGAGCCATAGGTCAAGTCAAAACACTTTATTGTCCGGTTTCAGCACAGTCTGAGAAACGAACACCTGCAAAACAATGCACATAACTGGTTCTTCCTCTGACAGCCTGAATAAGCACATGAATTAATTGAAAATAAATCTCACTTCACTACGTACCTTCCAGTGGCGGCTGCTGGTCTTTCAAGGAGGGAAAGCTCATTTTTCTGGCCTGCATCATAATTGTGTTTGTTTAATTGTATGTAACAGAACAGAGTCGCCAAACAGCAGTTGTTTTTAACAAAGACAGAAGTCGCTGAGGATCGGTAAAGTCTCTCCGGAGCAGTTAAGAACAACGGAATGAATAACTTGGAAAATGCTCTGGTAGATGTTTTATTCTTCAAGATCGCTGATTCGCTTGTTTAGCTGTCAATCAAAAAAGGATTTCGCCTCAGACAGCTCATCCAATCATGAATGCAGAAGCTCAGCATCCGCAAGAAAGTTGGGACCGCCCTCTCGTCATAGAACTCCAGAGACGCCGAGCGTCCGGCTGTGTGAAGCTGCGAGGATGAATGAGAATGAAGTTATGCCGGTTACCTGTGATTATCAGCTTCTCATCACAGTGTGATGAGAAGCTGATTCTGAACAAAAGATGAAGGCTTTCTAGCGCGTATTTAGTTAATGAAATGTACACACAGCAGTACGTATTTCACCACTTTTTCTTTTTTTGGGGGGGTTACATTTTAAGGGAAGCTGAGCTTCCCTTGCAGTCTTAGAGCAATCGCCACTGGTACCGTCAATAGTTTTGTTTCGACTGCTTTAATGACCTGAACCATTTGATTGAGTGGAAGAGATCTGTGCAGATCAGATCAGATCAGCTACCACCAAATCTCTTGCCTAACAACAGTCTACGACATTAAAAGCTAGCAAAGCTAACAGTAGCACCGGGACAAGCAGTCTGGTGATTTAGTGCTTACCTGTAGCTACCAGGTCTGTTTGGGTCTGAGAGGACAACCCAGTTGTTAGCAACTTTCTTAACTGTCACAGAATTGCCTTAAAAGTTATTTTCTGCCAATTTACATCAGTATCTTACCTGAAAAACAATAGCGGGGAGTTGGCATATTTACCTCTGCAATCCTCTGCATATTCTGCCTTTTTTTTTTCCTTAAGTATTTTTTGCCGAAGAGGTGAATACTCGTCTGTGTAAAATGGCTGGAAAGAACTCTAAAACCGGCCACACAATTCAGACTCAGCCTGCATGCCGCAACCATGGTCTCAAGTGAGCGGGCAACTCCAGCGGATGTCGCTTTGGAGCAAGCTAACCTCGATATCACTGCTCTTAAACTTGAGTTGCTGACTTCGCCGAGAAAAGACATCGCCGACATCTTTAAGAGGGAACTTTAGGAAACTCTCTGTGATACGCTGTCTGCTCTCAAGCAGGATTTGTGGTGAGGACACAGTTTGTGAATGGTAAAGCTGCGACCGATGCTACCTTGTCCGAGTTAAAGGGCCCGGTGGGGGAGTTGGAGCATGCGCTCACCAAGTGCTCCGATGATATCACCGAGATGAAGCCACAATCAAGTCCCTCACCGCTACCGTGGCCAGGCTGGAAAATAAATGTGAAGATCTGGAGTCCCGATCACGGCGCAACAACATTAGGATCGTGGGAGGGTCCCGATTCCTGCTCCACTGCGGCTGTGGCTGCCTTGCTGAAGGAGGCATTTGGTCTGGAAAAGGAACCACTGCTGGACCGGTCCCACCGGACCCTGCAGCCCAAACCCAAACCCCCTAATCGTCCACACGCCATTGTGTGTAGGTTTCGTTATCACAGTGACTGTGTTGATGTGCTGCGCCGGAGAGAGCTCCGACAGACCAAAGTGAGAGATTTGTCCATCTCAGTCTTCCCCAACTTCACTGCCAAGGTAGCTCGAGCCTGGGCTGCGTTCAACTAGGTCAGACGCCAGCTTTGTGACATCGAGGGTGCTCTGTATGGTCTGATTCACCCAGCGCGTCTTCGTATCTCATACAATGGAGCTGAGAAGGACTTCGTTTCAGCGGAGAAAGCCGGCGCCTATGTCAAAACTTTGGTTCCTGGCTGAGCCATAGTGGCTCGCATCCCTGTTTGGTGCATAGTGTTTGTGGACTCAGATGCCTTAATTTTCTGCCTGTGCTACATTTCGTGGTTTTCTGGTTTATGACTCTGACTAGCTTTTTGTTGTTGTAGCGTGTTTATGGCAGGCACTTTTCTTTCTTCACTCCTTCTGGATACTGTTATGCAATAGGGCTAAACCATATTCTATATTTTTGCACTTTTTGCACTATTTTACACTTTATCTCTCATCTCATTTGATGCTCTCTGCACTCAGGGCCGACTGTTTTGGGTTTTTTTTTGTTTTTTGTTAATTTGTTTTGTCGGGCTTTACTTTATCTATCTGGTCTATATGGGAACTTGAGGTGTCTAACTGTGGCATTCATCCTTTTCGTTTTGTTTTGCTGGAATGTTCGTCCTCGGTTGAAACTATATTTTGTCGTGCAGGCAGTAGCGGTTCTAGGCACGGGCGAACAGGGCAGCCGCCCGGGGCGGCATTTGTGTCATGACTAATGGGGGGCGGCACGAGCACTTCCAAAAAAATAAAATAAAAGATAATAATAATAAATCTTGACCGCAAAGCGATTTTGTATTAACTGTTGTTGTCAAATTGTCAAATTCTATATTTACATTTGTATTGAATGGACACTTTATCATGGCTGCCACTTGTTTTACAGAAAGCAAATTATTTGTCATTCTCCAGTGCAGAGCCTTTACTTTTATTTATACAGCAGCTTTATTTCATTTGAGTTTGTTTGTTCAAGGTTTTCAAAATGTGATGAAGGTTCACAAAACTAAAAGAGAGCTTTCTTGAAAGCCACACGTATAAGCTCTCAAATACTTTTTGAATTTTGTTTCTATCTACTACAGAGGCCGAAATAGCAGCTTTTTTGTAAACCTTAACTCTTCAGAAAACCTCAGGATCTGGGGGCCCTTCTGAAAATGGCCCTCAGAATTGTGTTTTTTTCTATTGAAGGATTTCTGCAATTGAGAAATATATTATTTTTGTTGTTATAATAATAATAATACTACATAGTAATACAAAACTATCTGTTCAAAATTCTATCTCTTTTTGTGTGTGTGTGTGTGTGTGTGTGTGTGTGTGTGTGGGGGGGGTACTTGGAGAGGTGCTCGCCCGGGGAGTAATTTGGTCTAGAACCGCCACTGCATGCGGGTTTTGTTTTATATGACGTGCTTATCAGTGTGCATATTGTTAACCGATGTCAACATCAACTGAGTTTTTTTTTTTTCTTCCATTTTTCTCTCTTTTTTCACTTGCTTTTCTTCGTTTTCTCCGCTTAATCTCCGAGTTGTTCATCCTGTGGTGGGCAACCTTTTGGTCATTGTGGGAAACACTACTGTCTCCTTTGTTCTGTGGTTTTATGGAGACTTTGGGTGTATTTGTGTTCAGGGATATGTTTGGGGGAGGGTGTCCCGCGTCAGCTCTTCACGTCCATTTGCAGCTTCGCTTTTCTTTTTTGAATGGCAACATAGATCCCCGCATTTCGGGATCTGGCTCACCTCTTAGATTTATTAGTTGGAATATTAGAGGTATGGGTAATCCTGTTAAGAGATCGAAGGTTTTTACACACCTGAAACGTTTGAACTCTGATATAGTGTTTTTACAGGAGACTCATCTTCGTATAAGAGATCATCACAGGTTACGTTGTTCCTGGGTAAGTCAAGTCTTCCACTCATACTTCAATTCGAAATCTAGAGGAGTTACTATTTTAACTAACAAAAAAGTTAACTTCACATCCACTGATGTTATCGCTGATAGGGATGGGAGGTATCTCATAGTTGCTGGAACCCTAATGCATAAAAAGGTTTTGTTGGTGAATGTATATGCCCCAAATTTCGACAATGTTGATTTCGCTAACAGATTTCTGGGCAGCATCTCCTACCTGAATACTCATTTGCTGATCCTCGGTGGGGATTTAAATTGTGTTCTCAACCCAATTTTAGATCGGTCTAATCCTCGTAATCTGACTCAATCTGCTATGTCCAAGGCATTCTCAGATTTTATGGAGGTCTTATCGATCCGTGGAGATCTCGTCATCCCTCAACGAAAATATTTTCTTTTTTCTCCCAGGTAAATCATTCCTATTCGAGGATTGATTACTTTTTTATTGATAGTGTGCTTAACTCATGTGTTACTCCCTCTGATTATTTAGGTATTGTAATTTCTGACCACTCACCTTTACTATTGGATATTCACCTTTCTACCTACAAATGTAGCCCTCCACATAGGAGATTTAATTCTCTTCTTTTGGCAGACAGAGCCTTTGTGACTTCATCTTGACTTCTATTTATGAGTTTCTGTCTTTTAATCGAAACGACTCCTCTTCGTATTTATTGTTGTGGGAGACGCTCAAATGCTACTTGAGAGGTCAAATTATTTCTTACTCAGCCCTTTCCAATAAAACGATGAAGACGAGACTCACTGAACTATCATCTGCAATCAGTAATCTTGATCAAAGATATGCCCTGACTCCTTCTCCAGAGCTACTCAAGCAATGTTTTGATTTGCAAGCAAAATTTTTTCACTGAAGAGGCAGAGCACTTGATAATATGTAGTCGTGGTTCATATTATGAGCATGGTGACAAGGCTAGTCGTTTATTGGCACATCAGTTGCGTCGACAGGCAACTTCCCGTTTGATACCTGCTATTAAGGATACTTGTGATTCTATTACAACAGATCCTTTGGAGATTAATGCTGTTTTTAAATCTTTTTACTCTTCATTGCATAAATCAGAATTTCCCACGGATGTTGCTAAAATGTATGATTTTCTTCAGAACCTATCGAATCCTGTTATTGATGCTGATACTGCCGCACGTCTGGACTCCCCGCTCTCCCTTGGAGAAGTATCAAACGCAATTAGGGCATTGCAGTCTAATAAAGCCCCAGGCCCTGACGGGTTTCCAATTGAATTTTTCAAAACATTTATTGATGAATTAGCACCTCTACTGTTATCTGTATTCAATGAATCCCTAGACAGTGATTCTTGTTATTGTAATTTTAATATCTTTGTTAGAACTGCTTGAGGTTCCCCACAACAGACTTTCCTACCAACATATCAGTTAATTATGATGTCTAGACTTCCTTATTTCCCAGCAAGATACAACATCCTGCAGGATACTCCAGGTGTGAAACATCCCCATCATCACCCCGGGAGGGGTGGAGTGACGGTCCCCACAGAAAACAAAAGATGCCAACATCAAAGCCCCATACCTTGCCCTCTGAGGGGCGGTCCTCAAGCATAAATGTTCATGTTTACCCATGTTCTGGGTCTTTCTGGATTCTGACCGCTTGGATGCAGATTGACCTTTTCTTTGCAAAGAAAATAAAACCTTGTCAGCCGGCAGAAGTCTCTATTTCATTCTTCACCAGCAGCAACAGGAAAAACTTCCACGACATTCTTTACCACCAACCTTGACACAAGCCACTATTGCTCTCCTTCTCAATAAAGACAAGGATCCGACCAGCTGTGGTTCCTATAGGCCGTTGTCCCTGCTTAATGCTGATGTAAAGGTGTTGGCTAAAGTAATTGTATCCCGTTTGGAGAATGTGCTTCCTCATATTATCTCAGAGGAGCAGAATGGTTTTATTAAGGGTTGTCAATTGTTCTTTAATACCTGTACACTTTTCAACATAATTTATTCAAGAAATTCGGCTGAACTTGTGTTTTCTACAGATGCCGAAAAGGCGTTTGATAGGGTAGAGTGGGAGTACTTGTTTGCTGTTTTGAAAAGATTCGGTTTCGGTGATGAATTTATTTCTTGGATTTGCCTCCTTTATTCATCCCCTACTGTATGGCTAGTGCCCATACTAATGACGTTTACTTAGTTTATTTTGGCCTTGGACGTGGTACTTGTCAGGGTTGTCCTCTGTTGCCTCTGCTTTTCGCCATCGCTATCGAGCCTCTGTCTATTACGTAAAGATCCTCGCCTTTATTCAAAGGCATCGCCCGTAATGGGATTGTACACAAATTATCATTGTATGCGGATGATTTTTTATTATATATTTCTGACCCTGCACTTTCTATCCCTGCTGTTTTGAGTATTCTGGAGAACTTTGGCACCTTTTCGGGTTATAAATTCAATTTGGGGAAGAGTCAATGTTTTCCCATTAATGCTGCTGCATGTCATCTTCAACAGCTACTGGGAAATCTCCCAGGGTTCGAAAAACTTTACTTCAGAGGTGCAGACTTAGCGGAGAACTTGCACTACCTAACTTTCTATATTATTATTGGGCTTCTCACATCCATAAACTCTGCTATTGGTTGAAATCTTCTGGAGTTTCTTGGTGTAGATTGGAACTTTCATCCTGCAGGGGATCTTCTATTCCTGCTCTTCTCTATTCCTCTTTGCCTGTGAATCTCTATATATATACCGATAGTTGAGTAGTTCTTAACACTCTCAAGATCTGGTATCAGCTCAGACGGCACTTCAAATTTGTGGCTGCATCTTCCTTGACTCCCCTTAAAGGCAACCATTTATTTCTTCCATCAATTTCAGACTCTGTATTTTCAATGTGGCATGACAAAGGCATTAAACAATTTAGACATCTGTATGTAAATGGCGTCTTTGATTGCTCCCAGCTACTCATCTGTTTCACTATTTCCAAATTCGTACATTTGTGGCAAAGAGTTTCCCTGATTTTCCCTCTTTACCTCCAGAACAACAGTGGGAAAGCATGCTTTCATTTACTCCTCATCACAGAGGGATCATTTCAAAGCTGTATGGTAATATCTTGGCTTTTGACAATCATTCTGATACTAAATTTAAGTGTACGTGGGAGAGCAAACTAGGTACGCAAATCCATGATGAGTCCTGGGGGCAGGCCATAGACAGGATACATTCTTCCTTCTCATGTGCTCGTCTTGCACTTATTCAATTTAAGGTCCTTTACAAGGCACATTTCTCTAAATCAAGACTTTCTGAACTTCATCCAGAAGTGGAGGACAGATGTGATAAATGTCATGGTTTACCTTGCCACCATAGCTACATGTTTTTTCTCTTTCCAGATCTGGAATGTTTCTGGACTGGTTATTTTGAGGTTATGTCCACTGTTCTCGGTGTAAATCTTCAACCTTGTCCTCTGATTGCTATATTTGGGATTCCTAACCCCTCACTCGTGTTGAACTCTGTGCAAAAGGACATTACAGCTTTCACTTCTTTATTAGCAAGACGTTCCTTATTGCTGCATTTGAAGTCTGCTAAATATCCTTCTGTCTCCTGGTAGCTCATAGACACCATGTTTTTCTTAAAGCTTGAAAAAAATCAAATACACCTTGAGAGGATGCACAGCCAAATTTTTCTTTAAATGGCAACCCTTTATTTCCTATTTCACTGATTTAGAGGTGCTACCTGATTGAATGTGTACCTGTTATTGCTGTCTTGTGTATTGTGTGAACAACCTGTAATAGGTGTGTTGGTCGTGTTGAGCTGTGGGTGGGATGTGGGTGGGGGGTTGTTTAATGTTTGGTTTCCATATTTATTTGTGGTTGTATCCATTAGTGTACACTACAGGCCAAAGGTTTGGAAGCAAGATCAGATTTGTACAAAAAAAAGATCATAGTTTCATGTTTATAATTTGCAACACAATAAACATGACTATTGTGTAAAGAGTAACTTATCAGTTATTGTTGCTTAGACTTTGCTTTCTTTAAAGTAACCTCTGGCTTTAACAACAGCTTGGCATATACCAGGCATTCGTTCCACAAGTTTTTTAAGGTATGTTCTAGGGATTGCATTCCAAGCTTTCTTAAGTTTATTAAAAAGGGACTGCTGATTCGTGGGACGCATTTAATCCATGCAAATGTGGCAACTCGAGGGTGAAATAAGACAGATTTTAATTTGAATTGTTAAGGACAACCAACAACGCCACTTTGGGAATTTCGCCCAAAGAATTAGTTTTGCGGGAATTAGTTTTTAAGGCACTCAGGTTCGTTTACTGTGAATAGAGAGCAGGAGACGTGGTTCCAATCTTACAAAATGCGGACATATATTTAAACATTTTTAATTATCAATAAAACCATGGCACACACACACACACACACACACACACAGGGGGGAGGGAGCCTTTTTTCAGGTGCTGAGGCTTACCGAATGGAGAATGAATCTAAGAACGGGGTGTGGGGGATCCCAAAGAAGAAAAGGCACCCCAATCACACGTGGCAATCATACAACACTCACTCGGTGAGAATAACAAAAAAAAAACAGGGGATAAATGGCACACTATGAGGGAAACCACCACCAGGACACCAGGAACCACCACCGCAAGCTCTCAGCAACTGAAAGGGACGAAAGATACCGGCACAAAATAATAAACTATACTAATAATATGGGTAGCAGCCACGAATTAGCTTGGGCAAAACACATCTATGCTGCCAACTCATGAAAAACCAAATTAGAACACACAAAAAGAAAACAATACTTAAAGTAGAAAAGGAAGATATTCCTTAATTAATCAAAACATACCAATTAACCAAAGAAGGACAATAAGCTCATTAATAAAAGAAAACTTGGAAACCAAATAAAGAAAAAAACCCGAAATGAATTAACTAATAAGAATAAGAGTGACCCCCACAGTAACACTGTCACTCCTTAAAACTATTCCTTATAATTGGGCTGGTAACGTCAGCGCACCATGCATACACTGGTCCAGTCCAGCCGGCGTGCAGACCGACTACAGTTTATTCGTGCTCATGTCCCTTTACACGGCGACCGGCTCCTCGCTGTCAGAGCCAGGACAGCAGGACAGAACAGCGAAGCAATAAAGCACCTGAAGCCGTAAGGGGAGAAGCCACAGACACCACAGGAGAGGCACGTTGTGCAGCGGTGTCGGACGGCACAACAGTTTGAGCACTGGCAACATACCTTTTCAACATGTTGACATGACACAAGTGAAGTGGTATGAATACTTTCTGGATGCCCTGTATATACATTATATACAGTCTATCCTCTTAACTAGGGGCCGTTTGGCTTCATGGGTCCAAAAACCCTTGTTTTGGAAAGTGCTTCTGGCATGATTATGTTAATCCTGAAAATAAGCGGTGACTGTGGCCCTTCCTGTCAAACAAGTGTGAAATTTGGCATGAAGTATCCTGAAACTCAGTGAAAAATCATATACTAAGATTCTGGTGCTGGCTGCTCCTACATTCTTATCATTTAAAAAAAATTCATCAAAAAGCAATAAAATCAATGTTCAATCCATGAAGTCTCTCAAGAAATGGTGCTTTTTAATATTCATGGTCAAGTGAGTGCTGTGTTTGGATTTTAAAAACTTCCCAAATATGTGATCTTTAATTTGAGGTCAAAATGACACTTTCTGTGGCCCTAAATAGTTCACTGTACCTCAGAGAGGACAGAATTTTCAGCTCTCCTGATGGGGGTTTGCCTGTTACTGAAATCCAACGCTGTGCTCATCTGTACTGCTTTTACTGTTTTGTGAGCTGATAAAAATGATAAGTTAATACAGTGACTAACCTGAAAACACAGAAACTAAAATACAATGACTAACCTTCCTCACTAACAAAAAACTTCATAAAAAGGTGAAAAAAAGGTGACCTGCGCCTGCATTTCCTTTGTGTTCTAACTTAAACACATGCTTGAAAACAAAGAGGTGATGTGGCCTGATCGAGGAGAAGGGATCTAATCTAGATCATGGACATGAGCAACACACACTTAATGGAGTATCGTATGTCTTTATTGTAAAAGAAACAGAAAAAAAGACAATATTGTGACCTGAAAGTTGTAACAGAAATAATGGACATCAACAAGCCACTTGTTTGGGAAAACACTCACAAGCAGACCTTTCCTGAATGTTTCATCATTAGATCCAACCTCATGATCACACAGATGAGACAATGAGCTTATTTTTGGGATTAAAAGAGCAATGAGAAAAGTGCGGACATGGCTTGTCTGATTTTAACAGAGACTACAGATACAGATTTGTGGCACTTAAGGGAAATGGCTGAGAATGCTGGAAGCTCCCCGTTACTCACATTGTGGATCATCAAATTCAGCCAAAGTAAATATATATTACATTTAGAAACACGAAGAATATTCAATGATATGAAATGTAACAATTTTCACGATTAACAAAACAGAACAACAAGAAAACTAAATGACAAGTATCTTAAAAGGAAGCAGATAGGTTGTAATTGCACTTACGTGAAGACAGTTGCTAGCTGTTTTGATGGAGCAGATGAAATGCCTGCAGAGGTTCACAAGAACCAACTTCACTGAAGTTGAAAACTTCTCTTTGTAGAGAGCCATCAGGACACAGAGGTAGTGATTTGAGAGGACATGGGTCCCAATAAAAGTTAGAGCATCAAAATCTCTTCATCATCACAGATACTAAGTTTGGGCATTTAAAAAATGTACCTGAAAAAATAATTCAGTATTACAATATGATAATAGCAACATATTTATGATGCGATGTGCACAACTAAGAACAAGACTAAGAGCACGCTCAGGTGTATATATTTAGTTATTAGTTATTTTTTAAACACCCATTTGGAAAAATGTAATAAGGAAAATAAACCCTGTAGAGCTGACGCTCAAATGTGTTTTTAGACCAAAAAAAATACATTCAAGAGATGAACTATTTTCACACCTGCCTCCTTAGAAAGAGAGAAGCAGTCTGAGATTTCTACTTTAGAGTCACGTGTCTTATCTTATTATTCATTTTGGGGAAAAAACAACTTAAAATTAAAAATTAAAAATAATTTAAGTAAATATGTGTGGTTACAAATTAACACTTTTTCCATAGTTGCAGTCATCTTCAAAAATATAGATAGTGATATTGTTTTGTTGCATCGGTTATTTAAAGCCTGACCAAGGGCAAAACCAGGTTTGGTTTCTCTATTAGGCCACAAACACAAATTCCCATGATGTATTATAACAGGGTCCCTTCCATTATCTGCTTTGTTTTTATGTATATTTTAGAGTCCAAAGTGCCTCTTTTTAAAAGGCCATCCAAGAATGGCTAGAAGACCTATAAGCGCTAGATGGGTGCATTACCGGAATATCCCTTTAAGTTAAAAATAACACTGGGGCCACATCATAACATGAACAGTCCCTAACAAATAAAGTGATTAAAGTAAAATTAGTACATATCTTATCAATAGTAACACTCAGCAGAGGTAAACTGACCCAAAAATGTGCTTCTCTGTCATTGCTAGAGTCTAACAAGCATCTCCTGCAGCAGAAGAGCTCAGAGCAGGTAAACATGCAGTTACCTGCTCAGCTAAACACATCCTCTCCATGAGGACACCTCAACAGCAAAACTCAACAAAGGAACTGTATGGACACAAACTGCAAGACGTCAGATTGCCCTCTCATCATGAAAACTTTCAAGCTCCTTCTCCAGGATCCCAAGGCTCAGGGCCAGGCCAGATATATAATCCTTCCAGTGAGTTCTAAGCCTACCCTAAGGTCTCTACCCATAATATCTCATAATCAGTTTTCCCTTGCTGGTGACCAAAACCCCAAGATACTTGAACCCTTTCATCTGGAGCAAAGACTCAATTTCCACCCAAATGGAGCAACCACCATTTTCCTGCAGAGAACCATTTATGCATCTCCAGATATTTCTTCCATTTTTTAATGTTGCTTTTTTAGACCAGGTCTGGCTAAAACCAGATTCATGATCCTGTGCACATGGAATGTCTCTAGACAGTCGTCAAAACATGTCAGATGAGGGAGAATCTCCCTCCTCCTGCAGACGACAAAGAGACATTGTAGATCCAAACCTGTTAGACCAGAAACCTATCCCAAACCCGGGGTACAGAGGTTCAGAGAAGGTGGTTTTGGTGGTGTGGAGGTTGATCAGTTTGTCACATGAGATGCTGAAAAAGGACAGAGTGCCAGCAGGACAATCCACGTACACTGCTACTCTGTTAGAGGAGGAGCAGGAGGATGAGGAGATGTACGTGGCTTTGTTATTGTGCCAGAAACAGTAACCATCCTCAGAGCACTCCAAACTCCAGGACATGTCATTCCTCCCAAACCTGCTGTCGAACATGTCCCCTGTTTTGCTGAGTCCTCTGTAGCTCACTGATACATACGCCAGCCCGCTCCACTCTACCTCCCAGTAACCACGACCTGTCAGTTCATTTTTGCACAGCACCTGAGGCCACTTGTCAAACCTGTCTGCATGATCAGGGTATGGCTGTTCCTCCTCCAAATATGTCCACTTTGTGTCTTCATCAGATAGTTTAATGTTCCTGTTCACGGTGTTTGTGTCCAAAGAGAGCTCACAGGAATCTGATGGAGAAAAAGAGACACTGATGAGCCACAGTCGTCATCAGCTGATGCATTCATGATATCAGAGATCTGACTAACATTAGATTTTTGTCAAATCAAAAACACACTTACACTTCCTCAGACCAGGTTTCATCCACTTGACTCCACCAGGCTCCAATCTGAATGGAGGACAGGATCAGACCAGCACATAGATTTTTAGCGTCGAACAAACTCACCTCACCACTAGGCACAAAAGCTGGTTCACCCCCACAAAGAAATGAATGTCTCAGTTTGGATTTTTGACTTATTGTATATCAAATGTAGCTTTCAAGATGTGCAAGAACTACATTCAGATAAATATCCTGCAAAGCAGGACCACTTTGAGATCCATTGCTGTAGAGATGTCTGAGAACTCTGCACAGGTTGTTTTTGTTTTGGTCTGTGTGTTTTTAGCTCGCCCCTATAGCTTGAAGAGTTGTAGGACAAAGTATAAATCAAAACAAACTGTTTGATCAGGATGGTGTGCCATTACTCTTCTCTATTGTACATGTATTGCAGAAAAAATCTCCACCACCACCACCAAAAAAAATGAGCAATTATTCGAGTTTCTTAATTATCCACTTCTCCAGCAAAGTCATCTTTTTTTTCTTTTTTCTTTTTGGTATAAATAAATTCTTGAAACAGTGATGCTGGTTGTGGTTGTGGTCCTTGTCACAATGGTACTAGCATTAATTGTTTGAAATGTTTAAAGCATATTAAAATGTACACTCCCTGACAGTAGCCCCAGTGGCCCTGTCAAAATTTCCCAGAGGGGATTTTCTGGTTGATTTGTTTCAAGTTTGTGAAAAGAGCCACTGGAGCTCAAACTCACAATGGGCCTCTCAGTTCTGAACAGTGCACCAATACACACCATCTCAGCACAGATTATGGAGGAGGTCTCTGTACTTTCTTAGGTAAAGAGGATGGTGAAAAGAAAACATCGAGGACAACCAGGGACAGCCTGATTTAAAAACTTAACCTCCCTTGCCCAAGGTCCCCCCTTACCTTAGAGTATCCAGTTTCCAGTCTCGGCTCTCGAGTCCAGCAGACAGTAGCTTCACACCCAAGTCTCCTGGATGATTGTAGCTCAGGTCCAGCTTTTTCAGATGAGTAGGGTTGGATTTCAGGGCTGAAGCCAGAGAGATACAACCTTCTTCTGAGATACGACAGCCGGACAGCCTGCAAATAAACCAGACATCAGCCGAGGGGACTGTGGTGGGAGAAATGTCTCCTTGCCATCATGAGTAGTACTATATCATAACTGATATGTTTGTCACTGACGGACATTTTCCCTGCTAACAGTAACAAACAAAAAAGAATGATTTTATATTTACTCAATAACATTCTTTTTACTAAAATGGTGCAATTTGTGTGAAACTTTGTTCAGAATACTGTGAGCTCTGTCTATTGAAAGCACCACAGGTGCCATGTGCTTTCACACAGCAGTGCTCCTACTCATGGTATGCTGTCTGTGTTTTTGTTGATGGAGTGTAGTTACATTTTTATTTGGTCAGAGGGCTTGGATACTGCTCTATTATCTCCTTATATCTTAAGCCCTGCATGGGCCATTGCATATACAATACCAACAGTTATTTTTTCCTGAGGGAACCTTCCCAAAAGGATCAATTAAGTTCCATCTAATCTAATCTCATCAAACAAAACAAAGGTCTGGTGATCCAGCAAAGAGACACAAATCACAAATCAAATTTAACTTCTTTCCTTTACTGATGCTAAGAGCACGGGATGTTACTTATCAATAAAGCTTGTCTGCATGACAAGTTATTCTGGTTTATGTTCCTGCCAAGTCCATGTCTGTCTCCTCCATGCAGGGGGATCTTTATGTGTCTGAGTGTGGTTTCTGTGTATGAAGAGGCACAATTCATAGACAGAAGTTAGACATGCCAGCTCCAGCCCTCTCCATCCAAGTAGAAAGGCTGAAATCTGCTGTCTGCAGGGGCACCTCACTCCTAAAGGGAACGGCAGCAGGCACAATGGCCCAGTCTCAATGTCTGCCCTCACACACTCACCGACTTTCAGGCAAGTTCCTGATAAGTTTATAAGGGCTGAGGCCTGTCCTACTGTTAAATCGCTGTTAATAAGGGGGCATTTCTGCAGACTTTAGATAAGGAAATGATCCAGAGTTTACAGTTCTATGATGTGACCATGGAAGCACATACGCATTAGTGGTGCAACGGATCACAACACTCACGGATCGGATCGTTCCTCGGATCAAGAGTAACGGATCGGATCATTTTTCGGATCAGCAAAAAGCAAAAAAAAAAAAAAAAACAAGACAAATAAACATAAGTTTTGTCTGTATATTAAACACTTAAATGGTTGAATTAAAATATATAAAAGTAGTGCATACGGCATAATATCTTCTTTTCAACATAATAATTAATGAAAAACAACTTAAAGTGCAATATATAGGCATATCTCCTTCCTTTAAAATGTAACAATGAACCAAAAATGAAGTGTGTGCGCGGTGGGATGTTGTAACGTGGCTCAAGCACTTTCAGCATGTTTTTAAAGCCCTCGTTTGCACAACTGAATATGGCCTCATGTCTGTAGCTATAAACACACCGATAGCGTTTGTGATAGCTTTAACCCGGTCGGATTGTCGCTTTCAAATGCGTGAACATGCTCGATGTGTTTCCACTGTCATATGGCTTTCTTATGCCACAGTGCCTACACACCTTCGCAGTTTTGTCCACTGACCTCTTTCCTTCTTCATCATCGTTGACAGGGAAGCCACATTTTTTTTTCAGAAATCGAACCGCGGGTCACGTGTGTGCCGAACCGATGACGTAGATCCGAACGGATCACGGATCAATGATGATCCGTTGCACCACTAATACGCATGAAGGGAGACAGGAACACCGTAACACGGAAATTACAGTATTAGAAAATGCATTAAATATGAGCGTAAAAGCAGCAACAATAACACTTTAAAAATGTTCTGCAAGTATGAATACGGACAATATAGTTGAGACACACCTGTTCACCTGTTTTGACCTCAGCAGGGTGCTGAGAAGTGCATTAACCACATTTTTTCCCTGTCAAACGGGTTTTGTTCAAGCTGCAGCGCAAAAACTTACAATAACTCATACATATGCGAACAGAGATAAACCCAGAACTCATACTTTGCTATTCACGAACCTTTTCAGTTATATTAACGCAAAATAAGATTGAAAATAGTTATTATCTTACTCTTTTTGTTGGGCTATAACTGAAAAATAATCATATCAGACTGTGTGCCTCTCTTTAGGAAGCAGGAGGAAAACAGTCTGTTTTCAGTGTGTTGCATTCGGTTTTAGATTGATGGAGAAAGTTGATTAAAGTAAAACGTGACTTTTTCGCCACTACAGGGAGCAACAGGATGTTGTTCTGTTGGTATTCAGCATGAGACAAGTCGAGCTTTTACTGTAAACTAGGATTTAAGCAGAAGAAAACAGTCTTGAATCCTAACCTGATCACTTCCAGGGTGCAGTGTGGACTCTTGAGTCCCTCTGACAGAAGCTTCACTCCTGAATCCTGGAGGTTGTTGTTGCTCAGGTCCAGATCTCTGAGACTGGAGGACTGACAGCTCAGGACTGAGGATAGGGCTTCACAGCTTCTCTCTGTGAGGTTACAGCTGCTCAGCCTGCAAAGAAAGGCGAGAATGAAAATCATTTTTCCACCTCTTCAAAGATGGCAAGGTTTTTACTCTGTAGTACATCCGCCGACTTACACAGCTTTGTTGGAGACTTTGACTACTGGCAGCAGCCTCAGAAAAGCCTCCTCTGTGGCAGAGTATTTCTTCAGGTCAAACATGTCCAGATCTTTCTCTGATGACAGTAAGATGAAGACCAGAGCTGACCACTGAGCAGGAGAGAGTTCATCTGCAGACAGCCTTCCTGATCTCAGGGCCTGTTGGATCTCCTCCACTAAAGAACGATCATTCAGCTCATTCAGACAGTGGAACATGTTGATGCTTTTCTCAGAGGAGAGATTGTCACCGATCTTCTTCTTGATGTACTGGGCTGTTTCCTGGTTTACCTCCAAACAACTTCCTGTCTGTGTAAGCAGACCTTGCAGAAGAGTCTGATTGGTCTGAAGTGAAAGTCCCAAGAGGAAGCGGAGGAACAAGTCCATGTGTCCATTGGGACTCAGGAGAGCTGCATCCACAGCGCTCTGGTAGAACTGTGTCTCTGCAGCTCTGTATATCAGAGTATTGGTAGATGCAGTTTGTCCTGCGGACAGCAGATTAACACCTGAGTCAAAGAAGGTCAGGTGGACATGAAGAGCAGCCAGAAACTCCTGAACACTCAGATGGATGAAGCAGAACACCCTTTCTTGGTGCAGTCCTCTCTCCTCTTTAAAGATCTGCGTGAACACCCCTGATGTAATGGAGGTCTCTCTGATATTGATGCCACTTTCGGTCAGGTCTGATTCATAGAAGATCAGGTTTCCTTTCTGCAGCTGCTCAAAGGCCAGTTTTCCCAAAGACATGATCACCTCTCTGTTTGTTTTGTTCCAGTGTGATTCCATGTCAGCTTCCTTGTTATATTTTATGTTCTTCTGTTTGGTCTGAACCACCAGGAAGTGGATGTACATCTCAGTCAGGGTCCTGGGCAGCTCTCCTCCCTCTCTGGTGTTGAACACGTCCTCCAGGACAGTGGCAGTGATCCAGCAGAAGACCGGGATGTGGCACATGATGTTGAGGCTCGGGGACGTCTTGATTTGGGAGATGGCTCTACCAGCCTGTTTCTTATCTCTGAATCTCTTCCTGAAGTACTCCTCCTTCTGAGGGTCAGTGAACCCTTTGACCTCTGTCACCATGTCAACACACTCAGGAGGGATCTGATTGGCTGCTGCAGGTCGTGTGGTTATCCAGAGGCGAGCAGAAGGAAGCAGGTCCCCCTTGATGAGGTTTGTCAGCAGCACATCCACTGAGGCGGGCTCTGTGACATCTGTCAGGATCTGATTGTTGTGGAAGTCCAGAGGAAGTCGACACTCATCCAGACCGTCAAAGATAAAAACAACATTGGCTTCCTTAAACCTCCTGAATCCTGCATCTTTGGTTTCATTAAAGAACTGATGAACAAGATCCACCAAGCAGCACTTCTTGTCTTTCAGCACGTTCAGCTCTTTAAAGGTGAACAGGAACAAGAACTGGATGTCCTGGTTGGCCTTGCCCTCAGCCCAGTCTAGAGTGAACTTCTGTGTCAGGACGGTTTTCCCAATGCCAGCCACTCCCTTGGTCATCACTGTCCTGATCGGTCTCTCTCTCCGGGAGGGTGGATTGAAGATGTCTTCCTGTCTTATGGTCATTTCAGGTGCGTGTGGTTTCCTGGATGCGGTTTCGATCAGTCTGACTTCATGCTTGTTGTTAATCTCAGGGGTCCCTCCCTCTGTGATGTAGAGGTCTGTGTAGATCTGGTTCAGGAAGGTTGGGTTTCCTGCTTGAGCAATCCCCTCAAACACACATTGGAACTTCTCTTTCAGGTTAGATTTCAGTTTACGGTGCAAACAGTCTTGATCAGGGAATCCTAAAGAAACACACAATATTTTTACACTGTGTCAGAAAAGAATATAAAGATTTCAGCTCTGGTTCTGCTTACATTTGATCACAGGCTGCAAGTCTCACCAATCACTCTGTCTTTAAGAGATTTTCTGTAACATCTTAAAACATCAATATACGGGCTGGAACAGAGGACACACAGGGTGGCACGTTCAGATTCTGTTTTGATTACCTTTTTTTTTTTTAGCATGAGGAGCCAAAATCGTAATCCAAATTTAAATCTAAGGGGTCACCCAGCTCTCCAAACCAGCATTAGTTGCGAAGTTGTTTTGGACTTGTCGTTGATAACAGCAGAAATCAAACACTGGACTCTCTCAATATGACTGCCAGTCAGTACATTTACATGCCTGGACTACTGTCCTTGTTTCAGTTTACAAGCACTGGGCAAAAATCTAAACTATAGACAGAATTATGTCCGCCTCTGCTACAGTAGGTGATGACATGCCCCCTTTCTTGATGGAACTATCAGGTCATCTCCCAACTGAAGTATTACATATCAAAACAATCTGCAAAACAGGTTAGCAAGAGGCTAAGAGCATGTACATCATAAAAATACCATCCTTTTAACAGCTTTATACCATTTGTAGACAAGATAAAACTGCCTCAACGTACAAACATACTCTCTTCATCTGTCGAGATTCTGTTTACTACTCAGCTTCCTAGAAACACATACACACGTGGACAAAATTGTTGGTACCCCTCAGTTAAAGAAGGAAAAACCCACAATTCTCACTGAAATCACTTGAAACCTACAAAAGTAACAATAAATAAAAATTTATTGAAAATTAAATAATCAAAATCAGCCATTACGTTTGAAATGTTGATTAACATAATTATTTAAAAAAAAAAAAAACTAATGAAATAGGGCTGGACAAAAATGATGGTACCTCTATAAAAGATTGAAAACTATTTGACCAGAGTGACATGATTAACTCAGGTGTGTCCTTTAATTGACATCACAGGTGTTTCCAAACTCATAATCAGTCAGTCTGCCTATTTAAAGGGAGACAAGTAGTCACTCTGCTGTTTGGTGAAAAGGTGTGTACCACACTGAACATGGACAACAGAGAGCGAAGGAGAGAATTGTCCCAGGACATCCGAAAAAAAATTATAGACAAACATCTTAAAGGTGCAGGCTATAAGACCATCTCTAAACAGCTTGAAGTTCCTGTGACAACAGTGGCTCATATTATTCAGAAGTTCAAGACCCACGGGACAGTAGCCAACCTCCCTGGACGTGGCCGCAAGAGGAAAATTGATGACAGATTGAAGAGACAGATCGTTCGAATTGTATCCAAAGAGCCCAGGACAACCTCCAAAGAAATTAAAGGTGAACTCCAAGGCCAAGGTACATCAGTGTCAGATCGCACCATTCGTCGTTGTTTGAGCCAAAGTGGACTTCATGGGAGACGACCAAGGAGGACACCACTGCTGAAAAAAAATCATAAAAAAGCGAGACTGGAATTTGCAAAAATGCATGTTGACAAGCCACAAAGCTTCTGGGAGAATGTCCTTTGGACAGATGAGACCAAACTGGAGCTTTTTGGTAAGGCACATCAACTCTATGTTCATAGACTCAAAAACCAAGCATACGAAGAAAAGAACACTGTCCCTACGGTGAAACATGGAGGAGGCTCAGCAATGTTTTGGGGCTGCTTTGCTGCATCTGGCACAGGGTGTCTTGAATGTGTGCAAGGTAAAATGAAATCTGACGACTATCAAGGCATTCTGGAGAGAAATGTGCTGCCTAGTGTCAGAAAGCTTGGTCTCAGTCGCAGGTCATGGGTCTTCCAACAGGACAACGATCCAAAACACACAGCCAAAAACACCCAAGAATGGCTGAGAGAAAAGCGTTGGACTATTCTAAAGTGGCCTTCCATGAGCCCAGATCTGAATCCCATTGAACATCTGTGGAAGGAGCTGAAACATGCCATTTGGAGAAGACACCCATCAAACCTGAGACAACTGGAGCAGTTTGCTCATGAGGAGTGGGCCAAAATACCTGTTGACAGCTGCAGAACGCTCATTGACAAATACAGAAATCGTTTAATTGCAGTGATTGCCTCAAAAGGTTGTGCAACAAAATATTAAGTTATGGGTACCATCATTTTTGTCCAGCCCTATTTCATTAGTTTGTTTTTTTTAAATAATTATGTTAATCAACAATTCAAAAGTAATGGCTGATTTTGATTATTTAATTTTCAATAAATTTTTATTTATTGTTACTTTTGTAGGTTTCAAGTGATTTCAGTGAGAATTGTGGGTTTTTCCTTCTTTAACTGAGGGGTACCAACAATTTTGTCCACGTGTGTACATGCTATTCAAGTCCCGGCTCAAAGACTTGCGTGTGAACACTGGAGCATACTCAGAACACCTAGGCCAGTTTTTGTCCAACTGAGCATATACATGACAGAGAAAAACGGTCCCCCACCACATTATCCAAGAATGCAAGTTCGACTTTACGAAGTTTGATTAAGGGAGATTTCAGTCGGACAAACGTGTTCACGCGATTTTTTAAAAGTCCAGTTTCAGTCAGACTCAGACAAGACATACATTTTTAAACAACATGTACACATGCAGAGTGTTACTTGAATAAGTTAACTCTGACAAGCAGGAGCAGAGTGGCCAAACTGCACACTCTTACTCAATGCACAGACTGCCAAAGGTCATGTTCTATCATTTACACCTACCTGACTTTAGGGATGGGAATTGACAAGATTTTATCGATATCAATGCCATTATCGATTCTGCTTACCATTTCAATTCCTTAGCGATTCCCTTATCAATGCCTTTCTTTGATTTAAAAAAAAGTAGATTATAGGTTTTCACCATTAACTCAAAATTTAATTGCGTCTCTCATAATAGAAAAAGATGTATGTCATCAACATTTACTTTGGTTGGTATTAAGTCAAAAACATAATACTTTGTCAAGTCTGGCATGCATTGTGCTTATGTTAACACAGGACATACATTAAGGTGACCATATTCTGAATCCCCAAAAAGAGAAAACTACTATGCAGGGCGGACTTGTGTGTGAAATTTTGAGGGTTTTTTAGGTTGGGTCGAGTGTTTTTTATGCGCTTCTAACTCAGAGAAGCGTGTATTCTGAATTCCCAAAGAAAGTGCATGCGTGCGTTGCATCAGTTTTATATTGAATGAATACATGTTCCGGACATTTAAAGAATTTTATAAACTCCCCCTGGACAGCCCCCCCAAAAAGAGGATATGTCCTAGTAAAAGAGGACGTATATTCACCCAAACAATGTACCTTCCATGCCGTGCTGAGACGGAGCAGCAGTGGCTGACGACCGGCGGAGAGTATCGAATACATATGACTCCTTATATTTGTTGCTTTGCCCCACTGACAAATGTTTAAGTATGTTGCTGGTGTTTCCACCTTTGCATGTTATCACTGCTCCACATATGTTGAAAGTTGCGCTGATTCCATCTTTCTTTGTAAAATGAAGCCACGCTTTAGATCATTTCTGCCTACTTTTTGTACCATCTGCCATGTTTTTTTCTCTGTCTCTGTTTTTGTTTTTGTTTGCGTAGACTGGCACTCGCAAGACCATTTTTCAAGGTACCAGGAAGATAGGAATCATTAAGATAAAATGTAAATAATGTCGATGGATTGAACCATTTGGAACCGGTTCTCAACAAAAACCCATTCTTGATTCCCATCCCTACCTGACTTTATTATCATTATTATCATTATTAATCCTCTTACTGCTCTGCAGACAGTCAGCCAGCTCCTCCTGCTCCATCCTCCTCAGGAAGTTCACCATAATCTTCCTTAGGGCTGCTTTGTTGCTCCTTTCCTGCTCTTCCTCCTCTTTCTCCCTCGGATTCTCTGAATACTCTGTGTTGTCTGAACTCAAAGCCTTTTGGGTTTGTTTCAGCTCATCTTCAACAAAAGTCATAATATTTGCCCCCAGCAGCTGAAACAAAATATGGAATGAACACAGTCAAACAAAAATCATGGAACAAACTAATTTGAGCTGAAAACACTCATTGGTGTGTGAAAGTGCAGATGAGGAATAACTGTGAGGAAAACAGGTTTAAAAGCAGTTTGTGCATATGCACATACCATAAAAATGGAGTCTAGGCATGACTGATCCTGCTGGGCAGCCTCTCCATTGGGAATCTCCGGGCTGTGCTGGGTAGGTCTATGAAAAAATGATAAGAAATTATCATTTATTCTACCCCACCTCACAGAGAAAAAGACGAGGTAGACATCCATTTAGTAGTATTTCCATGTAAATCAAATGACTCCATGGAGAGGGAAAGCTTGACTCAGAATCCTCAGGAGTTTGTAGCTACTCATTAAGTCCTCTTGGTTCTCTTAAGTCCTGAGAGCATCCCCTGGGCCCTGAGCCTTTCCCCTCTCCCTGTCTGAGTTTTTTTCACACAGAAACAAAAGGAGTCATCAAGTTGGGTCCAGCACATCTATTCAGTAAAAAAAATTATAACTTGCAAAACTCGTCATATGGCGTACAGTGCACTTTTGAGTTCAAATGCGTTGGCAGCAGGTAAGCTGTTAATTACTAAGTGAGATCAGGCTACAGGAAGTACTTCTTTTTGTCCAAACTTGTCCTTCTTCCCATTCATCCATGTCTGTGCTCTTCTCACTGCTCAGCCAGTGTCTCTTGAACAGACAAGGATAAAATACACTTAGGTGTGTAAATTCCCTGGTCAAATAACAAGTTTAGAGCGATATGACCCAGTATGATCCCTTCTCCCTTTGTTGTGTATCTAGCTCCACCGTTCAGTGTCAATGAGAACATATGAGTATTGTATCATGCCAAATTGAGCCGAACCTTTTCAGTTCATTGATCATGATCCTCTGGAAACATAATTTTCTGACCTTTCCCAGATGTGCAATCTTGATATTGTTTGGTTTCAGTTTTAAACTATGACTGACAAAAAGAGTAAACCCTGGTCTTGTGATTACATCTGCTCATATTTTTACCACCCAAAGATTTTTGCAAGTGTCTGGCCACCCCATGGGCATCTTTGTCAGATCCTCCCGCTCTGAGACTGCAGGTTTTTCACAGCAGCATCTCCAGTCTAAAGCTGCAGTAATTGATTTCTTTAGTAACCAATTACTTTCCAGATTATTCTGGCACTTCATCAGATAGTTAAAGTTTTTCATGCTCAATAACTTCTTCACATTTAATGTATATTTGGCATTACTGCTGTAACAATGCAAATGCCCCTGTCATGGGAACAAAAACAGGATTATGTTATTGCATCTTATTACAAAGCCTAGACAAATATACTTAAAGTCCATTAGACTTGCCAATGCAGCTTTACTTATAATATATTACTGTACTAAAATCATACACTGGAATATTATAAAAGACTTGGATAATTGTGTTCGGAGCAAAAAACTAAAACAGAAAGAGTTGATAAAATCGTTGATAATATGCATGCACAGATGCCCCCGGCCACCCCCACAGTGCCACCCCAGTCACAAAGTCTGGCACACCTCTGCATAGTGACACAAAGAAAACTCTTGGACTGCTGCCAGGCTGTAAGGTTTGCTTGAAAAAGCACCAAGAAAACTGTTCGTTGTAAAAGAATGAGACTTAAACTTTTTCTTTAAAGACAGCGAAGGGCAACTCCCAGGAGGAGCGTCAATGGCCAGTTGAAGTGTAGTGCAAGAGTCAGGTCACAGTTTAATTGATCTAATTTATTTCAAATGTAGCTGAATGTGATTAGAGTCAGCGTTTTAGAGCTGGAAAATGATGGTTAGGCATGAGCATCATGGATTCAGAGCTTCTATCCATTAGCCATTATGTCCATAGTTATGTGCACATTGCAAATGCAATGACCTGCATGCCCAAAGTTGTGTAAATGCAGACAGCCTGGAACTGTTCCAGCCCTAGTTCAGTCCAGTCACCAACTGAACTTACATCTGTCCAGGGGATGGAGATCCTCTTTCAAAGTAAATGTATCCTTCTTTGGACTGGTCAGACTTGAGGGACATGCAGCTGGGCTTAGAAGAATCTGGTATCCTCTGCTGGAGCCTGAAACACACCCATTTTAGATAAACATCCAGTTTTAGTACAAAAGTGATAGAAATTTTTTAGTCTAAACAAAACTTCTCTGTTTATCACCTTTCATCATCAGCCAAGGACTTCTTTGGTTACGGGAAAAAAAAATAATGACAGACTAAATCAGTCCCTTCAGGATTTCGCAGGCTTTGTTTGTGATTGTTGTGGCCTAAAATGCCTGATTTTGTGGCAGCTTTTCGAAAGCATTGCAAGTTGCGATCATTTGAGCCTTCTTTTACTAAAATCACAGGAACAAGGGCAATTGCAAATTAGCTACTGCAGTCTTTTGTGAGTTTTTAGCCTTAAACCGTGAGATTAATGCATGATATTTTCCACACAGAGTGCTCTGAATCTCTGGGTGATATCTGAAACACAGACAGCCACACAGAGAGACAGACAGGCATGCACAGAGACTCACAGCCACACAGAGAGACCAGCACACAGGGCAGCCAAACTTGGGTTGCATTCTATCTTATAATTTAGAAAAACATACACTACAGCCCAAAAGTTTGGAAGCAAGACCATTACAAGCTGAACAGTTGGGAGTAACTTCAAGTTTTTGTTTACAATGCTTTTTTTAAAATCCAGCATGAGTTTTATGTATTTTGGGATGTATTTACTCCATGATCAGATGTTGCTTTCATGGAAATGCACCATTTCACTCCATTTACCTTTAGATATACATTGATGTTAACAGACCATTGCTAAATATTTGTCAGCAAAAGATAATAAGGGCTTAGTTTTAGGGTTGAAAACATTTGCAAGAGTCACAACTTCAGTGCAAAAGCAAAAAAAAAAAAATCACAGTTGGATTATTCACTTCAACTTTTTGGCTTTTCAGAGTCTGCATACAAAAATCCTAATAAATCTCAACTGCATTCAAACTACCGCAAAAATGGCTAGAAAGAAGCAACTGAGTAAAGAAACAAAAGCACAGATTTGTACATTGAGGAAAGAAGGGTACACAGAAAGAGAAATTGCAAAACGCCTAAAGGTGTTTAACAAAGGAGTCCACTACATCCTGAAGAGACGAGAGGAACCTGGAAGTCATGATGATAGAAAAATACCTGGACGAAAGAGAGTTACTACAAAAGCAGAGGATAAACACATCATTGTCACCAGTAAGAGAGATCGACAAAAGACAGCACCACAAATAAGGGAGGAAATCAACATGATAAGGTCGAAACCCATATCTCTGACAACCGTGAAAAGATGTTTGAGAAAGGCTGGTCTGAAGGGTTGTGTATCTGCAAAAAAACAGAACTTCGTCCACAGAGCAAGAACAAGAGATATGAGTCGGCCAAAGCTCACAAAAATTGGACTTATGATGACGAGAAACAAGTTTGTACTGTTTGGTTCAAAACACAGAGTCTATGTCCGCAGACAAACTGGTGAACGTCTGAAAGCACCATGTGTTACACCCACAATTCAGTATGGAAGTGGTAGTTCCATGGTATGGGAATGTTTTGCAGGTGATGGAGAAGGAGATTTGTTTGAAGTAAAGAGTATCATAAAGAAGGAACAGTACCACTCCATCCTCCAGCACCATGCTGTTACATCTGGACTCAGACTTGTGGCTCATAAGTTTGTTTTGCAGCAAGACAATGACCCTAAGCACTCTGCCAAGCTCTGTCAGGGTTACCTAGACAAAAAAAGAAGAGGAAGGTGTTCTTCAAAATATGGTTCGGCCCCCTCAGTCTCCAGACCTTTCTACAATTGAGCTTGTGCGGGATGAATTGGATTGATCGGTCAGAAAAACGCGTCCCACGAATCAGCAGTCTCTTTTTAAAGAACTTAAGAAAGCTTGGAATACAATCCCTGGAACATACCTTAGAAAACTTGTGGAACGAATGCCTGGTATATGCCAAACTCTTGTTAAAGCCAGAGGAGGTTACTTTAAAGAAAGCAAAGTCTAAGCAACAATAACTCAAATACCTAATAATTATAGTCAAAATGTCTTCTGATAAGTTACTCTTTACACAATAGTCATGTTTATTGTGTTGCAAATTATATGAAACTATGATCTTTTTTGTACAAATCCGATCTTGCTTCCAAACTTTAAGCCTGTAGTGTAAATGTAAGCACCAAGTTGAATTACTATTTTCACACACACACACACACACGCACGCACGCACGCACGCGCACACTAGATGATACATAAATGAAAGCATATATCACTTATATTGCTTTAAAGAGTATATCCACAGTGTGGATTCCACACATACCTTGACCCTTTCAGCCACTGCTATTGCTCTGGATGAAACAGCCGCTGTCATTGTGACTTGTCTCGTCTGTCCTCTTTTAAGTTTCAGCTGTTCTCCTAACATGTTTTGCAGTTAAAAAATGTCTGTCGAGCGACGACTTTCGCATGTGTTGCACCACAATATTGCAGGCAGTGCAGTGCAGAAGAGTTTACCTCCGCTTTCATGTAACACATCTGGAAATTGACTTGCATGGACTTTGGTGGAGATATTTGTTGGTAAATGTGAGCGATTCATGTCGCACGTCTTCATCTCCTCAATGTAAACAAGTAAATATGATGACGTACAGGCAGTGGCGTTCCTAAGCAACTTGGCACCCTAGGCAGGATTTCTGGTGGCCCCCCACGCGCAACTTATTAGACCAACCACAAACCCGACCCTGTGCAACTTATTAGACCAACCACAAAATATTCATCATAAACTCACACAGAACACAGGGTATCTTCAAGTTGTTGGAATTTTAAAACCGCAGTTGCAGTGCAATATGCATAATGTAGTAATTGTACTACAATAAACTAAACAGCAGCCATATACAAAATACCCTGGACAACCGCAATCAACAGTACCCCACAAAATCCTCAAAGGAAAACAAAATGGCTCAAAAGACATATACAGCAGCATTGTAATTTAACATCAGTCAAGGAAAACAAGTGTCAAAAATATAAATTGCAATATAAATAAGGTAATAGTACAAAATACAATGTTATAGAAAAATACAAACACAGCAAATTACTAATAGTAAAGTATGTAAACTAGAAAGAGTGCAAATATTCAGTGCAATATGCATATGTAGTAACTGTACTACAATAAACAGGGCCATATACAAAATACCCTGGGCAACCTCAATCTAGCCCACAACATCCTCAAAGGAAAACAAAAGGGCTCAAAACACAGCAGCACTGACATTAAATCTCAGCCAAGGAAACAAGTGGCAAATATCTGTAAAATATCTTCATGATGAGTCAGTCAGTCATCACTGCACTGATAATTTAGTGTAAATCATGAGTCTGTTCAGCTCAAAAAAGAAAGGAAAAAAAGAGGAAGAAAAGCCAATAGATGAAAATGAAAAATGATCTCATATTTAAAAAAAAACACGAGTATTGGATCATGACAACATGTCAAATGGGGCAGCAAACTTTCGTTCTGTTTTTAGGTATTTAAAAAAATGCACATACAGAGGTGTACTTGGATATATAAACTGTACAGTAAGCTGTTAAGGTAGAGAACATTATATTTTCGGGGCAGCAAATATTTAGAATCAGAGGGCTGTTGTTTTCGGCATATCTGAAAAGCCTGAATGAAATCATTAAAGGCACACGCTTTAGAATCAGTCTAACGGTAAGGAAAACGATTATTTCGCCTTGTAGTGTACTTTCAACTGCGCTCCCGTCAGGGGGGCATTCTACAGCAGGGGTGCATTCTATGGCACAACACCGGCCGCGGGAACGGGGTCTTAATAAATCCCCCTTAAATCTATAAATCTGTAACTTCAAATAAAACATCAGCAAATGGCTTGACACAACGATTTACTAAGCTAGTATGTTATGTTTTTGATCTGCACTCTGCAACATGCTGGACTGCCATGATCTGACGACTTTGAATGAATTGACTTTTCACTTTGGAGAAGTCAAGCACTGAGGCATTATGCCTCGGCAAGTAAGCATGTTGTTGCCTAACAGCTGAGGCATTAAGCCATGATGATAGTTAACGCTGCTCTGCCTGGCCTGCCTTGGCTTATTATTGCCTTGTTGGCTGTGCTTGGTGTGGTCTCTCTGTGTGGTGAACTGGTGGTGGCAATGCATAAGCCACGGCGGCGCTGCTGGTGTGTTGTGTTACAAGTTACCTGGCTGTAACTAGTTGAGTTAAACAGAGAGAGAGTTACCAACCCAACCTACCTCAGTGGCAAGCACAGTACGACTACAGGGAGAGAGCAGGGGGGCAGGGAGGAGTCATGTCCTGTGTGCATTCCATTGGGGACCGTGCCGAAATTGCAGGCAGGTTGCAGGTAGACAGACACTTAAGCCCAAATATATAAATGATTTAGCCATTGTTTAAAGACTTTACGACTGTATGCACTGTTGTTAGATTGCTGTGTTTTTTGTTGTTGTTTTATATTGCGAAACAAAAAGTATTTATATTAAAAAAAAAAATTTCTTCTCCCCTCCCTTTCTGCTCGCGGGCGCCCCTAGCAGCCGCCTACTCTGCCTAATGACAGGAGCGCCACTGCGTACAGATCATGTAGAGGCGTGGGCAAAAGGGGGCTAAGTTCACTGGTCAAATTTACGGGAAATTCGCCATGAATGGACGAAATTGCAGTGCCTTGCTGAATTCACAGTGATTTGTTGACTTTGCGTTAATAGTTGCAATTGCAACATTGCAAATTCCTGGAGGGACTGTTTAATTATGAGATTAGTAGATGTATCTGAGACTCTGAAGCTTGTATCTTCAGTGAACTTTTTGGTTTCAATTACGAGTTGTAGCTCACGGTTAAGTGATTTCCTGTTCAAGTAATATACAACCTTGATATTATGTTAACACAGCAGATCGTATTTCTGAATCTCTCTTCCATCCTCTTGCCACAGGGACTTTTTACAGGTCCACCTCTGCTCTAAGACAGCCAGCCTTTAGCAGAATTTGTTTAGTCTAGATCTGTATGACTCCAACATCCAGTTTCAGTAGACGGTTTTATCTTCAAACACTGACTAAAACTAAGAAATATCTGTTTCTTACCTTTCATTGTCAGCTTTTCTAAATGCAATAGGGTCCCCCTTCGACTGATCACTTTTCATGGACAAACAACCTGACAGAGGTCCAGGAGGGACTTGTCTCAGCCGGCTCCTGTAAGAAAGAAATTAGTCTGAGTTTAAATCAGAAGAAAAGTCTATGGATAGTAATAATAATTATTACACATTCAACTGGTATTAAAGGTAACAAAGTCATTTAACAAATATCAGCTCCAAGACACTTAGTGCACCTATGAAATATTAGCACAGAGGTGGAAGACATGAGCCCACAGTGCTCTTACAACCACACCCAACAGATTTGTGAATCTTAAACTGCTGCCAAAAATTGTCAAAAATGGTCAAAATTGAAAATAAATAAATAAATAAATGAAGAAAATCAGGGATACGTGACCCATGTATGCTGTACAGTCTTAAAGCCACTAGATGTCACTGTGTTTGCAGAGTTTGAAGCTTCAGCTTAGCGGCGCTGAACTGACCTGAGGAACACTGTTTTTATTTTCTTTTTAGGAAAGACAAATGACAGGAACCTTAGACTAACAACAGGTACACACAACGATTACAAAACTATAAGCATATGCTTTCCTGTCTTGGTTTAGAGTGAAGAAGAACACAGATACTGACAACACAGACCCATGAAAAGAGGAAGACAGCAGCAGAGAAAAACAGGGGAACACCAGGGGATTTCTGACAGGTCATAATTTTCCACTCAAGAGACTTTTCTACATAAACTCAAGTGAAGACAAGTTTTCAGCTCCTTGTGGACTTTATTGGTTTGTCAATTTTTTGACTGTATAGAAGACAAATTAGGTTGTGTAATTATTTTAATAATTGCTTGGTTTAAGACATCGCCTTTAAAAAAAAAAAGAAAAGCCCATTACATTTTTTTTCTCTTTCTTTTTTGGTTTCAAGCTTTGTAAGCTAGGACAGCTAAGGAGAGACAGTAAATGCTGGAGGAGGAGAGTTAGAACCAAAGACAAGAAGGCAAATGTGGAGGACATCCACTGATAAAAGTCCTATCAGAGGTCATCTACATACAGGCGCAGAGCATAAAATTAGATTGTCCCCGGAAAAAAAGAGAGCTAAGCATCTCGGTCTGAGGGATTTGTGCTTTTCTTCGCTAAGTTACATTTGTGTTTTGTTCAGAGGAAAAAGCATCACATCAGTTTCATCACCCCACCAGCAAGATCACTTATGTGCATGTCTTCGCTCAGCGCTAACACACACACTGCTGCCCACTTCCCTGTGGAAATTTCTCATAATCACATGCCAACTATCTATAATCCATTACATAACTGACATAAGAGCAGCCACCAACCAGCTACATCTAATCACAAGACCAGATTGAGGAGGTGGTCAGACAGGACCAAATGTAGAAAGACAGAAATAAAGCAGACAGAAGTGAGGAATATCAAGAAGGAAGGATTCACCACCTACATTCCTGTTGCGTGAGTCATCTTGAAACTGTCATGTCACTTTCTTGTGATGATTTCTTTGATCTGAGATTACTTTGTTCAGCTCTGTTTCACAACTGCACACTCCTGACAACATTCATGTTTTTGTTTGGACTTCGGAGTCAAACACTTTGGGCCTTATTTACTGAGATTCCTCTTAACCAGTGCCAACAAACTGCATGTTTTCTTGGTGTTTTTTGCTGGTGATCAACAAAGAAAAACTGCATTACATTTTCTCCCCCTCACTATTTCACACACAAAGGCAGAAACACTCCATAATGTGTATTGATTGGGGCAAATGCACCTGGGGCCTGTTCTACGAAGCAAGTTCAACCTAGCGAGGTAGCCTTGGAGCTACCTCGTTCAACTTAGCGCAGTAGCCAGCAGTCTCGCTAAACGGTCTTACGACGCTGGTTATCAACCTCAAAAGTGGATCCAGCTTTGCTATGAGCACGTGCACGCATGTAAGGCGGAGCCCGCCGCATCTGACCAATCGCAAACATGGACCAGTCTGGAGCGTCAGAGCAGGCCGGAGAGCAAAGGACTGCGGACTTTACAAACGAGGAGCAGGAGACAATCATGAGAAAGTATGAAGAATTCAAAACTATCATAAACCTCAAAAGCAACACCGTCGCCGCTGCAAAAGCACGGAAGGAATGCTGGCAGAAAATTAATCTTTGATGCCATTATCACCCTGCAATAGCACTGATCAACATGCGCTTTTAACTAAGGTGACCAGACGTCCCCGATTTCCGGGGGCCGGGTCCCCGAATTGGATGATCTGTCCCCGGCTAAAGCTGTCCCCAAAAATGTCCCTGATTTAAACGTTTCATGAATGAGAACAAAAATGTTGCATGTGGGCTAGAACAACGGTTGTTACAGTGGGTAGGAAGCACAAGTAAGCAGTCCTGAACAACAGTATTTACGGGGGTTATTACAAGGGGCGTGCACTGCTACTAAATAGTACCGAGATGTTGTCTGTGATCACACAGCCCATGCAGCCCATGCCCATTCATTCAAGAACGGACAAGCCCTTTTTCGAGAGAGCTCATTGGTCAGTGGTCATCTGGAACCTAACCTGCCCCGGAGCAGGTTAGCTATTCAGCGTACGTTGCCATGGAGACTCGCCTCGTTAAGAAGTAAACCCGCGTCGTAGAACAGGAAACCCTGAACTTACCCTCGAAGTTACCTCGCTAAGCAGTAATCCTGCTTCGTAGAACAGGCCCCTGATTTGACAATGTGTGTGCTGCATGTTTGTTTAGATCAGGGGTGGGCAATCATGTGCCATGGAGGGCCGAGAGGCTGCAGGTTTTCTTTCCAACCCAAAACTCCACCAGGTGATTTCAGAAAACCTGCAGCCTCTCGGCCCTCCATGACACATGATTGCCCACCCCTGGTTTAGGTGCTATGACGTTTATATGCGTTTTACACGCAAAACCTTTGCTGAATCTGACCCTTTCTGTCTCAGAGAAGAGTGGTGAACAAACATTTATCTGACCTATGAGCTTCAGATCCTGTCCCACATGAGGGGATTTTAGAGGTGGGGGTGTCCTCCCCTGTGTCCTCACTGTGATCCATGAAAAAGCTTCCACTTTCACACTGACACACCTGCAGAGAAAGAATGCACACATTACTCATGATGGCACATGATTAGCACAGACACCAGTTTACCTACAACCAGATGATGGGCATGGTAGTTGTTAAATCCCAAATTCTCACCTCACCATCTCCATACCTGACTCCCCTGTCACTCAACGCCAAACCACAGCCCCAACACCATAAAAGCCAGCCCTCAGGCCTGCTCTCCCTTTTGCATCCTGAACAAGAGCAGCACTGAACAAAGGGAGTCTGAATGTGAGTGTGAAACGGACAAAGCCTTACCAAATGTTGTTGTATTCTCCTTATTTGTATTGTTTCTAATATGGTTTATTCTCAAATATTATTTCTTTAGATTCCTGTCACCCTAAAACGCATATGTATTGATTTAAAGCCCTGAAGTGGATGCATCTATGATGTAAGATTAGTTAACCAATTTACAATTCATTTGACTTTATCAGTCCCCCTTTTTTGTAATATTTTATGTTGATACATCTTGTTTCTATTCCTTTTGATTGTACAGAAAAAATCATCCACTGAAGACGAGCAAATAAACCGTCAAACTGAATCCTGGATCCAGTGTTTTAATGTGCACTCAATATAGGATGTTCGATGAGCAAGCATCAGCAACATCATAGTCTTTTACAGTAGTTTCAGGCATTGTAATGAGAAATTCAGCCTTATCAAATATGGTCTTGTTTTCTTTTGAAGGTTTTTAAAAGCCCCCAGCATCAGATCACATCTGAAGCCTTCCACTCAAAAACTCCTCACAGTGCTTTCAATGTAATAGGTTTTTAGCGACTACAAATCAAATTGCTTGTACTGATTATGATACCCCTGTCCATGTAAGACTTCACACACACCCTTTTAAAAAATAATTAACTCTTGGTTCCTTTAATGTCTGTTTTGAGGACATTTATCATTTCTATTATCATTATTTGAGCTCACAGTCACATTTTTAAAGCTTTAAGCATCAAATTTAGCTTTTATTTTTCTATTTTTTTAGTTTTTATTTTTCTTCAAATCAAAAAAATGTGTTGCCCATAGAACTCTATTGACACATTTTAGCTCCATCCATCTTTGTTTGTCTGAAATGCGGACGATAGACTCTCTTTAAAAACATGTTTTTTTTTTTCACTGTGTGTTTAAGGCACCAAAACAACAAATAGCAACCTTTCTGTACAGTCACTTGATCACAAAGGCTTTAAAGTTCACTATTCCACAGCGATCCAGCAGATTGTGCCAGCGCACAATTTTAACCCCTTTGGTGCCACGCACGCAGGGCTTCATCCATGGACTCGAGAGAGTTTGAAGCACTATTTCATCCAGAAGAATTAAAGGAAACAAGTCGTGCCACAAGATATGGATTTCTAAGAGTGGGCTACATCTGTAAGGAAAAGTCTGTGTGCTCCTTTATCTGTGCACGGGTGCAAATCTGCAACTATGTTCAGAACCAGACTTGCCATGAGTTGAGTTTCTACAGTGTAAAACGACGTCCAAGTTCTGCAGTCTGGGACAAAGAGAGGGGGAACATTTGGACAATTACAACTTTGCCCTCACTTTATAGTCAGTGGATGGACATGCATGAGGATGCATGAGTCCTTTTGATCAATAGGAGAGAATGTATCATATCTCAAATATGCAGTAAATTTATACATGCATGTAATCGCAGTCATACTTTGGTTAAAGCTGGAAAAGCACTTGTAAGAGATTCCTTTCTTATATATAAATCTTGATTTTATATGCCTGGATATAAAAAAATCATCTTAACATTAACAAATGAATCCACCTGCATATGATTTGGCAGAGGACAAGGCTCGAGAAAAGGAGGTAAAACTGGCATGTTTTTCACTCCAGTAGACTCATCTGTTTAGAATGCACCCTTTCTCAACTGATGCACCTTAGACATGGTGCACAACAAATGGCATAAAAAGGGTGTTCCATAGAATTTTGTATTTAACTAATTATTGTAGTGGTCATAAAGCCTCATCCAGGCCACCTTTTCCAGCAAAACATTTCCTGTATTCCTACTTCTGATGTTAGTTAGTAGCTGTTAGTAACAAACTGCTAATGAGCTGTTATGAACCTCAAATAATTATCGTATCTCAAACCACCACTGCTTCCCCCTCCACCTACTCAAAGGACAAAGAGCACCATAAGAGTCTCAGTTTACTAATAATCCATGTTATTGATCAAAGCACACATGATGAAAACAAACATATTTGAATGATTTGACATAGCCTAGGTTATATCAATTTAATGTTAAACACAGTGTTGTACCTTCAGGTTGCTCTTGATTAGTACACATATCTCTCTTCTCAGCTTTTAAAATTGCTTCTATATTTAGACAAATCACTTAAGTTCTATACTTTTATCTTAAACACAGAACTGAAAAGGGCACAGCCAAGCCTTACATAAGCTGTTAGCTGTAACAGTCAAATAGATTCCCTTTTGGTTTTTCTCTTGACTCACCTGGTGGTGCAATGCATGCAAACATTTGGTTGATTTGCAGTGCAGGGCCCTTCTTTTCCTGTCTGCCCCCCTCTCTGCTCCACCCTTCTTCTTCTTCTTCTTCTTCTTGAGAACTCCACCTCTGTCCATCTTCCATCAAACACTCATGCATGAACGGTTACTGGATTGAATCCACTGTGGTGATCCATGCAAGGCATGCAGACATGTCAAATGAGAGTTTTCGTTATAATTTTAGTGCCAGCATAGAGAAACAAACTCACACATAATATCTTATCAGCTCTTCTGTAAGGCTGCACGCATTTGCCAGGTCACATGTTTGAGTGAACATGTGTGTGGAAAGTGTGAACCCTCAAGAGAAACATGCCGGCCCAGTTTGGGTATTCAGCGTGGTTAGTTGAACCTTTTTTACTCTTTTGTGAATTACTCAGTCAACAGATCTTGCAGTTAGTGTTATTTTGTAAAAAAAAATGTAAAAACAAAAAAAACTAAACCTGACATCAGCTTCTGTAAATGTGAGTATCATCCATTCAAAAACCCATAAAGGTCAACCCCTATTATTTACTTTTGCAAAACAGTTGAAATTACAAATACCATGGGTTCCAGAAATGGCCCTGGTTGTAGCCTACAAGCAGTAGGCTACAATCAAGCAGTCTAACTTGAGCAGGTCTGTGACAACCTGCCCCACCTGACCTCTTCATAAAGAGTCTGTGCTACCTATCGCATGGATTGATCTAGCAAGCTGAAACTCGGCTCAAGTTCTGGCTTGAGTTCCACTGTTCAGTGTTTGTCTGTAAGTATGCTCATCATCTTGAAACTTTTCATACCAAAATATCAACTGCACGAAAAATTACTCCTGTCCACAAAATTCAAAAAATTTCTTCTCACCTCAGTGTTTTCGGTGATACAACATTTGGCTACACAGAAATAATCATCGGACCAAATGTTTGACATGAACATAACACTGACAACACAATCTGAAGATTTGGTACGAACGAGCTACGTGACAACCCTCCCTAGGGACAATAACCCCGGTCTCCCCTACTTCTTGCCACACCTGTTAGTGGGGAAACAATTGTCCAGCGGCGTCATTACAAGATGATAAGTGCTGCAGAGTGTGACTTTGGAAAAGCTCATCTTTGCCGTGGAGCCCAGACAAAATGGCAGTTATGTTGTCCTCACAGCGCAGGGCACAGGCCCGACAACATTTTAGAGTGCTTTTCTCAGAGTCGCTTACTTTTAAAATACTCCTATACATCTCCTCTTCTTTGTAAATTAATGCCAGGTGCAGCTCTTCAACTAACCAAACATTGGTCTTAAATAATCGAAGACAAAACAGACACACCATCGCAAAGTCTTGACGACCCACGGACGTTAAACTGGCTGATTGCAGAGTTTTAACCTCTTACTGCGGTAACAGGTTAAAACTTCGCAATCAGAAGTTTAACATTTGAGCTTAAAGACCAAAACAAAAGGCGCCGAATCACCAAAGAGTTAAGGAAATGAAAAGGTGGTGTACAAACCTTTCGATGTTGACGCGACAACACCAGCTCTCGATCTGAGACGGGGCTCGACGGAGTTTGCGTCAAGTCACGCGACAGGAAACATCAGCGGCCAGTCAAAACAGGGGTAAAGGCTGGCTGTGTCCGACATGGCATACTACTCCTACTACTCCTACTAACCCCGCCTCTGAATTGAGTAGGCAGTGCGTTCACACTGTACAGTATGCGAATTTTGTGTATGCGAGAACTGCCCGGATGTATACTCAATCGGCTTCGATTTCTGAGTGTGGAACGGAGCTTGCTTCACGTACTGCTTCTGCCCCAAAATGCATTGCGCACCTCAGCTGGTAATATGGCCCTCTTTCCCGAGGCTGAAAAGAAATAGATGGCATGTGATTGCAATGATAATTATATATATAAATAGATAAACAATATTTAGTCAGTATACATTACACAAGTTTTATCATTTTATCATATTTAGATCTTTTTACCAGATTTATTTGTATTTTAAATTAGGATTATAGGTAATGTTTTTAACTATTCGTATGAATTGACTTTATTTAAGTGTCTATTAAAGATGTATTTATTACATCAAGTTTGAGCATCTTCTCATCTCTGAATGCATCATCAAAGTGGTCACTCATATATAGCACAGACCTCTGATTAATAAAAATTATTATTGGTAGAGAGCACATGGTTCAGAATATACAAACGGGGGAGTTTCCAGTTGACAATGTATGTGAGCTTTACTAATTCTTACTTGTGGTTGAAAATCTGATGGTTTCTGAAATTATCATTGTACATGAAAAGAATGTAGTCGGGAAATGATGTATTTGCCAAGGAATAACCGAACAAGGTCATAATAATTATGTTGTGTGTTGGTCATTTTGCAGCCCTCTGCTGCTCATCACACGCCTAGCAGGTGGTGTATAGCATTATCACCATGGATACACAGATGTTAGTGTGATTTTTTTCATCCACTGCCGCCCGGTTTGTGTGTTTACGGTAAATAGACGCAAACACCCACCAAGCGGACGCTTCGGTCTCCGAAAACGCCAAGACAAATTTACAAACAGCCACTATTTCAAACGACTGGGCTCATAATCGTGATGTAAACACTTACTTTCTCACTAGAAAAAATATTATTGAATGAATTTATATAACTTGTCCGGAATGCAGTCGTTCTGTGTAGCTTGTGGTAGGACTATTTAAATTTTCCCGGCGCTGCGTCCGGCCGGCACGAAATGCATTCTGGGGAATTTAGTATGCATCTGTATGTAAACGCTCGGGCAGCCGCGGCATACTCAAATCATCTTTGAGTAGTCAGTAGGCAGTAGCTACTGCTTGAGTAGGTAAGTAGATAGTAGGCAGTATGCCATTTCGGACACAGCCAAAGTGTCTGCCCATAGACTGTTGCTGTGTCCGAATTGCCCGCTCGCATACTACATGCTACTGCTACATACTACTGCTAGATCCTACTCCTACATACTAAACACGTTGGCCCAATTCGGACACACTAGACGAGCGGTGGGGAAAGACGACCCCCGCAGGCAGAGAGTAGGTAATGCGCCCGTTTTAGACTCTGAATGGTAATCGTGCAAGTGATGGATGCTGCTGTATTATATACCTGCACTGCTTTAGAAATTCACAAAGTAGTGGTGATCGTTTGTTCAATGAGATCTGCCTGATTACTGCAGCTGTGCAGTTTAATGGAATAAGTGAGCTTTACCTCCATGATGTCACCACATATTTGCTCATAAAATGATTACTTGGGCAAATATGACACCATGACATGACAAAGAGATACAATCGCACATTTTCAGGACAGTGTGCGAACTTACATGAAACTTACATCTGTACTGCTGCGGTCCTGCCTGCTGCTGCTGCTGCTGCTCCGCCATAGCCTGGCTGGGCCATCCTGTTGCGTGAGTCACTTGACGTTCCTTCCCATAGACATAATAAAAGAGTAGACCCCGCGTCGGCCGCTACCACGAATGGGCGCTGTCGAGAAATGCGGCCGCCATCTTGGTCCGGTCATCCGCCTTCTCTGCACCGCTGTTTAACCGGCGGAATGAAGTCTGAGCGTATAACTGAATCATAGTTCGCTCAATACTACGCATTTTTTTTCTCTGCAAACGCCATTCAAAGAGGCATGATAGAGGCCATATTTTTTTGGCGTTTTCAAATACTCAGAATGAATAAAATGATATTTTAGAACATGGCAGCAGTGGCTGTAGTATAGTATAACAATTAATCAAGGATATATCTAGGTTTAGAGCTAGGTTCCTGCTATGTCTCAATAATTATTATTAACTGGCGGTTTTAATAGGCCAATTCAATATATATTGATTTGATTATATTTTATTTAGTTTAATTTTATTTATCCATTTGTAGACACACACAAATAATGTCATATAGAAGCACTATTTTAATAACTGGAAAATACACACAAAGAAATACACACAAATATTTAGCCTACATATCAAAAAAATTTAAACACAAGAACAGCATGACAGGACAGCATCTAAACTACATATCAATTTGCTCAGGCCCTGAAAGCCTTGAAAGAGGACTGCTTTGGTGTTTTTTTCCTCGTGCTCCCTTTCTGCGGCTCCAGAGAGGTGAGTTTGGCTATGTGGTTGGCTACACAGCACAGAGGAATCACTTGCTGCGAATTTCTCCCTCCTAACAGCAATCTCCCACTTCTTCCTCAAGTTTTTGTCCTTAGGAAATCTTCAAAATGAAACAGGAGATCACCACAAAGAAATCTTTAATAAAACAGATAATAAAACAGAGCTCACTTTCTTCCTTCTTCTTTCTATTTTATTTCTTAACATTTCTTAGAACCTCTCTCAAACAAAAATTTTTCAATCTAATGCAAATCTGTTGATATTAGAGCAAAGTTGCTATTATTGTGAATAAGCTAGCTGTTCGCAAATGCTGTTTCCTTTCTGGAGTTGACCGATAGTCTTCCTCTTTGGCCTACAAATGACTCCACAGTCAAGTGTAATGTTGAAAAAAACGTTTAATCCTACCTGTGAAAAGTTGTTCCTTGAGCCCTTTTCTTTGCTGTCCGCCTGTTGGCACAGGAATACGCCGCACAGTGCTCCGGCATCGCTGAATGAATGAATATGATTGACCGGAGCGTATGGGAAGCTTGACCGGACCAAGATGGCGGCCGCATTTCTCGCTGCGCAGCACCCCCAGCGGGGTCTACTCTTTTATTATGTCTATGTTCCTTCCCACCACAGTCTGGACTTCGGCCCATAGAGAGCGTGTATGCCCGATCAGAAAATAACCGGGCCAATCAGAGACCGTGTTTCCACTGTTACCCGGACAACAGGGAAAGGCAGCCCCTGATTGGTCCATGTGTAGTGGTGACGTCTAATAGATGCTGCGGGACTTTTCAAAGCAATGATGGCTGAAGCAACTGTAACTGCTTTTACTCCAGATAGCGTTAAAACCGCTATAAATTCGGTTATATCTCAGTTCAATTGGATTTCACAGATCAGAAAGGAACAGGAGTGTGCTCTACGAGAGTTTATTTCAAGAAAAGATGTTTTCGCCGTGCTTCCTACAGGCTATGGGAAGATGAGAGCCCAGCAGGGAACACAATTGCGCACTGTGATGACGTCAGATGTTTGGTTACGGTGATTGGTTACAGTAAACTGTCTATCAAGGAACGTTCTTCCGCCCACTTTCAGGGCTCCCTATGGGCCGAAGTCCAGACTGTTGTGAGAAGGAACGTCAAGTGACTCATGCAAAAGGATGGCTCAGCCAGGCTAGCTCCGCCATGGTGCGCGCTGCTGTGGCCAGCCGGCGTTCACGACGCATCTTTATAGGCAGCAGCTGGTGGCGCTAGTGTAGCGGTCGTACTTGCGTTGTGTGATTAATTCCGTAGAGAAACCAGACTTCTGTGTTAGAATCGACGTTTATTCAGTACCTGGCAGAATATTATCATGGTCAGGTCTCACATCAGACATGCGGTCTCTCTCTCACCAGCGAGCAGCTCAGCACAACTGTGCTAACAATATATATTCAAACTCTGTACCTGGCAGAATATTATCATAGTCAGGTCTCACATCAGACATGCGGTCTCTCTCTCATTGCAAGTATAAAATAACATAAGTACCCTCTTAAATAAGGAAATTAAAAGATAATTAAAACAAAGAATCCTGGAGATCCGACATGTGGACTTACCCAGCGAGCAGCTCGGCACAACTGTGCTGCTAGACTGGGGTTCACTCCCCAAATCCCCAGGGGGTGATGCATTTAAGGGCTGCAGGGAATCTGAACATCCTTAAAAGAACCTAATGCAAAGCATGGCAAGTGAAATCACTAAATATTAATTCTAACTACGTTACACTAGCATCACATGCGCTTCTACAACTTTTAAGAGGAGGAAGAAGAAGCCCGCAGTGCATTTTGGGTCAGTAGCATGCCTGTAGGATGCACTGCGACCATCCTACAATGTGGGCGTGTCTAGTATCTGAAGTAGTATCTGAACAGTGGCGATTACTCAAAGACTGCAAGGGAAGCTCAGCTTCCCTTAAAATGTCACCCCCCCAAAAAAAGAAAAAGTGGTGAAATACGTACTGCTGTGTGTACATTTCATTAACTAAATACGCGCTAGAAAGCCTTCATCTTCATCACACTGTGATTAGAAGCTGATAATCACAGGCAACCGGCACAACTTCGTTCTCATTCATCCTTGCAGCGCCTCAGCGCTTCACACAGCCGGACGCTCAGCATCTGCTGACTTCAATGTGGAAGCTCAAAGTGGGTTGTTCCAGCAGCGAAACTAGACGCTCATTGAATAAATGCTGGGCTTTGTCCCGCCCATCGGACGCTCAGCGTCTCTGGGGTTCTATGACGAGAGGGCGGTCCTGACTTTCTCCCGGACTTCGAGCTTCTGCATCCATGATTGGATGAGCTGTCTGAGGCGAAATCCTTTTTTGATTGACAGCTAAACAAGCTAATCAGCGATCTTGAAGAACAAAACATCTACCAGAGCATTTTCCAAGTTATTCATTCCATTGTTCTTAACTGCTCCAGAGACTTTAAAGATCCTCAGCGACTTTTGTCTTTGTTAAAAACGACTGCCGTTGTGTTTGGCGACTCTGTTCTGTTACATATAAATAAACAAACACAATTATGATGTAGGCCAGAAAAATGAGCTTCCCCTCCTTGAAAGACCAGCAGTCGCCACTGTATCTGAAGTAGCATGCTACTCACTCTGGTGGCCAATTCGGACATGCTACATACTACTTCGACTACTACTTCAACTACTACTTCGACTACTACTTGGCAATTCGGACGCAGCATGTATATACTATGGACAACTTGGTTCCGCCTACCGCCTGTATATGGATTTGAAGCCAAAAAAAAGCTCTCGATATTTCCGGGATTTTTCTCCATTTCCTGAAACCAGAGCTGCGCAGTAGCGATGCGTGCATCCGGCCACGCAGTCGCCGAGAGTCACTGTGATGACACTCGGCTCAAACAGCGTATCCCCCCAGGTGAGCTACGCAATCTCTGAATGCCCATAGGCTGTATCAGGTGTCAATCATAGAAAACATGAACCCCCTAATAATTTTTAAAAACTGAGCTGTACAGAAAAAAGAAGACTTCAGGACAAACCAGTCTTACAATAACTTCATGTCAACATCACAACCAGGGGGGAGAAAAATTTATGTTCTGTGCAATAAATTTCTAAAGTTTGTCCACAACTTCAGAAGCTTTGCTGGCGGAGGCAGGATTTATTACCTATACTGCAGCCCATCAACAGAGGGTGCTGTTCTCAGAGTGGCTTCACCCAGCAAGGAGGCAGACTCTGTCCATTTTATATACAGTCTATGGCTGTGTCTCATTTCAGAGACCGCATCGTGATAAGCGCGCTTAACGGCGCTTAGCTGAGTGCACTGCCGTTTTGAGCCGTTTTACGCCGTTTTGCGCCGTTCTGTGCCCTTCCTGTGTCCCATTTCAGATACAGCAGCCATCGAACGGCGCATCTGACGCGTACGTGAGGTCACCACGCGGCACGAACGGTGTCCCGTTTGGCACAAAATACTAATTGCGCTTCAAATTCGGTCTCAAAACCACACTACCCCCGCCTCTTTTTCAAGCGTGCATGTATGCACGCTTTCGTGCCGTCGGTATCCCAGAATTCTTTGCGTGCCGCTGCACAGCTGTGCATTTCAGGTGAGAGGCTGGACTCGCTTGGAGACACAGCGCGTCTTCAAAGAAAATACAAGAAATCCAAAACCAGTAGACAGTCAGCTCAGGCTGTATGAGAGCATGATCTCTGAACTCACTAAAATCTGTAAACCAAACATTAGAGATTTAGAGACGAACTGATCCGCTGTGTTACAACTATCAAAAACATTAGAAATGAGAAAGCTGACAAAACTACAGCAGAGTATCAGGACAACATTGAGGGTTTTTTTTCTTTTAAGATTTAGAGATTAAAGTTGTAAATTTAGGAGAATAAACTCATAAAGTAAATAAAGTCATAAAGCTGCTTTTGTGGAGGGGGAAATGACTGAAGTTGGTCATCTGCAGGGTTATCTGTGGATGTATCAGCGGGTCATTAAGAGAGATTTTGTGGTTTCTGAAGAAACAATCAAACTGATGATGATCAACATTTGTGATCCAGAGGGAGTCGAGCTCCGACGAGCACCACGTCTCTGACACCGGCCGTAGCCTACACCTGCAGAGACACCAACACCTTATTACTGCATATGGATTCATATCATAAACTAAAGCTCAATGTCATTCACGGATATTTACGGCTGCATTGACAGATATATCCTCAGCATATTCATTTATGCCCCCACAAAAGCAGCGATTTCCTTCAAGTACACCAATATTTTTCCCCCGTGGAAAAGACGTATTTCTCATATATTCTTTTTAAAGTCTATATACTTATGACAATGTGATGCTGATGTGCCAGAGGATGAAGTATCTCCTTGTTTGTGAAACCTATACTGAAGCACAGTTCCTTCAAATGCTTCATGGCCCTAATTTTAACAAGTCTCTCTGAAATAACAGGTTATGACTTCATTCTCATAAATTAATGACTTTATTCTCGTAAATTCACGACTTAAATCTCGAAGTCCTTAAAGTCTTAAATCTCAATATGGCCCTCATACTCCTTCTTACAAAACAATCATTGGATGAATTGTGCTTGTATATATCTACTATTTTGTGTCTGTGCAAGGTCGCACAATTAAAACAATAAATGCTGCGCTCCGCGGGTTTCCTTTAAGTCAGTCGTGACGCGAGCCTGAGGGCGGGGACATTTGGCAACTCCACCAGGAAGCCCTCCGAAGGTCTCCAAATGTCCCCGCCCTCAGGCTTACGTCACGACTGATTAGAAAAAAAGCTGCGGAGCGCAGCATGTATTGTTTTAATTGTGCGACCTTGCACAGACACAAAATAGTAGATACATACAAGCCCAGATCATTCCCACAAAATTCATCCAATGATTGTTTTGTATGAAGGAGTATGAGGGCCCTATTGAGAAGGAGGATAGGAGATACTTCATCCTCTGGCACATCAGCATCACATTGTCATAAGTATAAAGACTTTAAAAAAAGAATATATGAGAAATACGTCTTTTCCACGGGGAAAAAATATTGGTGTACTTGAAGGAAATCGCTGCTTTTGTGGAGGCATAAATGAATATGCTGAGGATATATCTGTCAATGCAGCCGTAAATATCCGTGAATGACATTGAGCTTTAGTTTATGATATGAATCCATATGCAGTAATAAGGTGTTGGTGTCTCTGCAGGTGTAGGCTACGGCCGGTGTCAGAGACGTGGTGCTCGTCGGAGCTCGACTCCCTCTGGATCACAAATGATCATCATCAGTTTGATTGTTTCTTCAGAAACCACAAAATCTCTCTTAATGACCCACTGATACATCCACAGATAACCCTGCAGATGACCAACTTCAGTCATTTCCCCCTCCACAAAAGCAGCTTTATGACTTTATTTACTTTATGACTTTATTCTCCTAAGTTTACAACTTTAATCTCTAAATCTTAAAAGAAAAAAAACCCTCAATGTTGTCCTGATACTCTGCTGTAGTTTTGTCAGCTTTCTTATTTC